TTCGCTGACAATCGGAAAAACAACCGAAAACAATTTAAAAATAAAATCTAGAGTAACTATAAAAACATCGGAAGGGGAGATGTCTTGCCCCGCATTCCGTAAAAAAAAAACGAATGGAAAAAAAAAAAAAAGGGGGGGGGGGGGGGGGCAACTACGCCCTACTTTTTGCCTCTGCGACTCCCCACCCCCAAACCTGGGTAGGGGCGCACCCGTTTCTGAAAACACCGCAATCCCCGGAATGTACGCCCACTGGTGACGAAGCCCAGACTCCAGCCCCGAGTAAAAAGTTGGTGAAACTGCCCGAAAACCAAGTTTTCAACTTCCCTTCGGGCCCTTTCATTCTTGCGTACTCTTACTTCCGCACCCACTTGTCCGTCGAAATATTCCCTCAATATCGTCGTGTGCAGTGGGTGCCCGGGGCCGTGCGGACACAAGTAGGGAGGTTGCGAAAAGTTGTGCCAAGAGAAAAGGGATACAACGATAACTATCGACACGGGACGAAGGCCATAACGCACCCCGCTTTCAGAACTTCGCTAGCCTAGCTCCACTTGACATTTTAATAGGCAATTCCTCCCGTGTTTTCTCCATCTCCGCGCTCAGTGTGCTGAGCACGCAGGGGGTCAAGTTGCTTTCGCAAGAGCCACGCCGAGTGCGGCGTCGCTGGCGCACCAAATGACGGGCAGTTTTGGCATCGAAGACGGGGCACTCCAGCCTCGGTAATAAACCACGTGCTGTGGAGACGATTCACTGAAGAGCAGGCCATGAGCAGCAGTGAACATGACTATCTGTGGAGGTTGGGAGGAGGGGGCAAGCCGTCAACGGAACTGACCCTCGATTCACTGCCTCACGGTTTGACACCAGGGAAAGGCGCGTCAGAGACCGCCCGGTACACACTCAAGAAAAAAGGGCGTAAAAGGATGTATCGTTACACCCTTTTGTCCCATATAATACACCCGAAAACTTCATTTCGACGTACAGCGCGCTATAGTCGAACAGACGGGCCAAAATTTCACGAGGGGCTTGATAACGGTGTGATATAACTTATTCAATAGCTAAAGTACGCATCAAAGACCACATAAAGAAAATACAGTTTTCACAGTAGGGCAAAGAAAACCCCGATTATTTTGTTTGTAGTCAGTAAAAAGTACATTAGCTATTTTAATAAGTTGTACCACACGGCTATCAAGCCCCTCGTAAAATTTCGGGCCTTCTGTTCGACTGTAGGGCGCTGTACGTCGAATTGAAGTTTTGCGGTGTATTGTATGGGACAAAGGGTGTAACTATACACCCTTTTACATCCTTTTTTTCTTGAGGGTGTACACACTAGCAACCGTAGATTTTGGGGAGCGTCACTCTTTTTTTTCCGGCTCTGGATTTCTCAATCGGTGTCTTCCCGCGCAAACAACTCGGAGCCTGAAAATTCAGCTCGATGCAAGATTCACCCACATGTCATATGTTACAGGTACGCCTAATCGCTTTTTTAATTAAGGATTCAAGCGTGAATTACCAACTAGCCCAAGCCTTCACATTAATTAAGGATAGATATTTTAGAGTAAAACCAAAGTTTGAACACAAAATCGCAAAATATATGTGATTGTGCTACACTAAAAAAAGGAGGTGGGCGGGAAGGAATACACAGCGTTTCAAGCGGACGCCCTTCTTCAAGACCGAATAAATACAAGACCCGGATAGACAAAGCAAACAGCGCTCTAACGTTTTCTTTTTTTTTGTTTTGTTTAATTTTGTTATAAAACAGACAGAGCCTGATTCATTTATCTAAATTATCTTTAATGTAGTTTTAAGTTCAGGTGACGAAGGAGAAACTTATCGAAGAAACACATATAAATAAGTACCAACATTTATTTTCAAAAACCTCACCCAAAACGCTAGTGATGCCAGGTAAAGCCTGGTTTAAATTTAAGCTCTAATCAATCTTGTTGCGGTAGGTAGACGCTGATCAGTGATTATAGCCATTTGTGGACTTTGTATTTGGGGTGTTGGTATTTCTCAGTTTGGTTCTATTTTTATAAATCTAGAGCTTTTATGGCTTTGCGTTATCTCAAGCAAAAATTATGTTTTCTCAGAGACGTAGCCTCCAAGTTCTCACACTCGTTTTGGTGATATCTAACTTTCTCTCTCTTCATATTTTGAGTATTATGAAAAGACAAACTGTTCATTAGGGAAACTCAAATCTCACGGAGGTTCGTCGATAGAATCTTTGAACTGTACTTTATTCTTGCATATTTCCTCATGTTCTGAAAGTATATAGATGAGCATTCGAAGATATATTTTCAGTTCTTATTTTGTTGCCGTGTTGGAGAATCTGATAAATAATAAATTACCGGTGGTTCATTCATCAGCGATAACCTAGCTGTTGGCTCTGATATGTTCATGTCCCGTTCACCATTCACAAGAGTTTTGTGTCCGAGCTGCGGGAATTAAATTGAGACTTGTCACAATACTAGCTTGCGGGGGGGCCTTTTTACAAAAGCAATTAGAACTGCAAACTTAAGTATATTTAAGCTAACAAATTTTATACGTATAATATGTTGTAAACTTGTCGCGGGAATGTATTGGTTGACACGCATTAATGTACACCTTTTGTTTATTTTGGCTAATAAATTTCCGTAGATTGCAGAAATATTTTTTACCCTGTAACATTGCCACACCCCCCCCCCCCCCCCTCCCAAACACACCCACGAGAAAAAAAAAAAAAAAAAAAAAAAGAACGACAGCGAAAGTTTTGTTTCCGCCAAGAAAAAATCCTGCTGACGCCCATGGCTGAGCTGTGACACTGCAACGCGCCCAAATACGTGCTTCGAAGGCACTGGATCGGGGGAACAGAAATAAACACACGACTTTTATTGTGTGTTACTCATATTCGTTTAAATACGATACGCTTTTCCTCCGGTTCGAAACGGTCGACGTAAACAACCAACTCGCGCGGTTCTCCCTCGAGCTGCTTGCGCTTGACAACTCATCAACATGAGACCATGAAACCAAACGGAACACTGCGTCCATTCACCTGGCCCGGAGGAAATCATGATCATTCTCGTTAGATAAAAATATATACTTGGCGCCTGTTTTCAACAAACAAAAACCAACTGCTTTAATAACCTAAATGTTTTTTTTGTTTTTTGTTTTTTTTTTTGGGGGGGGGGGGGTAGTTTTGGTGCAACATTTGCACTTGGGAGCAGGGTGGCGTAGCGAAAGTATATTGGCGCACAATGGCGCAGCGATTCAGTCATAATATAGCCCTTCTTGTACGAGTGGTAACTTTGGAGCACTACTGCGCTTCCACGCACACGTATCTTTTCCAAAAATACTGATTTAATGATTTTCGACGACGCTCAGCAAGTTTCTGATTGGAAGCTAGCATATATCTATTTTCACTAATTAAAAACTTAATGAAACAATTCTGGTTAATTATTCTACTTATCGTAACGATTAGTCCCCTATATGGTCCACCTAGCCGTATAACTCACCCGCACAAACTCTATTGGTGAAGCTTTCGTGTATTTTTTTTATAACAAATCTGCGAAGTTTCAAAAGAACCGCCCTGTATACATCCTACACCGTGGCCTCGGTTGCGATCTTTATAAAACAAACTTCTGCAAGTATGATCGACATATCGAAATACAGCTGCGATATTTTTGTTTTTTTCATTACTTCTTCAGCTTTTCATTCAAGTATTACCGAATTTATCTGGCATCTTGTTTATACGAAATCGTATGAAAATGAGACAGGGCGTAGATGTAACAGGGGTGAGAGAGTTTTGGCAGTTTCTCCTGCTGTGAGAGTTCGTGCAGCCAAGGTGCATCCTTGAGCAAAAACCCCGGCATTGTAGCCTCTGCCGCGGCGCATCTTAGGAACGGGCTTCGATCGGGTCACAGGAAAGCGCCAGCAGCTTTGACATCTTTGTACTAAACTGTGCCTGGAGGGGAGCATAGGCTCTTTCAATTTTCTAACACCAGGAAATGCAACCGTTCCTTGAAAATGACGCAAACATTTTCCCGGAAATTATAAACATGTATGGTGCCTGGAACACGTCTCCGACTGGTGTGTTTAGCGTCCTATGCTGCCCATACATCAAAAGTGGTCCCCAAGTGGCAACAAATGACGTCACAGAAGCCGGAGTGTCATGCTATTGACTGTCGCGATCCTGGCAGTTGGCCTTAGAAATGCTGGCGAAAAGCGCGAGCGAACGCGAGTGTCGCTGTCGTCACGGCGTCCCAACTTTCGGCTGCCGAAGCTTCCGTGGACTTTCACAGTGGGGAGCGACTTGCAGCAGAACAGGCGTCTGCCATATCCGCCACAGCTGCTGAGACACCACCAGGGTCGCGACCGGCGACAGCATGACACTTCTATGACGTCATCAGGCGGAAATCGAGGGACCACTTTTTTGGGCGCGGTAAACACACCAGTCGGAGACGCGTTCCAGGCACCATAATACATACAAAGGATATTACCCCATACTTGGGAATCAATTCTTGTACCCTATTAAAGTTATAACTAATTTCTTACATGTTCGCGAGAGTAATACAATTACATTTGCAAAACAAAACATGTTCCTTACTGTAGTTTCTAACGAGCAATAAACGTATGTAACCGCACTCGAATCGTTCTAACAGAATAGAATGATTTAAGCATACAACGCATAAGACTACACACAAGTGTTTCAACATAAGCATTACAAAAAGAGGAACAATTCTTAATTGCAGTGCAAGTATTTGTAAGCATTAGGCCTGTTGGGTGGCCTTCAATTTCTTCTCCTTGGGTGTTTTTATAAAGGGGGAACAATCCTTGAAACCATTTTTGCAAGAGTAATTAAGATATTTTGAATAAATTGCATTTCAATGGACAACAAGGAATGGCAATGTTTGCCTTCGGAGATAATTAAATTGAAATTCAACACATGCCAAGGTACAGGGCAAACAACTGTGTGATCATTGGTCTAACCTGCAACTAATGTTTAGGTTAACCAATGCTCAAAAGAGTACTGCAAATAAACATTCACTTTTATTTCAAATTTGAGAAACATATTGCTCCCTTGTCGCCATTTATTTCATGGGACATCAATAGCCGAAAATATTTGGCCCATAGGCATAATAAAGCTGGTTTCACACGCAAAACAAAATGCGATGTGAAATATAACATGCAATTATCTTTGAACCCTATGCTCTTGTCTAAGATTAATTTATAGATTAAATGTACACACCTAGCGCAATAAACACGCTTGTTCGGCAGTGAGTTGACAAAAATAAAAGCAAACATGCAAATGCATAAGCAACACCTCTACATGCATGGTCATTTAATGCCCTGAGGAATAATTCACTCAAATGCCATTCCGCACAATGAGCAACCGTGGCTAAATTATTAGGTAACAAGTCAATAAAACCCCTCTACCTTTAAAAACCTTTGTTCTGATTTGTTTGCTTTGTAAATACAAAATGCATAAAAATACTTCGAACTTGGAGATCTAAAGAAACAACAAACCTTAGGGAGATATTAAAAATGAAAGCTGGTGTTCTCCAGGCATTGCTCAGACCAATGTAAAATTGCATCTATTAATTTCACCAATCCATTACTGCAGTTTTGACATATCTGCTAATCAGAGATGTGTGAATACCAGTTCAAAACGAATAGTGCATCATAATCCTTAGCTTCAACAATTATTAACCTGCTGTTGTGGCTTTCCCTTCCACTGTGAAGGTTATGATTACAAATGACACAGTGCTATTCGACTAGAACCTGTATTCCCACACCCGTACTGATAATGCATTTGGTTTTACAGGGAGGCAAATTACCATAACACAAGTCCATAACTACAGAGAGAGTGGGCCACTGAAGTAAAAAAGAATGAAATGATAGTACACCGAGTTTCCACATGCATGAATACTCATTTAAACCATTTCTTGGATATCTAAAGCACTGCAAGAGGTATGAAAAAAGAATGGAAAGTGCATCCGACTAAACAAGCGAGCAGCAAAAAATCCAGCAAGCTGCAATGACACACAGTGAAAAGCTTGGTCTCTTCAGCCTCCCTCAACTATGTAAGTATCAAATCCCAACTGCAGCAAACTATGTTGATTTTGCATGGAAAGCCATAAAATATCCATCTAGGTATCTCTCAATTCTTAAATACAGCCGATGTTCTATAATCACCTCCAAATTCTCCTTACTGTGACAAACTGATTAATTAACATGTCAATAAACACCTCTACTCTTTAAAATTAATTCTGACTTTTTTCTTTAGTAAATAAAAAACAAATGTATAAAAATACTTTGAGCCAGTACATTTGAAAATATAAATCTTTTAAGAACATGACGTAAATGAAAGATTGTGTTCTACAGGCACTCCTCATGTTATGTTACATCATAGATAGTGTTTCCCCCTTTGAACAAGACCTGACCAATGTATTACTGCAGCTTGGGCATTTCTGCTGATGCATTATGAGTTTCATGGGGAGACAAATGTAGACAGGTGATCAACATCCACTAGTCCAGAGATGGCATTTCAAACACTTCTTTGATCTTTCGATGAAGGGGGAATGTGACGGCATTCTCAGAGTGGGCACCCCTGTGGTCGTCACAATTCAGGCTGAATGTCATGATTCCTCCAAAATTTTCAGATCTAATCCATTTTGCCTGCAGCAAAAGCAAGATTCAATGATGCTTCAGAAAGAGAAAAAAGCATGCTGCTGATCAATTTAACAAACCTATGCATCAACAGTAATTAGTCCCATTCATGACCCCGATCAGACTGCACTAACTATGATGATGTCACAATAGGTTTAAGGTAATAAAAAAAAGGCAAATGATAAATCATGCTCGCTTTGGGAAACAGCTCAGTTCGGGAAGCATGCAGGCACGCTGAAGTGTGACTGCCTGACTGCAAGCTCCACGCAGTCTTCAAAGACCTGGCTGTTTCCACTTGCATGGCATCTCTTACTGTAGAGAACTTGTCTGAATTAAAGTCTCTCTCAGGGGACTTCTAACTCTCTGGGGTGCCTCTAGGCGCAAGCATGCTTCCCCAAACAACAGAGCACGGGACAATATACGCCGCTGGCCGAAGTATGTGACCTCAGGTTCAGGCGACACAATGGTTGTAGTGGTGCATAAATGGGAAAGCCAGAAATGTCCAGACATTTCTGGTTTTTAGGGTGGTTCCCAAAAGTATTTGCAAGGTAATGGAATTTCTTTATGACAGTAAGGAAACATTGTAATAAATTAATTTTGGAGCACTACTGCACTATCTTAGGAGATGCCTCACCTCCAAAAAGATAGCCTACCTAAGTTCCTGGCATAATCTAGTTATGCAAAGACACTGGAAGTTATACCCCACACCTAGAAATCGCACGGCCAAGTCACCTTGGCAGAAACGGTGTAAGCAACGACAGAAGATGAGCAAACAATGAGGATGTTAAACGATAATCATCTTTGGTTCAGTAGCCCCCACTTGTGATAACAAGTTTGAAAGCCCACAGGGTACAAAAAAAGAGACCACCCCACTTTGTGCTTAACCGAAAACAAGTGATGCAGTAGAAGGCTGCATACGGAATTCTTTGGCACCATCAAGGAAAGAAAATATATGAACTCTCCTTGGGCAATGGTTGACCCAAGTTTTTCGTAGAGACTGGCAACCAGCCCAGAACCCTGTAATGTCATTAAAACCGCCATTAAAACCTTAAAAAAACCTTAAGTTGGCAAACTCATTGAGTGGCTCGAATCAGTGCAGCCCACTTATGCTTTCCTCTGTATACTATATGTGATAGCACTCATGGTGAGTTGACTGATACTTTGTGCAACAGCGACTGTTCATCCAAAGGCTTTGGTGATGAGTGAATAGACTACAAATAAACTGACTTTCATATTTTTTTAGAAGACATGGCCTTCCCCATTTGGCTACAATAGGTCTTGAACTTTCTTTTGTCACAGACCAAATGTCAGCCCACCCCCTATTTTCACCCAATTTGATCTTGATTTTAGGTAGGCTATCTCTTGGGATATTACACTAGTAATTCTAATTGCAATTAACTACTAGTACTATTGGTGCTAAGTAGTTATAATTGTAATTAAATTAATTTCTGAATAATTTACCCAAGTGCACCCCACACTGCTGGTTTTTCTTCTGAAGAAAGGTGGCAAAAGTGACATTTCTTCATAGCAAGAGTATCAGCAATAGTTATTCCCTTGTTTATGTGTATGGGAAGGCATGCATGAGTGTGGTTGCATATTGGGTGAGGTGTTGTGACACCCATTGAGGCTCTAAATTAAGTATTATTTTAGAGAGAGAAGCCCTGAAGTGTGCCGGAGAGAGATGAAGGGAGGAGAGGTAGCCAATGAGAATGCTGCTTTTGGCGTGTACATGTGGTGACGCTATGTACCCATTTTTGGCATGCGCGTTTGAAAGCTGTAAATAAAAAAAGTCTAGCGCTGAAAATAATTTTGCAAAAAAATTTCTTTTTGTGGAAAACTTGTTTTGTAATAATCATAATTTTTCTGAGCTGTTTAAATGTCTTTTTTTTAAGTGGATCATGTTAGTTTTTTTACAGTTTTGAGAAAGTCAGTGATTAAAGTCATTGCTAAAAGAATTCAGGCACTGCCTACCTTCAATTCCAGGCTCTCCACATCGTCGTAGCTGATCCACAGTTTCTTGTTGAATGCATACGGGACTTTGCACTGCTTGTCAAAAACACGCTTCCCACCGTTTGCAAGAAACTGGCAAACCTACAGACCAAACAACCACAGCCATTATCAAAAGGCCATTGAAGCCCGACAAGGCGGGGGATCCAAACATCCAGTGAGGTAAACACTCACATCAGGATATGTGACATAGCCACCCCCTTGCCCTTTTCCCAAGGTGGGGCACGAGACTCCATGCCAAACCTTGTGATACAGTCGCCACGAGAGGCCATAGGTGGGTACGCCCACCGCAATCTTCGACTTGGGCATTCCTTTGGAGACCCACAGCTTTGTTGAAGATTTCTGTTGTGGACACAGAAACATGTACTAGTAGCGGTTCATCATGTACGCAGTGTTCACCTGATCTAAGATTGTCTATGGCTTTTACCAAGTTTAGAGTGGCAAGATAGCCCACTTCTTTCTTCCTAGAAAACAGTGGGCTGTTGTGTCCAGCAAATGGGAAGTACCAATTGAAGACATGAAGGTCATAGGTCATCAGGTTGATGAAGTCAACCACCCTGGGAGGTTAGAATACAGCATACAATTACATGAAGAATAACACCAAGAATGGCAAAAATGAAAGTAGGTTAACTACAGTGGGGTCCCGAATCCAAGTGAACCCTTTCAACTGACTGTATAAGTCGACTTGGTAACGTGTCGCGCTAAGATTTACCGCAGGGGTGCTGAAGGTGGTGGAAGCATTGAATAGAAATTTCGAGGAACAAACTTACCCGAGTAAAAAGTAAGACAATAATAACTGGTTTTCTCCACCAATGGCACGCCCGTCTGCTAACCGCACACACTCCAACTGGCGTAACAACCGACGGATGGCTGCATGGGCCCCGGCGGCTTACGACAGTTCAGCAGCTGCCCAGTCGTGCCAAAAGCAGACAACCTTTTCTAATCATAAACGGCACACGCTTTTCCAGTGCTATAGACCCTTCAGATAAAAGAGCGCCACCTGTCGCATGGAAAGGCAACTAGCCCCGTCGCCATCTTGAAGAACACCGAGTCGCTCATGCCAGTCTGAGCATGTTGCAATGTTGCAATACTAATCACAGGACCTTCACTTTTTGTTGTGTAAAGTCAGAGGGAGTGGTTTGGCTGCTCAAATTAGTGAAGGAATTGCAGTGATGTGATTGGCCTAAGCCGTTTTGGAGCACCTTTCAGAGCAGCCAAAACAGTGTTTCGGAGCAGCAAAAGTGGCCTTTGGAGCAGCCAAAGCAGTGCTTTGGAGCAGCAAAAGTGGCTTTTGGAGCAGCCAAAACAGTGTTTCGGAGCACCAAAAGTGGCTTTTAGAGCAGATTTTCTTAGGAAAATAAAAATATTTGTTTTAAGTGGTGGACAAACGAAGGGCACTTTGCTCGCTGCAATAAACAAATTATGGTCAAGCTAGACCACCTGGGAGTCTTTCAACATGTAACTGAAATGCCAATGATATGACACATTTTGCAATGCTTCAGTTAAAGGGTACATATATATGTACACCCGCCGGCAATATGAAGGTGAACACCTTACCTCGTTTTTTGCCTGTTCTTGCAGTAGCGTATGATTTAAACAAGAACAGGAATGTTGATGAACATGCTGCAGTCCTTACATTTCAGTTCAGAAAGCGCCACATCTGCAGCGACGTGGGGACATCAACACCCGACGTTGCGCGACCACGGTGACTGGCAGGCAGAGACCAAATATAGTTTTCCCAAGGCCGTCGTTTTCAGGAGCGAGTGCTCCAGCTCACAAAGTAATTTCCGCCGCGCAAAAACTTCACAGTATGACGGCATGGCTGGCCTGGTACCTGGTACGCTACCGTCGGAGCATCCACACATGGCCGCGTCTATGTTTGAAAATTTTTTAAAAAGACGCGAGACGAGACTTGCGAGACGACGAGCGCGAGAAACGAGAGACGGGGGGAAAAACCATGCAAGATCGAATGCACATTGATATACGGCTCTGACATTGATGCAGGGTACTTTGTGTTGGGCGGCCGCTTGCGCCACCTAACTCACGCATGCTCAATTATGGTACTCAGTTTAGTTTTGGTTTGGAAAGGCGACCGAAATCGGTCCTTTGGCGCAGGCTTGGTGCAGATTACCCATATTTTGGCAAAATGTAGCAGGATGTAGCAGGGTTAGCCCCTTGGCGCAGTTTGGCGCAATTGGCGCAGCAATCACATCACTGGAATTGTATTTGTCTAGTTCTGCTGTGGTGTGCAAACTAAAAGTCAGACACGATCAGGGTGGTGACTGCCCGTGTGATATGGCAAGGCGCAAGGCCTGTTTGACATGGAGATTTGTAAGCGAGTCTGATACACTACAGATAGAGTTACTATTGTTATCTTTGAGTAGTGCGCTGCTATCGGTATTGAACACAGGTTTATTCGCGTGGGAAGCTGCCTCATTGATGCGGAAGATAGAGAGGTAAAATTACCTTCAGCCTGCGTTGCTTGTTTAGCAGATTTAAGCAGCTGATTAATTACAGCATTCAGACTTCTAAGTACAATTCGAAGTGATGCTATCACAATATTTTTGTATAATATGTGTACTTATTATTTTCCAAAGATTGATTGTTCTAGCAACTATGTTCGACAAGGCGTGGGAAAATGATTCGGCTGTGAACATAACTAATTGAACGATAGATTATAATAAATTTTTGTGCAACAGATCTTGAAGTAAACATGTGCAAATGTTAGAACCTGTGGCAGAACTTAAGAAAAGCCCAGTGAGAATTGCAATATCATCAAATTTGACTTACATAACCACTCTACACAGATGATGTACTAGGACTGTCCAGGCCAACAGAATGGGACACTGCTTTTGCAAAACCACTCCTAGACATAAAACCTAACTGTTTCGCATTCTGTCTGCAACCTACTAGCGAGTTTGGCAGTTAGTGGAGTTGCGAGCACAACATATAGCAATCAATAAGCCCGTAGTCACCAGACCGGTGACAACTGTACACTGCATGTTACATAAGCTTGCGACTGATCGTGAATAAACTCTAGAATAACAAGATGATGATACCGCAAGCCTTTCAACTTGCTTAGCCACGAACACATACTTACCTTGCACAACAGGGTGGCCATAAAAGCATCACCAAAACACCTAAAGAATGTTCAAGGAACTAATGCACTTTGCGTTAATAAATTCATACCACTCAGTCGCTTATTCTTATTCCATTTCACCCACAACCTTTTCCCAACACCATGAAACTGTTGTTTTATTGCATTATTGTGTTGTGTTCTGTATACACAGAGGCACCACCTACTTAAACTTCCTATTGGAAACTTTTTTCTTTTTGTCCGGTTCCCTCGACACAAGTTTTTTCTAATAAGGTTCAAGTTCAAATTTGTACTGGGGCTGGGTAAACAAACCGGAAACAACCATCCGCTGCCCAGTGTAAACTAGCCAGATCTAGCTCCTTTCACTGTTATCAAACCTTTTGAAAGGAGTCTACAACATGATTTCATTTTCATTCCCAATAAAACACATTAAATGAACACAAAACAAATAAGATCGACAGTTTGTCAAGTAACTGAAACTACATGTCATCTGCTTTTGGCATGATCGGGCGGTTACCGAGCTGACGTAAGCTGCCGGGGCTGCTGCCGCCATCCGTCAGTTGTTGCACAAGTCAGAGGGTCTGTGGTTAGCAGACGGGTGCCGTAGGTAAAGAAAACCAGTTATAATTCTTTTTACTTGTGACTTAGGTAAGTTTATTCTTTGAAATTGTGATGTGTTGCTTCCACCACTTTCAGGCACCTCTGTGATAAATTGTAGTGCCATACGTTACCAAGTTGATTTATGAGGTTACTTTAAAGGCCTCACCCAGATTTGGGACCACACTGTAGATTTGTCCCAAGACATGTTTAAAGAGCAGGGCTTTTTATACCTGTGCAAGCTTTGGCCAATGTGTCATCTATGAGGCCAGAAACTAGTCCTCATGTACAGCCTTAACTTTCAATGAAATGTGAGGCATGGACACCAATAGATTGACTCTAGAATGATAGCTTCCTCAAGTTAGAGAAGCTCTGCATTGCAGTCATGTCGCAGTGATATGGACCGGCTAATATGAACCTTCCTCCATACGGTCAAAATGTTCAGGAAGAGACCTCACTTCATAGAATTTTTTTCCATTACCAAGGAAACCAAGTTGCACTATGAACAAACTGACTAAATGCCCACATTCTCTCATTACGACATACAGAAATTCGCTGGAAAATGTCAACAAACAACAACAATGAAAGGAAATACTGAAGCACTTGGATGAAATACCCGTCAGATGATGTACACAAAAGACCACCCCCTTTTGTTGTTTTTTTGCAAGCTTTAACTTAAATTGTTAGAGCCATTGAAGTGACACTATCCTTAAAAAGAAGAGCAGAAAAACATGCCCTACAGGTAAGAGACGACTTGTGCATTCTAGATTAAAAACAATTAGATGCCAAAGCGTCTGTGCTAGCAGACACGAAGTCAAATATTTTTCCTGTAAAGAATTCTTTTCTGTGGTCAAGTAAATTTTACACAATTGGTGTTTCTGACCCGGCTCTGTTATTATGAATAATATTTCATGGGAAGAGAGGCATCAATACATCCATATTAACAAGACAGGACTGAGACACTGCTCAAGTTAAACTTTAAAATAGCCACATTCAGAGAGAAACGGATGACCAAAACTGGCACTGTTTGTAACTTGTTATCAGTAAATGTTCTATTAGAAGTCAACCCCCCCCCCCCCCCCCCCCCCTTCCAAAAAAAAATCCTTACTTTGCAATTTCTGGAACATTGTAGGAGCCATTCGTAATCATGCTCTGAGGAGCCACGGCGGCAGAGAGAATGAGCCTTTGCTTGCCGGAAAGCTTTGCGTCTTGATCAAATGCACTGTATAACCTCTGCAAAAACCAAACATCCAGCAAAGTTTTGATGGCCATGTGGCCATATTAAATGCCTACACTAACAAACCTGTAAGAGCCTTGTGAAGTAGAGTTTGCCATTCCGTATGTTGTTTGGGAACTCCCAGTCAATATCAATACCATCCAGGTCATTCCTTCTCAAAGTCTCCACGACAGACGCCACGAACCTTTAAAAGACGACTGACAAACATTAGATAACATGCCTGGTGACACATGTTGAAACAAACTATGTTTTGGAGAATAGCAAGCATCTCTCAACCAAATTAAATGGCTGTAATTTTTGGACAAAACTAAGAATGTACTGAAATTTGGAAAGCTATAGACTGTTGCAACTCAAGAAGGCAGGCGAGGAAAAGGAAGGCGGGGAGGATGAAGCAGACGGAATGCTGGACAAAAGGGGGAAACCTCCTCTTTCCAGCATACTGCCTGCTTCCTCCTCCCCGACCTTCTATTCTCTCGCCCTACCTTCTTGAGTTGCAACGGACTATAGTTTTAAGCACGAGAAAACAAAAATAACTTGTTTTTGTCTGTCATGCTCTGGCCAAAGAACAGCCTCATTAGAATAGTATGGTACAAGAATGACACCAGCATCATTTGGCTGAAGGCTCTTAGGGTATGGCACCTAACCAATGTAAAGTACTGTAACAATCGTGTTACAGCATAAAAGAGTATGAGGATACTATGCTAGCTAGTAGTGCTCCATGTATTAGAACAAAATCTTTAATTAAAATTTGGGTATACAATAACCTGATGACATAAGTTTCTCTTAAAAAAACCACTGAAAAAAAAAATGTGTGTTTTTTTTTTTAAACAGTCTGGTTGACACACATGTCAAAAAAATTTTATGCAATTTTTTTTTAAAAGCAATATTGATGGCACGAGATTTATTTTAAATTTTGCGTGCAAGTCCACGATGTCACGAAATGGTCATACGGTCTTTCCAGCTCAACAAGATGGTCATACACTCTCTCCACTTCAACGTGATGGCCAAGCCGATTCACCTCTCTTCCACACCCCCGAAATGCCGAGAGAAAACAAGTGGAAAGGAGGCGACTACCAACTAAATCGCGTCTGGCGCCGTCAATACTTCTCTAAAAATTTTTTTTTTTCGCACAAAATTTATTTTTTGACACGCGTATCCCAACTACTATTTAAAGAAAACATTTTGTTCTTTTCAGTAGCTCTTTAAAGGGACATTGACAGGTTACTTACGGTTGCCAAGGTTTTTATTTGTACATGACATACGAGAGCCCAACTACTCAGAACGCAATTTGCGGCTCAAGATTAGTTTTCTTTCGAATACCCAAAAAACTGCCTATCGAGAACTGGACAGTCTGAGTCGCGCTCCTTCATGGTCATGCGCAGTTTTCTATGGTTTAGACACAACCACCAAAAATAATCAAGGTCATCAGAAATCGTAGGCACATGCTGAGTACTAAAAATAGACGAAAAATATGATACCCATGTCCTGTGGTTTCTAGAAAGCTGCGAATACGTTGATTGAAAAAAAAAAAAGAAATGTTGCAGAGCCACATGACTTCCGGTAACTTTCTCCTCCTCTATATTTCTTCTTCCTCCCAAGTCCAGTTTTGGTTTCGGTGTCAGTTTCGAGCAGTTGCATATTTTTACTTTATTAAAAATATATGTGATGCTGTAGCAAAATATTGACTGGGCGATCTTCACACACCATAAAAAAAGACCTAACAAAAAATTTAATTTTTTTTTTCTTTTTTTTGAGAGGGGGGGGGGGGGGGGTGTGTGTCAGTGTCCCTTTAAAGGACCTGTGCAGCAATTTCAGTGCTTTGCTTAAATAATTTGGGAGTTGGTGTCTCGACCTTTCCGAAGTACAGAACAAAAAACCAAGTTTGCCTGCATGTCCTAGTTTTCATTTTAAAATGGACAAAGATTGAGGTTTTCGGCAACTCTCAACTCCTTCATCATCTACGGAGTCACGTGCGCTGTGACGCCAATGGGGGTCGTGCAGGGTTCCGGTGAAGCTCTCTCTCTAGAGCCATCAGTGAGCAGCGAGAACTCATCCGCTCGCAACCGAGTGACCACGTGTGGCGCAGCGCGAACAATATGGTGAAAGGAAGAAAGCCTGATCCGGGTTCGGCCATCCCCCGTCCGGCTAAGCCCCCCTCCCCCTCCGGCTTCCGGTGGCTATTCGCGGTAGCAGATAGAGCCGACGCTTTTGTGGACCTAGGATAGATGGTGCCACTAAAAAACTCCATATAATAAAAGTTTTGTCGATGATACCAGGTTTTTGACGTATTTATATTTATGTTGGAACGATAAGATTTATGGAGAAGTTACCTTTTATCGAGCAGGTAATCGGTACAACTTCCTATCTTTCTACAAGACCCCCATTGACGTCATGCCGCATGGTTCTCGTGGCCGCCGCTCGCGGCTGCAGGTCAGGGAATATTCTAATTTTTGCCTCGCGATTACGTGGTGGAATCGCAACATTTTTAATGAAGGAGGTGTATTTTCTGTCCTTTGTGACAAGATAAACAATGTCAAAAGTAGAAGATGCCAATTCTTTCAACACTAAAATCAATGCGCAGCTCGTTTAAGAGAAATTTGTGCACCTCGTGAAAGCCCATCTCCATTTTCTAGGCATGACGGTCAGTGTAAAAATGAGTTGTGAAAAAAAGAAAACAAGCACCTGTCGGTGTTTGAAGCATCAGAAACCATGCTATGAAACCCATGGGCATTCCCTCCTCCACCCACTGAGAGCATAACTTTCAGGGCAGGGTTCTTCTCTTTCAGGCTAGCCACAGCCTGGTAAGATGCGTCTCCGTCTGTTGATCCTTTGCTCAAAACGCCGTCTGCCACCTCTGAGAAACCCAGGATCAGGTGAGTGCACAGGGTGGTGTCAATGGCAGTGTGCTTCAGGTCACTCTGGTCCCATTTGTAGTAGCATACAGTCAGAGAACCTGTAAGAGAAAAACATTTCAGCCACAAACATGACGTCAGAAGTTTGCTAAAGAACAGAAGCAAAAAAAATAAATAAATAAGAGTCAGTTACAAGAAGGAAAAATTAATAAGCAGCAACCTTATCAAAGTCAAAATGTATGCATGTGACTCTGAAGACAGGTTGCTGAACTTTCAACATTACAAAAACCAGAGGCAAAGCAAACACAGTAAAGGCAAATAAGTTGAGACCTTTGAGTTTTTCAACTCTTTTCAGTGCTTCCCTGGGCAATAATAATAAAAGCCAAATTACCTTCATAACCAGAAATTAACAAAAAAAAATGTATGAGTGGGATGGAAAACAAGCATACCTAAATTTGTGCAATTGTGGACAAGAAATGTGAAATGAAAAAGTTAAAGACGTTTACAACACCCTGTAACCCCGAATCGGAGTGCAGCCCTTGGGGAGGAGGAGGGAAGGGCACTGAGGGGAGGGTGTACACCTCATCCTTCCTGCTACTCCTCCTCCCCTCCTCTTCCTCCTCCCTCAAGCTGCTCCCCCTCCCCGTGAGGTGCATTATGGGACACTTCCCATCATGCACCGCGCAGTTATGCCGACGGCGACGCGGGCGCCTAACAGCTGCGCTCTAAAAGACATCCATCTGTTTTTGACCACCTGTGGATTGTTCCTTTGCATAAGGTAGAGCCACAAACAGTCAGTATTAACAGACCCCAAGACCGACCAAGTTTATAAAGTGGACTTGTATACTCTGTCCTCCCATTTGCCTCAGTTTCAGACATTGTCAGGTATGTTTGCCTTCTCAACAAGGGGTGGCCAAGAAAAGTTAAAAGAAAAACTCACAGGAGAGACTCGCTAGAAAGCTGCGAAATGTGAAAGAAAAAACCAGAAGCTTTTATGGGTGTGGAGAAACACTCACCTAAAATCTGTGAACTGGGCCTATGATAACCTGTCCAAAGCCAGCAATTACAACAACCCACATATGTCACCATTTATAATTAAAAAGTTGGCAACCTCCACAGATGGGGTTGAGCAACAAATATTAATTAAAGAATTTCCACAAGAATAACATCTGGGCAAAAAATGGAACCAGTGCATGCTCTGTTTCCTCCTGTACTGCAGTGAAGGCCGTGCTCTGTTTAACTTTAAGTATGAGCATAGTAGGAGGTATAAGAGCAAGACCTTGCCGTTCAACGCACCTGTCGAGCTTGCACGCATGTACAGCGTACCTCATTTATTTGAAAATAGTTCGACCTTCTTATGAACAGACCTGTGTGCCTACTTTCCCGCAAAACCTTACGAAAGTAGCCGGCGAACGCCAAATCAGAAATAACATTAGGAATATTTAAAATTGTGGTCCGCACAGATCTTATTCTTGCGTTCCAACGTTATCTGCACCTCGTCATTTGCCAGGCCTCTTCCGTAAATTGCTATGATTGGTTCTTCTTGAGTGCTGCAGAGAAATACAAGTGCACGCAATGTTCTTAAAGAGGTCAACCTATTTTTGACTGGTGAAGGCGAGTGGGTTGAACATGAATACATAAATTGAAAGAATAAAACACAGAGGACAACCACAGGACAACCACTTTCTTTCATTTAGCAACAACGTTTATTTTGGGCGAAGACATTGCACCTGGAGCGAGACCCCGACTAGATAGGTTGATAAGGGGGAAGGCTAACAGGGAGATGGAAAGGGTGATATGGGGGACAGAAAGGAAACCTTGGAGATGGAAAGGTGATAAAGGGGAAGGGAAACTGAGAGAGGGCAAGGTGATGGGAGAAGGAAAGGGAGAGCCACGCGGCACGGGCAGAACTACCGTGATGTTGTGTATTTACAAGGAGTTGCAATTGTTTTCAGGTTCAGGCTTGAGGAATTCAAATTCCCCGTCTTGATAAGGTTACTGAGGCCGATGAAACATTGTTTTCTGCGTTCTGGATGAAAAAAGATTAGATGATTTCACGTCCGTGGCGATTGCGGTGTCCCCCTCTTGTCTTGGTTCCTGCGAAGTCAGGCGCACATCGAATGCATTCGTTCGCGTGAACCGCGATCGGATGAATGGTGTAGTCGGTTCTTGAAGTGGCCTCGTTTTCGTGCTTTCTCAAGCGGTCATTGATACATCGGCCGGTTTGTCCTATGTACTCGGCACCGCATTTGAGAGGAATGGAGTAAACTTTTTCTGTGCAGCAGGTCCGGAAAAGGGTGGCGTGCTTTTTTTCGCAAGCCGGCTTGGCTTCTTGTCGGTTGATCATGTTGCACATGCTTGCCAATTTTAATCTACTGGAAAAAACAACTTTCGTGTCATAGCGTGATGCAATGGATCGGATACGATGGGAAGCATTATGAATGTAAGGTGTGCTGGCTATCCTTCAACTGAAAGGAGTTTTTGTAGTTGCTTTTGGGTTAATAAGTTGGTGGAAAACAGACACGAGGCATTCCACTGGATATCCGGAACTCAGGAGTCGTCGAGTTTGGCTCTTTATGCTATCTGTTGTCGAATGTTGACAGGATTTCGTTTCAGCTGATGTGAGTAGCGTCTTGATCTTAACAGTCTTTGAATGAGCACTCTCAAAAAGGAGCACCGGCTTTTCTGAACGCTGACTGAATGCCCAGCCAACGTCTTCGTTGGTTTTTTTCAATTACAGGTCTAGAAATTGTAGCCCTTCCGAGGAAGGATGTTCCTTTTTGAATTTTAGCTTGCCTCCTGCGCGTTCCTCAAACCTGAACTTGAAAAATATTGCAACTCCCCGTAAATACACAACATCAGGGTAGTTCTGCCCGTGCCTCGTGGTTCTCCCTTTCCTTCTCTCATCACCCCTTCCACCTCCCAGTTTCCCTTCCCCTTTATCACCTTTCCATCTCCAAGGTTTCCTTTCCCTCCCCATATCACCCTTTCCATCTCCCTGTTAGCCCTTCCCCTTATCAACCTATCTAGTCGGGGACCCGCTCAGGGTGCAATGTATTCGCCCAAAATAAACGTCGTTGCTAAATGAAAGAAAGTGGTTGTCCTGTGCTTGTCCTTTGTGTTTTATTCTTTCAACTTTATCTATTTTTAAATAAATACAATAGTTTAGGGTAGCATGACCATGTTTGTAACTTCAGCTTTGCTTGCACAAAAAGTGCTGGCACAAACTGAAACAAACTATAGTACACCAAGCGTAATCGCAAGAGTCTGTGGAGCTGACTCTGAGATGCATCCTTGAGCAAGGAGCTCACTTGTGGCCTTTGATATGGCACTACATCTTGGATGGCTAATGGCTATATCCTGTAACACAGGCATGTAGCCAGGATTTTGTTTCGGGTGGGGGCGGGGGGGGGGGGGGCCTGCCTATGACAAAATGCTGTATGAGGGGGAGGGGGGGAGAGGAGGCCCCAGCGAAATGGAAGATGTTGGGGGGCCCCGGGCCCCATGCCCCCCCCCCCCCCCGAACCCCCCGGCTACGTGCCTACTGTAACGGGCGGCAGCTTATGCCACATAGCCTAACATTTCGTCATCCCTTCTTTTTTTAAATTTGTATAAAATTTTGTTCTAACACAACCCTCCCCACTCCCCCTTTTAAAGCGTTTTCATTGCTAATTTTTATCTGTATATTTTTTTTACCCCTCCCTAGATCTTTTTTAACAATCTTCCGATCTCCTCTTAGTTACAATTCTGTTCCTATCCATTCGTCCATCCATGTCTGCGAATCCCAGTGCCTTCTCCAAATCTGTAGTCATTCCCCCCAAGAGGGTGGGAAGAAGCCCCGTGCACCTTAAAATTACATGTTCTATAGTTTCCCTTTTGCGTTGGCCTATGTCGCATAGAGAGTCTATTTCCTGGAATTTAGCCCTATATGTTTTCGTTCTTAGCGCCCCCGTTCTAGCTTCAAAGAGCAATGAGCTCCGCAATGAATTGCTATAAAACGGCTCCTTCTTTATTTCTTGTTTTTATGCTGCGTATATTGTTAAAGCTGATTTCCCCCGCATCTCTTCCTACAATTTCCTCTCAGTTTCCTTTACTCCCTTTTCTACTGATATGCTCTCGTTGAATGTATTTAGATCTCAGCTTGTGGGTTCAGTCTGTCCACTTAGTGTTTAGACTTTTCATATATAGATACTTGTACACTTTCCCTGCCCACCGTGTATCCTCAATTTCAGCTAGTCTTTCTTCAAATTTTACTTTACTGAATGCTTCTCAACTTTTGAAAGATGCCCAACCCATATCCCCCTGTACTCCCCCACTTGTGTATTCCCATGTACCCCCAATGCCAACCTACCCACACTCCTTTGCTGTATCTCTATACCTGCCTGGATTTCTGACCTCATACACAATACCGCATTCCCAAATGATACATCCCTGACGACTTCATATCTATTTAGTTCCAGAGTGCCCTGTGTTTTATATTAGCTGAATCTTGTTTCCCCTTCTTTATTACAATATTCCTGTTCTTTTAGATACTTCTCTCACTTAACCATACTCCCAAATATTTGTATTTTTCTACATGCTCTACCACTATGTCCTGTATCTCCAGGGGTTCCTTCTTCTCGTCGTTGAAAACTATTATACCCAACTTGTCTCTACTGAAGTTTAAGGCCTAAACTATCCCCTTGCCTACTGCAAATCCTAATCAGTTCCTGTATTGTCTCACTACTTTCTGCTATGAGTACAATTTCACCTGCATTCGTTAACCCTGGCAATACTTGATTTACTTTATGTCCTTCCTCCATGTAAGTCAGGTCAAAACCTAGGTTGCACTGATCTAATCGTTTTTCCATCTCACTGATGAAGTATATCACAAAGAACAGGGGAGACAATGGGCAACCCTGTCTAAGTCCTCGTTTTACTGCTGCTGGTCTTGTTGTTTTGGCTTCCCATGTTATAACCACCCTATCCTCCGTATAAACCGGTCTAGAAATTGTCATGTGCCCCTTCGATGTCCAAAAAATACTAGGTACCCATAATGGCCTTTAACTTGTCATTGCTATCTCTATGCCCTAATTAAGGTAAAACTCAAGATGTTAGTTGCAACTCTAGTTTTACCTAGATTTTTTGACATTGAAAAAAAACTGTCGGGCAGTAAGTAGTGTGCAAAACTCTCCGTAGTTTGCCCCCTTTTCTTTTAGCATTCAGAGATATTTGAATGACAACAGACTTTATTAACACAGATGTTTCAAGGAAAGGCTTCTCTTTTTGAGATGTGTACAAACTACAGTTACAGGTTTTTAGAAAGAAAGAACTCCTTGAATTCTAGAACCTAAATAAATACCTGTAGCCTTGTTTTCACTACAGCACTAATGTTATCGCAGTCACCTTCCAAACAAGAGTTTCCAGCCGTTTGTTGCGACCGGACTATTCTTACGAAAACTTAAATTCATGGTTAACTTTTCTCCAGGTCTGCCAAAAGTGTGGTGTGCTGTTCTCCGGACCTGCCAAAAAAAATGGGTAAGCTCTTCTCTGGTGAGCTATTAACTATGTGATGCACCTAACTCAGCCAAAGCAATGCTATTTTGTTTTTGTTTTCTGTTTCTTGCTGCTTGGTAGTTCTGCTTCATTCTTTTTCTTGTACTCTCAATCATACTTGCTGCTGACGTGTAACAAATCTTTCTGCTGTTTAATATTTCACCAATATTGATGTGGCGCCTTTCCCCAGGCACAAATGCAAGCTACAAATTTTAAAATATTCCTGTACTGCCCTTGCAAATACATTCTCAATTTAATTCTTTGATACTGAAACAATAATGTTGAGTCAACAATTGTGCTTATTCGCCTCCAATCAACGACAAATGGCAAATGGCGCATACCAGATAAAGAATGTATAAACAATGTACGTCCGGCAGGTTGAAATTGATTTCCTGGGGTGGATCATTTGTGTAATCGATGTCAACTCTAGGCGACTTCTGACTAAACAGACTTAAAACATTACAGCTGTCTACTGTGGCCTAACCGTTGCAAATTTAGTCGCTTGATTGCCCCTCTACCAATAACTAGGCGTGACTGTCACGTAAGCTCAGCTCAAACTTTAAATTTATGCGAAACATGAAAGCAACAGCTTACCTCCCTCTGTTGCCATTTCCAGACTTTCGAAGGCACTGCAGAAAAAAACGCGCCTTGCCAGAAGTTCTGCTGTAGTTGTCTATGATTGTCTTCCGTAGCAGGTGTCGTTCACTTTACTTATTCATTCATGCGCAACGGAAACATGCACACATCGGGCATGATCGGCACATGCAATCCGGCGATTGAGAGAGATTCCGACGACTCCTAGACTCCCAGAGCCGTGTCTGCAGACTCCCACGTGCGACAACTTTTAGATTGGGCGGTGGCTAGCACCCCCTGTCCAGTGTCGAACGCAAACCCTCCGCGATTTTTCGCGCCGCGGAAACCTTCGCTCCGGCCTTCCCAAACTACTAGTTGGTCAGCCATTTCAAAGCTGCAACGAGTCACTCGCTGTAGATGAGAAATTTAGCCCGTGCAGTACAACCGTTAGGCTGGGGTCTTTCGCGTGCACCACGCAGTAGTGGTACACGACCGCACGCCGGTACGATGCTCATCCAGATCGAAAAGAGCAGGGGAACCCAAATCCCTGGGTTCCGCAGCGCCTGCTTTCGCTCCACATGCTCCGAGCTTGGCCGATTCGGCCACTGATCCGTCACCGATCCCGCTTGCCCAGCAGAAGCCAGCCGACCCAGTTCTCTAGGTCTCCGCATCCGGCGCCCCCAAGCGACCCGCAGCAAGTCTCTACGGTCTTAGTGCAGGCACGATCGACAAGGTAGAGGTGGGCACGGGTCGGTGGGCACGATGGCACGATGCACCCACAAAGAAGAAAACATCCAGTCGTAACATAGAAAAATTTATTCTAGGATGAAATGCTAAGACAGTGACAGTCACAAGATCGTTAAAACGTACACTAATATGCTTGGAAATGGTAGCAAAAGGAAGAAGCATTAGAACTTAAACAAATTCGATAAATAATATCACAAAGTCACACAAACAGATACAAGATCCGCAGCTCTCTGTCATAATGAATATGCTAGTCATGCTGCATGTATGTTTTTTTCCCCCCTTCAGCACTATGCGTGCACATGTGGGATGTCTCATGAACATTGGGAAGGTTGCTTTGTGGACGGGTTAGAAACTGTTCTTTCTGAAGAACCTTAAAAAACACAATATCCCATTGAAGCAAGCTTTAAGTAGTCCAAGAAGCCAATGATGGAATCGTGAATGCATCGCTTTTCTTAACCATATGCAGCCAGTTCTGACCAGTTGTTGTGCGTAAAGCTACAAGCATGAATCAAGACAGTTCAGCCTACTTGCACAAACACATTTTCAAGCACAAATTATTCGATTTAATTCAAAAGAAACAGTAGCTCGTGCCTTTACACCCCAACGGGAAATTGTTGTTCTATCCCTGGTTCGTAGCAGATTGAAATACAACTCCAAAAACACAACTGGCCAGAAAAAGAAGATTCCAGGCACCCAGGTGTAAGGTTCGACCTTGCAACTTTGAACTGAGAACTCTGCAAGTGCACAGCCAAACTGCAACCAAAAGGCAAGGAGAACTGCTTGTAAATCTACCGCACTCAGCCTTACACTGCAAGCAACTACGCTGCCTGCCACCTCTCCGATCGTTCTCCAATGACAAATTACACTAAAACACAGCCGGGAACAGGGTGCCGTAAGAGCCCCCATTCCCGTAGCACGCACATGCGCTGATGGATGCAATGTATGGTCACATGGTTTATAATGACAATATAGTTATAATGGCAATTATGTGAAAACAAAAAAGAGCAATGGTCGCTACAACATACTCAAAACACCACCATCGTCACCACAACAGTAAACAACAACAAACGGGGGAAGGGGGGGAAACAACAAACACCACCAGACACTGGAAAAACTCTGCTTCACCACAACTTGAGCACTGATGTACCATGAAAAATAGCTCCAAAACTCTCAGCCTTGCACTGTCCGGGCCCCGCCCCTCGGAAGTTGCCGGAGCAGTAACACCTTCCAATGAGCCACGGCAGATGGTGGCACGGGGGCCATGCTTGCAGAAGGCAGGGCAGAGATTCGACGTGGGTATGCAACTGTGTACAGGATGTGTCGCGCACAGGCGTCGGGTGCGAGTGGTGCGCCCCTGCCTGGATGGGTGCACGACAGGAGGTCTCCGCACGAGATCAATTAGAAGCCAGTCTCTGCCCATTCTTGGAGCGACGACGACAGCGGCGAGTCTCTGTTGTTTGCTACTCTTTTGCAAAGCTGGAGCTTTTGCAACCACGTCTCTCAGCTTTCTCCCAGTCTTTCTTGTTTGCAGACGGCGCTCTTCTTATGCCGCATTCCTCGGACACCACTTGTCACGCTACATGTGCGCTTCGATGCCAAGGACAAGGCAGGCAAGGAAAGAGATGGGCTGGTTAGTCATGTCCGCACCATGAAAAACTAAAACACAACTGAAACTTAAGAAATACATCACGGAGCAACGAAAGAGTACAGAAACAAATAAAATAAAGGTTAACAGGCAAGGAAAGAGATAGGGTGGTCTGTCACATCGACACCCGGAAAAATTAAAAGGCAACTGAAGCTTAAGAAAGACATCACAAAGCAATAAACGAGTACAAAAAAAAAAAAAGGAAGTTCTCGTTTGGGGCAGGCTGTTTTCCAATAGTTTTGCTTCTCATTCTTCTTGAGCAAAATCAAATATATGTACACTCGACCTCCCTTTCTCCCTCCCTCTTTCAAAAACAAACTAAACAGCACAATGCACCCACAAACAAGAAGAAAGTGAACAGCACACGAGAGGAGTGACGAACCAGTGTTTAGCCATAGAAAGAACGGCGCAAAGCCCATTCGCGCAGCGCCTCGCTTGAACTCAGTTTCGACAAGCCCAGCGCTTGATACACAAGCACCAAGGCTCGCAGCACCAGCACAGCTTTCCGTCGGAGGCCCACCGAAATCGAGTGAGAGCAGCACGGAACAATTGTCCCTCGCAACAAGGTTCGGTCCTTCGGGCAGGAGGAGGACAGCAGAGGAGGTGGTTGCCGCGTACACCGTCCAAGCAGAGAAGAGCACCGTACCGTAGTTCACCAGTCGGGGGGCACAAACGAGCAGTCAGTGTATAATAAATTATAAAGAGTATTTTTTTCTTTTTTCTTTTTCGAGTACACAGTTTCGATGAGCCGAGGCAAGCAGCGGCGACACCCGTTTCGGCACAGACCCTAGCAGCACGCTCCTTGAACCCGCACAACACTGTCACAAGCGGTAGCAGATGGAAAGACGCCAACGGAACAGACGAGGCACGCATTGAACGGAAATCCCAAAGTAGAAGCGGCACGACAAGGAGCGGCGACGGCAGAAAACGGTGCAGAAGAGGCGGGCAATCAATTGTGTGTGCCTAGGAGGCTGTGGTGGCGTCAGATGGGAGGCGTGGTCGACACCAGGTTGCTGATGCGCTGCCATAAGTCCTTCTTGCAGGACTTGGAACGCCGGAGGCTGTGCAGGAGCTCCGTGAACTGCACCATGCCTCCGGGTGTGAGCATGAAGGCCATTCGTGCACTACGCAGGATGTTGATGAACTCGTCGTACTCGGCTGGCGTGATGTGGTACATTTTGGTGTGGGTGCAGGCAATGAACCTGTGCAAAACAAAGCAGAACAGGTGGCAAAAATTTACCGACGATCAAGCATTAAAGATTAAGGACCAATTCAACCTTGTATAAAGACAAATGATATGAACAGAAATATACCAAGGTTGTGGGGAAGAGACGAACAAACAAGAGGAAAGTTAAAGCGGTCATTTGAAATCGTCATTTTAAGCCCCACTCAATCTACACGTCTTAAGCATCCTAAAAGTCTCAAAATTACAAATATCCGTGGCCTTTTCCACTATTAAAAGTGCAACCAAACAGCAATATTCACCTTTTTGGAGATATATCTCAGAAAAAGGACATATGGTCGTATTTTAATAGGGGAAAACACATGCACGATTGTCATTTTTGGTTTTCTAGGGTGCATAGATTGAGCCTGTGCCGTAAAAAGACTATCTCAAAAACAACTTCAGTGCCTCCTTTAAAAACCATTACAAAGCCGGGGTACAGTTTATGCCCCTTGGCAAGTCAAACCGAAAATTAGAAAAAAAAAAAATAGTGTAAATTAGAATAATATTTGACAGAGCTTCATTTTGGTATAGCACATATTTTGAAACATTTCACTTTTCAAAAATACAAAAAGTTCTAGTTTATACAAGCTTAAGTTCATTTAAACAATTTTTCCGATCCCCAGTGATTCAGAGTTCGAACCTCCGATAATTCAAATAAAATCTACTATCTCATTAAGGGGAGGCACGGCCTAGGAATGGTGATTTTTTCAAAAAAGTCACATTTTTGGAAAATAGGCTGACCAGCTTCTACAACTCATAAAGAATGCTGTCCAAAAATTTTATTCCTGTAAGTAAAGTATTTACTCCGAAATAAATTATTTTCGAAGTGCTGGCGGCCACACGTGTGCGCAAACGACGTGGCCGATTACAAAAATGTGCCATTTTCAAAGCGCGCTCCCTCCGCATTTCTTAGGACTAGCATGGACAGGCCCCCCTCGTTGGAATGAGCGTCTCGCCCTCTTTCGTTCTGTTCGCAGCATTGTTCACGATATCGTGCTCGTAGACCGTAAAACCCCATAGAAAACATAGCTGTGCACGCTCTTATTGGTCAAGCTGGCGAAACAAGAGCTCTCATTCGCTAGGACGAGCCACGTGACGTGGCTCGTCCTAGCGAATCAGGAAGCTCTGTTGGAAATGGGCATACAGCCAGGGAGCTACCAAGCGTCATATGGAGAGAGGGCCACCAAGATGAAGGTTGCGAAGGCCCAAGTGAAAGCGTTCGAGTCCTCCAAGATGTCCCACAAAAAAAGGAAGATGGAAGCTGTGGCCAAGGCACGGAGGGACCGTGCAGAGGAAGGAGTCACATATGCCCCTCGAGCATTTTAGATGAAATGGCAAGCCCCATCTAAACTAAAACACTGTTCGAACTTTCAAACCCGTTTTTCTCAGCTTCATGTTTTCACCATTTTTTCACAGCTCTAAAACTATCGTTCGATGAGTTAAGCGCCCCCAAGTCTAATGTATGGCTTTTTTGGCATGAAATTTACTGGAGAACTCGGCTATGCGCTTACTTTTTGCAAATTGTTATTTCTTCACACAAAAATGTTGACGTTTGTGAAACAAGAAAAAAATTAAAAATTCATACCATTATTGAAAGTTAATTTTTACGTGAAATATGGCCTTAAGAATTATTTCAAGCCTACTACCGATTAGTTTAGTCATTCAGTGTTATATCCCAACAAAGAAATTGTGCCTTTTTATTCATATTTTGAAACGATAGTTTTTTTCCTTTGGCACTGCTACATGTAAATTTTTTTCAACGAATAAGGCTGTAACTTGTCAAAAAATAAACCTTTTGGGTTGAAAGTTAGTGTAGCCTCCTAAGTTTTGACGTTCAACATACCCTAAAAATTTCATTCACTTGGCACAAATACTTAAAAAGTAGACCCTCCAAGGGAGTGCCTCCCCTTAAGCTTGAATCTAAAAAGGATGAACTGTACTGTCATTTCAAACTCTCGTCACCCCACGAAAAGTTTCTGCAGTCAACATGAAACTCTTCTCGAGTGAAACAACCAATAGTGACTCCACACTCACATTTGCTGGCACTTCTGAATGAGAGGCGTGAGGACGTGAGATCGAACTGGCATGGATACCGTGGCAGAATTGGAGCGCGTCAAGTGGTGCGCAGTGTCCGTCACAATTTCATACAACACAAATGGACTGGCAACGCTGTTCACTGTACAGATGCAGAACTCCTGCAAATATGAGGTACCTGCACAGCAAAAAAAAGACGTGTCAGAAGGCTGCTCATTTAGCGCACCAAGGTTTATCGCAAGCTTTCTTTCAATCATACAAGGGTCTTTCTCGATAGCAGACAGTTGGCAAATGCCCAATACAATTAGCACTTCTAGAACAGATATACAGTGGAATCCACTTATAACAATACCATATATAATGATGCACCACTTATAACGATCAGTTTGTAGACTGAAAACAATTAGTTTCTAGACAAGATACAAGGAAAATTGGTTATAACGATTGAAATATTGGGTTTTCTCATTATTATTATAAGTGGATTGCACTATACTCCATATCACAAATGTCTGCAGTAAAGACCAAGGCACAAGGGTCCAAGCCTAGCTCAGCAGAATGCTTTTGTTCGCACTTGAACTTGTCCGGAGGAAGCAAGTTCCAAAGCCACGCACTTGTGCCCACGCATTTGTCTGCCTGCAGAAGTTTGTGAGATAGGGTATAGGTGAGTAGGCACTGATGAGGAGTTTGGAGGGAAGAGGAAGATCAATCAATGAATCGGTGTTTATTTCAGCTTGAAACACAAACTGAGGGTGGCGAGAAAAAAGCAGTGTCACCCACTGCTTGACGGGCATCGCCACCCTTTCAAGTCAGCAGTGTAATTGCGGTATAGAAAAAAAATATAAAGAAAATGAAAGGTATATTGAGGTACACATAGTTTTGTGCAAATATTATATACTGTAAACGACTTAATTTTAGCAAGAACCTAATTTTTGTGAATTTCGCGAATCACCTACAGTTCACAAAAAATAGTTTTCACAAACAATTCCGGTAAAAAGTAAGCACATCGGAATCTATATTGAGATCCCACCAGATCGCGAAAATGAGGACCCGTGAATTATTCCAAAACTTCAGCTTTGCCCTAAATCGCAAAATATTGAGCCTGCGAAAAATAAGTTGTTTACAGCATGTTACACATAGCTGAAGTACAGAGAAATTATAGAAGAAAAGCGTTCTGGAGGACAGAAGAATGCTTATCACTCAGGTGATCACATAGAGGCATATTCAAAAACATTGGCAAGATATACCGTAACATAGTAAAGCTGTAGTTTGTTCCACATCTAGGTAAAACAAAGGTGTCTTTTTTCTCTGGTTGCAAAGGGCATAGCGTATTGTGGGGAAAGGAAAGTATAAAAAGTGGAGAGAGAGAGGGAAGGAGGCGTTCTAACTTGTAGATTTAGATCCACAGAGAACGATTGGCATCAATTCAGAGTCCACTTTTTCCTGTTCGGCGCCAATAAAATTAAATGTTGAAAAAGTCTGGGGAACCTCGGCAGTCAAGCACACTGCTTAAAAGGTATATGCAAAGGAAAAACATTTTTTCTTTAAAGAGCCTGGATGGAAAAAGAATGTCAAAATAAATTTACAATTAAAAAGAAATAATTTTTTAGAGCTATATTTATGGCGCAAAACTAATTTGTAGCTAGTGCCCATGGGAGCCCGCAAAAAAGTGGTTGCTATAGTCACGTGACTGGCCGCTATAGTCACGTGGTGCTGTGCTCTTTCAGGAGTTTCCTATGGGCTCTAAGAGTTACTCATTATTCTTTGTTATAAGTGGAACAAAAAAATTAAGATTAATAAGTAACTATTAAAGCCCATAGACCTTTTCTGTGTACTCTCGTCCCCAGCCACCTAATAGGCGTATCCGGTACGGGCGACGAAAAAATACTAAAACGTTTCAACCTGCAAATAGTAAAAAAATAAAGGGAAGGCAAAACGAGAAAGTGTGACGGTTACGCTTATATCCTAAATGCCTCCTATTGGCGTGGCAAAGGCAAAACAATGTTTTCGCCCATACTGGAAGTGACGTCAATTCAAGATGGCGGCGCACTTGCAGAAAAGGTCTATAGGAACCTCCTGAAAGAGCGCAAGCGCCACGTGATAGACCTGAGCACTGATCAGAAATTGACGGTGGCGGCGTGCCGGAGTGTTCCCTTTCAGCGGCATTTTGGAGAAAAGCGTTCAGCCGGCGCTCAGCGTTCAGCACGCTGAGCGCGCCACGCTCAGCGTGCGGCTGCGGTGCGAGGGTTCTGGGGACTTAAGCGGTAGCGCCTAACGGCCCCAACGTAACTTGTGGCAGTGGCAGCGGCAGCGTACAGGTCTACCGCGTGACTAGTGGCGGCTACCACGGGCGCCAACTATAAATTTCTTTCGCGCCGTAAATATAGCTTTAAATTTTTTTTGTTGTGCATTTATTTTATGACAATTTTTCCATACAGGCTTTTTAAGGCGGGACATGGCCTGGGAGGGTCAACTTTTGAACCAATGTCTCAAATTGATTCAAACTTTCAGGGTGAATTGAACCCCATTAGGATTGATGACATCTAAAGTTTCAGTCTTATTAGCCAATTCTACAACATACTATGCTTAACAAGCTCCAGAAAAAAGTTACTGTATTAGGAAATGTATTTAAGAAAAATAATAATTGCAATCCACAAAATGTTTGGTTTAACGTGAAGTAGAGTACCCATAGTGCAAGTTAAGGTAAAAATTAATTGTAGAAAATGCAATTCTAGAGAAAAACAATAAAACCCAATATGAACAAACGATTTTAACAAATTTCTGAGTTTTAAAATATTCAGTTTTGGTCATGAAGAATTTAGCTTTTTCAGATTATGAGTGCCTTAACTTGTTCCTCAGGAAATTTCAGTCAAGGACACCACTGAATGAAATCTTCACACTTTCAAAATGTCCTATGATACATTTCCTCATACCACATTTCCTGCCAAAAAGTCAAACTGAGAAAAATGCATTTGAAGTTTCAACTTTAGGTTTCTTTCTTTTCTGTGAGTCCGAGGTAGGCAAAATTCACATGGCGCATTGTTAGAACCTCCCGCTTTGAGACTTCCCTGTTCCCCTGGCAATAGCTACCAATTTGTGTTGTTTGTAGGCTCACTAACTTTTGTAGCAGGCATTCCCTGATAGATAGACTTGCAAGAACTAAGAGGCAAATCACACAGAGAAAGAGCAGCAAAGCAGGAATAGGATCTGAAATGGGAGATACTGTAAAGGGGCGTTACTGAAGACGACACAATATTACATCAGCGGGAAGGACCAATTGTAAATTCTGTTTCAGGTCTCAACCAATAAAATTGATCATACCAAATTTTCAGAATTTTTTCTGTTTGGATGTATAGGGTCCTCCAGGCCATTGATACTTGTAAACTCCGAAAGCTTCTATGGGCTAAATCTAGAGTAAATGGCACTTCCAATGAGGGTGAAATGTTCTGGCTAGGCTAAACGAGTATCAAGCAGCGCTAAATGAGAAACGCAAAAAACTTGCTCCCTGCTGACTCGGAGGGCTGCCGACATGTTGAAAATAATTTATTCTGAGATAAATCCTGCATGTTTATAAATGAAAGTTTCTGAAACCATTCTTTGGAAGTTAATAAGCATAACCATACCATTTTTGAAAAAAACGTTTTTTTCTGAAAATTTTGAATTCCGAGGCTATGTCCCCCCTTAAAATATATTTTTTTTTTTTCGCTTCGCATTTGTTATTTAAAATAGACAATGGCCTTTGTGACAAATAAAAGTATGCATGTTTGTTCCTGTATTTGGTGGCATCAAGCCTTTTTAGATTTCTAGGCTGTGTGTGAACTCCATACTGGAGACTCCAACGACGCGAGGCGTCTCGCCACCTTGCGTTGTCTGCTTGCTCCTGCGCTTTGTCAACTCCATTTCACCTTTTGCCATCTTTAGAGCTGAAATGGTCTACTGCATACCTACTGCGCATTAGGGGGCCAGAAAGTCCAAGAAATCCGGAAAAGGGGGGGGGGGGGGGGGTAGCTAAAGAATGCTATCGCATTATAAAATATGTAACGTAAGAACCCATGAGCACAGGTTTATGAAACTGAGCAGTTAATCTTATATACATGCTACAAATGTACCCTGAAATTTTCATACAGATAGCTCTTGATGCCACTTCAAACGATAGGTGCAAGCTTGAGCAGGAGAGGGGAGTACCCCCTCCGTGGGGGTACTCCCCTTATGTAATAAGGGGAGTACCCCTTATGTAATAATAACTTATGTAATAAGATTGGCTCCAAGTTTTAAGAGTGGACGAGATGCAGCCAAAGACAACAAGCCAAAGAAGAAGGGGGAGGGGGGGGCGTCATACCTAGCTTCTTGGCCACTCCTAGAAGCCACTTGACATCCTCCCCGTAGGGCGGGTTCCGGGCGTACTTGGCCTGGGGCCGGTCGTCGTGAACGCGGCGGGCCAGGGTCTCCATGGCAAGCAGCCCCACCCGGTAGGCAGACAGCAGGTAGTTGAGCTGCGTCTGGTTCAGCTGGGAGAGTGGGCAGGAGAGGACAGAGCCGTCATGAATGTGAAGCACGCCACCCCTGATCCTTCCTGGGGGTCGCTTTCTGTCCCTTCCAGTAGTGCGCTTGGATTGCGTCTCCAATCGGCATCCTCAGCATCCTATACCACACGCGGTATAGGACGCAGCGGTCCCAGAGTGGCTACGAAATATTTAGCGGAAGCCGGTAGCCTCTGGATTGCAACAGCGACAGTTGGCCGTAGAAGTGGCAGAAAAAAAAACGGGGACTCCGGCATCGCTGTCATGGCGGCATCCTAACCCGCGGTTACCATATTTTCTGTCGACTGACCAGGTGCAGAGCGAGTTACAGCGGAACTAGCATCTGTTGTATTCGCCTCCAATGCCAAGGTCACGACAAGCTACAACATAAAACGGCTGCGACATAACGAGGCAGACGTCGAGGGACCAAAAACAGGTTAAAGCACCGGTCGTAGAAGCTTTCCGGACGACGTACGACCAATGACGAGGTGAGGGACCGAAAAAGTTATAAGAGCTCGATCATTCTGACAAAGATTAGGGAGCGCAAAATGTCTCCCTCACAAACTGAACTATGTGTGTGTTTGTGCTAATTTTTCATCCTTTTTATTGTGTGTTTTTTTTATTTTTGTACAGTTTTTTTGTCATTTTGGCAAGCTTGAGCAGGAGAGGGGAGTTTTACCAGAACGTACTGGGGGAGTGCACACCCCACTTTCCCCGAAGCTCCCAGCTTATCGCTCATTAATGTCAATCGTTCCTGACGCTCATTCCCAATGCTCATTTACGTCAATTTTCTCATAGAAAATGACTCGTAAAACACATTTAGCATTAAAAGGCGCCATAAATATGCGAGACGGAGATGTGTTTCAGGCAAAATACTTCTAATGAAACTGTGGATAAAGAGAAGATGGTTCCGAGTTTGGTCTACGCCAGAGATGGATTTTATTTTTGTTCCCTCCAACCAAAATTTTCTTTGTTGTTTGCACCATCCCATTCTTGTGTGAACATTCAAAGCTGAACAAACTATGACTACGTAGCCTTTGTTCTTGTATTCCTCACCCCTCATGGTCTGCCCACAAAGTGGACATAAAGTATTGTCGTATAATAACACATGAACTGGAATGTGCACAACAGCTGACGTAGACAAAGTTCCGATACCTCTAAAAACGAGTGCTTGTCCTCACATTTGTACAAACATCTACTCCCTCCTTTTTATCCACAGCAAGCCTCCTCCACGTCTACAGATATTGCATCGAATTTTTTATTTTCCTAAATAAAAGGAAACTAGCAAGGGACAGTCTTGGGTAAGTTACTTTTAAAAGTAATTAGTTACAGTTACTTTCAGAAAAAAGAAGCGAAGTTACCGTTACGGTTTCCGCAACAAAGGAGTAACTCGTTACAGATACAGTTACTTTTAAAAAGTAACGACATTACTTTTCAGTTACTTTTCTATAACACAAAAAAATAGGAAAAACTAGAAAATTCCCGTCACCAAGTTTCATTGCATGAAATTAGACAGTACGCTTTTTACTTCATATTGTAACAGTAGAAGTTGCTTCTTGAAATTAGTGCTTGAAAATTTCCACGTCATAGTGGCGCTAATCAAAATATGAAACATGCGCAGTGCCCTCCACGTGTATTGTTGTTTCACGGTTGATTCACCCGATTGAAAAGCATTTTCACAGAAAGAAGAAAAACCACAAAATAGATAGTGCTTCAAGACATTAAAATGTAAGTGTTCAGTCACAAAATACAAGCATGTGCGTAAAGATAACTAGATTTTTTTCATGATATCTACACGTGGCTATATTCGGGTCGTGACTCGTGAGAAAGAACGTATTCACAAGTTTGTGCAAGGCCAACTTGACACTCGAAATGTCGGAATAGACAATTTGAAAGGTGCAAGACAAATCTAAATTGTACCCGTTCAGCGATATATTATTCATAAAACACTGGAAAGTAATGACAAAAAGTAACGTCGTTACTTTCATCGTTACCTCAGAAAAAAGTAATACAGTCGCCGACCGTTTTTTCGAACTCCGATATTTCGGACTTGTTCGATATTTCGGACCTAAAGGCAGAACCGCGACTTACCCCATAGAAATAGTGTATATTCACGACCAATGTTTCGGACAGCTTGAAGTCCGAAAGTTCGATTATTCGGACAAAATCGTCGCAAGCGATCAGCGAAAAACACTATAGAGAAGCGGCCATTTTGAATTCTATGTTGGCTGCAAATGAATTGGCTTGGTTTGGCAGCGCTACTTGAGCACTCCTGAGTCCTACCGCTAGGTGACGCTATGCTAGCCCTTTTTTTTCCCATTTAGCTGCAAGTCATAATCATCATCATCATAATTTTGCTTTGTTTTTCCGTTCCTTTGCGTCGCCAGTCGCCATTTTGCGCTCGTAAATTTGCGCCTCTGATCTCGTTCGGAAAACGCTGGCTTGGACGTCATGGCCCCATTTGTTGATCTGTAGTTAAGAAGCACAGAAAGTACTCGACCATAGCGCTAGAAAAGAAGGCAGCGATTCTCAAGCTAACAGAAAGTTGCCGAACGGAAACGGAGGCGTAACCTAAAGGCGCGTTCCCACCGGCGATGCAATCTAGTCGCACGATAACTTTCATCGCAAAAGCGACCATCGCGGGCAAAAAGCGACGCGATTTGAGCAGGTGCTACTCGACCTGACTTTTTTGCGTTGCGATCTAGTCGCGGAGCGGCTGAGCCAATCAACGGCGTTCGAAGTGAGAGTTTTCGAGAAAACTCTCACTTCCGGCGGAACAAGGCACCTGGACTAAGACACTATTTCAAACTTTTTAAGCCCACTTGCAAGTAATAAAGGCAAGTTTTTCAATTTGCTGATTTTTCGGACTGCTCTATTATTCGGACGTTTTTTCGGTCCCAGCGAAGTCCGAATAATCGGTCGGCGACTGTAGAACTACAGTTACAAGTTACATTTTAAAAAAAGTAGTTTGTATAGTTACAAGTTACCAAAAAAGTAACGAAATTGTAGTAACGCATTACTACCCAAGACTGGCAAGGGGTGCCAAACCATTCTGGGGCCCTTTCAACTGTACCTTGCCTGTGGCAGCCACGTACCTGATGCACTTGCCCCACCTGCGCAGCTGCAGGAGGTGGCGGGGCAGCCGGAGGAGGGGGTGGGGCCATGGGCAGCACCGCCCTCGCCATTGGGGTCACGTGCACACCAATCATCTGGTGCGCATAGGCCCCGGGGGGCGGGGCCTGTGGAGGGGCCCCGTGCCTGCTGGCAGCTGCCGCATAAAACTGGGCGTGGCCCGGCAGGGGAGGGTAGTGGTAGGTGGGCGGGGCCTGCAGGTAGGCCGGGTGTTGCGCCACCAGCAGGTGGTGCGGGTGGTGGAATGCCGGCAGGCCTCCCAGGTAAGAAGGGTAGTGAGGGGCCCTGCAAAGTGGCAAGACTGAGATTGCACCTTGCCAACATGCTCTCCCTAGACCTGCAAACTGACAGCAAGTCATCTGTGCAGAACTAAAAGAAAAAAAAATTTACAGGGGAGCAAACTGATGGTTGAGGCAAATTTGTAGAAACCACAATGGTGATTGTCCATGAATGTGATAGCATTTATCATTGCACACTGCCAAATTTAGCGGGGAAACTGAATTGGTGCATAGGTCGTGTGGTCAATTTTTTCCAGTATATTTAGAGGGGAAACTCCCCGCCAAATTTAGCATAATAGAAGACGACGCTAAATCCTTGTCATCCCTGAGATCACCCTAGAGGTCGTTCTTGAGGTTGTCCTAGATGTCGTGGTTGAACATCGTCCTAGAGGACAACGTCAGAGACGACATCTAGGGCGACCTCAAAGACGACCTCTAGGAAGACCTCAAGGACATCAAAGACGACGTGTAGGGCAACCTCTAGAACAACCTGTAGGGTGATCTCAAGGACGACCTCAAGGATGACTACAAGGACGGCCTCTAGGACGACCTCAAGAAGGACCCCTAGGATGAAGTCAAGGTCGTCAAGTCCTTCAAAGTGGGTGTGAATGTGAAGGAGTGCATACTGCCACTCTCCATACGTGTGGCAGAATGGGGTGCGAGCGCAGTGAGCTGAAATGGTCTACTGTGCGTTAGGAGGCCAGAATATACATAGCTGTAAATCTTGAGTAGTGGCTTAATAATGCTATTGCACTAAAACTTCTCTGGAATGAAATCACCTTCTGGCTTCTACCTTACCTATTGTTAAAGGTGAATTGTTTAGAAAGGCTATTAACACCTTTCACAGTTTTTAGCTGTCATAATCAAAGTGTATAACTGCACTTTGTTTCTTCTTATTTTTTTTATTGTACTTTCTCTCCCCTATAGTGCTAATGGCCCTGACTACTTAAATAAATTTGCACATTTGTAAGCCCAATTCTTGAAGTTCGGTATCTTGAAATGTCAATGAAGTCTGAAGTTTTCAGTTTCAGTTTCATTGAGCCATCAAATAGATCTCTATAGACCTTTGCAGTAAGAGCCCCCTGGCCGCCGCCATTTTTCGACTCGAGCGACCCCTATCAGCCAAAAATTTCTGCCACCCGCCTGAGCTGTGAAAACCCGGTCAGTGCAGCTCCCCACCTACATTGTGCATTTGGAGTTTGTTGGCTTTCCTTGAAAGATTTTACTTTATTTGCCTCTTCAGGATGCTTGTGGGTCTTGTGTTTTCTTCCACTGTGAGAACCAGGGAATGCCAGGGCTCGTAGCCTGCTCGGCTTTCGCAGGAAACGAGCGAAGGGAGTGAACATCAAGCAGCCCGCGACGCAGGCCGTTCGACATCCTTCGAGGATTATTTCTGTTTGGATAATCTCCGAAAAGCCTTCCCGGCTGGCCGTGTTCCCGATCTTGGCGAGAAGTAGCCGATAGCGTCCGGGGTATGGGGACTGAATAGACACGTTCGTTCATTTGCTTTAGCGCTGTGTAAAAGAGCATCGCTCTTCAAAACGTACCTCAGACAAGCCGGATTCTGTCCGATCCTAGTGAAGTGACTATCATCGACACTGCATTTTGAATATGCTGTGTTGTTTGAAACCTTTCTCAAATCCTGTTCAGATTATGCGGCACTGTGAGGTATGTACAATATTTGTTGTTCGATTGATGAGACTCGTTGAATTTCATGTTGTGAGCGGGGAATGCCCATGCAGTTCGGCTATCCTATGGTGTGGTCAAATATTTTAGGCAGTTAAGACCCTATTTGATTGACACGGCTGAGTGTATGGTGCCGCTAAAAAGATCGACATAAGGTGAAACAAGCATTCCAGTTGCATTTGTTCTGTCGTGCACAGCCAATAAGGGCTTTCATTTGTTTGTTTTTGTTCCCAAAAATAATGCAATGCTCTCTTAAAAACTCAGAGAAATTATCTTCGTCATAGAACATAAAACAAAAAATAAAACGAGGCAATCTTGCTGCCACCAGCGTCCGGAATTGCGCCTACGCAGGTTGCCACAGCCTAGTGACGAGAAAACCCACAGCCCAGCGCAGTCAGGCAACACCGACATATACTCTCAAAACCAGGGACGCGCACTGTAAATCGCTTCGTTCGAGACTGACGCTGGAAAGGTCTATAGGCGGAATATATATCCACCGCGACATTAGGACCTGGTGAAGAGCAGTCCCCGCACGGAACGTCGTCCAATAAATATGTTTTAAAGCATTTACCTCCTTTCCCCTTTTTACAATATATATATATATATATATATGTATATGTATATATTTTGTTTTGCTTATCTCGAATAATGTTTGAAGTCAACTCCACATATCTGCAAATCTGTGTGTGTAATTTTTAAAAAGAAAAGCAAGGTTAAAATCAGCTTTGAAAGTTGGACAACCTAAAAGCAAGTAATGAAAAGCCAAATAAATTTGCAAACGAGGGACCTTGATTTTGCGCAATCACCGATGACGTAACCAACAGTGTTGGGTAGTTTTTCGAGTCGGATGATGAAGAGGCAAAACCTCTGAGCAGAGAGAAGACGTCCCCTTGTAAAAAATGAGCAACTAACATATGGGCACCCTGTAGAACAGTTACGATGCATATAAAAGTTTAGTGATTCCCAGCAGAACTGGGAAAATTCTTAAGCTTGGGAGAAGAGTGTGTTGCTTCACGGATGAAGAAAGAATAAAAAATTATTAAAATGGACAACACAACCACATCTTTCAACTAGCAACAGACGAGTAAACTTTCAACAGCGAGCAGCCGACTATACCCAGGAGGAGAAGGGGGGGAAGGGAAGATAAGAAAACGCGAAGTGCAAGTCAGAGTGGTGGGCTTATCTCGGATTTTAGAAATTCAACCTCAGTTTTCGTCAGCAAGAGGGAAGGGCTTGACACATTATTTTTTCTTTTTTTGGAAACAACGTGTCAAACCCTTCCCTCCTGCTGACGAAAACTGAAGTTGAATTTCTAAAATTCGAAAATAAGCCCACCACTCTGACTTGCACTTCGCGCTTTCTTATCTTCCCTTCTCCCCCCTTCTCCTCCTGGGTATAGTCGGCTGCTCGCTGTTGAAAGTTTACTCATCTGTTGCTAGTTGAAAGATGTGGTTGTGTTGTCCCTGTTTTAATTGTTTTATTCTTTCTTCATCCATGGGAAAATTCCTGTACCTGGCCTCTCTCGCCACTTCTTTCATCTCGAATATTTCCCATTTTTTTTAGCACAACGAATTAATGGTGGTTTACCAAACCATAGCTGATCCTACTGCAGTACAACACAGGGCCCACCTGTAAGGCAGGCTGTACTGCAGGGGAGGCACCATGGGCAGCTGGGGCGACTGTGCGGCAGCCACCCCCTCGACCACGAAGGGGGCGGCCACATCCGGCAGTCCGTCGGCCCCCGGGTTCAGGGAGGACGCCAGCACGGGGGGCGGGCTGATGCGGGGCCCGGCCTCCGACGGGGACGGGGCGTCCCCGCCCCCCTGGTGGGTCTCCTCGTACAGCTCGAACCTGGGCGAGGCCACGACAACCGCGTCACTTTGTGAGCGCAACGACAGTGAGGCTCGAAATCTGCGAGCTCGGATTTGGTTGGATACGAGTCGTAAAGTACTGCATGAGAGGTAGAGGTGAATCAGACTTGCTGCAGATGTACCAAGTGTTTCAGTAAAGACTTCTAAAAATTTTTACCGAAAGGGTGGTTGAGAGAAAAAAAAAAAAGAAACTTTTTGGAAACTAACTGCCAGCAACAGTGGACGTCAGGGTTGGCCGAAAAAAAACAACACACACAACTAATTAGCAAAATAATTAAATAAAATGTATTAAATAACTTTTAATGAGTGAAAATAAACATTGTAGCAGTGCTGCCGTGGCGCGTGCTAGAACCCACCGAAGACGACGACGAAGCGCGTGCAGACGGCGCGTGACACACTTCCAGTCTGGTCTAATTTGGTTATGGACGTCCTCTTGTAAATTAAAAACGTAACATTTGGTGTCAGAAGTGGGATTTCTGGCATGGCGCCTCAAGTTACCCGGAAAGCTCCTCTCGGGAAGATTATTCTCTGCAATATGGTCAGCGCCGACGTCTCATGGAGCCAATGGCTGGCGGCTGGATTGCCTGACACCGCAAATCTTCATGCCAGAACCGCCACGAACAAGTGGCCACTTTGCCATGTTCCCCACGACCATTCTGTGGCCGTGCAATGAAGATCCTGCGTTGGCCTATGGCCACATTTGCATCCCAAAGCTTCAAGGCATTGAGGCGCGTAAGTGCGCGCTGAACTTGAATGTTTCTCTGACTGTCGTTCTGGACATTCGGCGGATTAGGTCGTGAGCATAACGTTCTATCTTCTGGACTTTGGCCTTACCGGCACATTTCATTTTCGGTGTTGCTTTTCGAAATGCGAAAATGTGCAGTGATGCTCTGCACCGATATGATATGTGCCGGCATTAGACATGTCACCAGGAGTGACGAAAACCGGAGCCAGCGGCGGCCAAGTGACAAGTGTCCGGACATTAACTTCAAAAAGCGCCAATGTGCTGGATTTTGGTGTTGTAGAGGAGCTGTTGCGATGAGCATCGGCAACGACACCTGCAAAAAGAACTGTCTATCTTTAATGGAACGTGGCGAGGTTGTTAAGCAGAATGAACCAACCTACGAAGAAACATCACTAAAAAACTCAGAGGGGAAATAGTGTAGCGGTGCTGCGGAGGCGCGTGCTAGAACCCACTGAAGACGACGACGAAGCGCGTGCAGACGGCGCGTGACACACTTCCAGTCTGGTCCAATTTGGTTATGGACGTCCTCTTGTAAATTAAAAACGTAACAATATAATACCAATTAAAAACTCGCTGAGCACCAATGAAAACCTCTAAATCCGCTGATTTTAGGAAAACCTAAAGCATGTGTGAAACGTGGGGATGCACCAAAGTTACCCCATGTGCAGCAGGCACGAAGCTTGCGATGCGAAAATTCTGATGATGAGAACATTACTTGCGCTAGATCGCCTGCTCGACCTCCATGCTTGCAGGTCGAGCAGGCAGTCTAGATAAAGTATGCCGACAATTTCTTTCGCGCTTCTTTTGACATCACGAAACTGCTTGTTATCGGTTGGGGAAAAATTCTGCCGTCCAAAAAGTGAACCCCCGCCTGACACTGGAATCACTTTTTCAACGTTGCCAATAAACTTTCTGCTCGAAAAAAAGTGGCGTGAACAGAAATAGTAACTTTAATAATTTTGCGAGAAAAAAACTTGTTTCGGCCTAACAATTGGGTTACTAGTTCAGCGATGTTTGTTGGGGCATTTGGTAAATTTTTAGGGGAATTGGGGACCACAAACAAAATGCCGGGTTGTGCGATAACTTGGGTACACGAGACCTAAATCTTTCAATACGAAACGGCACCGAGAGAGATCGACGCACCATCTGCGTGCAACGTCGAAGAGCACCTCCGGATAAACACCGCCTCCCTTGGCGGCCGACTCGACAGCCAGGCAGGCCCGCTCGAGCACGGCGGCCGACTGCTCCTTGCACTGGAGCAGGGCCCTCTGGATCTCGTTGGGGTTGAGGGCGTGTGCGTGCGGGAGGCAGGAAAGGGCCAGCTGGGCGGCCGCCCGCACCATCGTTGGGTCCCGACCTCGAGACGCCTTGTCCGCCAGAGACGCCACTTCGGGCGGGGTCAGGTGGCCTTCCCATGTGTCCATGAGGAACATGAGCGCGCTGCTGCCAATCTCCATGGCTTGCCCTGCACGCAACACAGACACAGCCGCATCCGGGCGTGCTCGTGCAGAACACAGAGTCTTCTCTGACAGGTTGATTGGGAGGGACTCAACAATACCACAGGGGGGAAATTTGCTCGGAAGAGATGGAAAGCAGCTAAACAACTTTCACGACAAAAAACACTTCCAAACAACTCGTGGAAAGTTGGCTACGTACGTCGAGTCCTTTAAGGTTCGGGAATTCGCTGCAGAGAAGCTTCTAGGACTTACTACGAGCCGGGAGGTGGTTTTAATGCAATAGCACTATGACTCGACAAATTAGAGCGTGCCGGTAAAAATACGGGGATCAAGAAAACCAATGTGAACGGCAAAAAGGACGGGGACAGGACAAAACATCTTTTCATAAAAAGATGTTTTGCCCTGTCCTTGTTGGTTTCCTTTATCCCCATTACTATGAATTCTTTCTGGTTTTTCCATAGGTAAATAATGACATGACTTCCTCCAGGATCCCACTATTTGTGAATGCCCGGACAGGGGGGGGGGCTTAGACACGAGCCTCTTAATAAAGGGATTGTCCGGTGATATCCGGAAGTTACAAAGTTTTTACGCTGGCCATGTAGAGGATGCCTAAATATAGTCGGAGGCAATATTTATTTAATAAAAAGACGCCCCAATATTCGTTAAAGGCAGTGACTATTTCAACGTCCACCGTCAAGATATGTCAAAAATTGTTTCCACGTCTGTGGCGTCATTTCCGTAAATGTCAAAATAGCGGCCTTGCAAAGCTTTGTTCCGTTTAGTTTCTGATGGTGTTGCTGATGTTGTGTTGGCATTTTGACGGATTCATGTGTTGCGTGCCAAAGAAGTTTCAGCTCTAGTTGACAGTGTGTGGGGCAGGCTCGACAGTTGAACCTTTCGGATGTAAGATGCCAGTGACGATGATCTGAGTGCTCCGAGCTCACATCTTGGCACGCGCCTCACGTAAAAGTTTGAATCTGCAACAAAGGCGAGCTGGATATCCCTCTGTCTTGCATGCACGTTACAAATGCAAGAGCATTCACTACACAACACTGAGAAATTTGGCACGCTTTTTGTGCCTTTATATTGTGCGAGCAGTCTCACTTAGAATCTGGCTCCCGGCCTGTTTTTAACCGGGTTTCGTAAGTGCGTTATTTAGTTTAGATTTTGTTTGGTTCATGTATAACGGGCAAGCTAAGCACGAAATGATCAGGATGTTAAATAAAAGGTTGTGAATGCAAACATTGCCTCCTTGATGTTTCTTGATCAGTGCGAACAAACAAAGGTTGTGGCACGGTTGTACGAGATACACAGATTTTTCACTTAACTGCAAATTTTATGACACGGCATTCAGCTCCTTTGTCTATATAAATCACGTGATGAATTATGAACATCAATGCACAACTGCACGCTAAATTTCACAAGTAAGCATGGCTGGTCGTGTCGCGAGGTTACATCAGGCATGGTGATGTCCGAGTCGTGGGCGTCGACTTATAGTATTCACGGTTTTTATCAACATGGCTGATGGTGCGTACAAAGATCACCGTTGAAGAACTGAGCTTCCCTCAATACCGTAAATCTTGCCTTTCTTAGAACAAGATTGTTTTAGTGAGACAGCAGTCAAGAGCTGTCGTGGCGCTCTCTTTGCATGATGTTACGTCGCAGCTTCCACTGTTGCCAACGAAAATGCCATGTGTTTTGCAGGTGCAATCTGAGCAGTTGGGCTGTTTAAAATTGAATTACTTGTGCGGTGGAGGATTAAAAATTTAGAAATTGTGCGGATGATATTACTAAAAGCAATGACAGTATAATTTAATTCTTTTTTGAAAGACAAAATTTTACCACACAATCCCTTAAATACAAAGAAATTGAGCACCAAACATAGCATTCTGAGGCAAATGAGATAGAGCGCCACATAACACTCTCTTACGAACAAGCTCAAATTTCATTAACCGTTCTCCCACCCGTTATGTCTTCTTATAGCAAAGGGACAGGTTAGAGCCAATTACACGTCGACGAGCAGTTTCGTCTCCGAGGCCTTTTCGAGGTATGCCGCAGGTGGCACTAGGGACGTGCCGCAACATATACACGACACCCCCCTTCAAGCACCTGTGATCCAGGAGACGTGAGATGAGTAAGTGCGGGACAGCCAGTTGGGGGAGACAGCATTGTGCAGGCCCAGCGCGTACAGGCCGATCTGGAAGGCGCACATGTGCAGGGCCCTGTGGGGTCCCCTGTGGTTCTGGCTCGCCGAGGGCTGGGTGAACAAAACCGCCGTGCTCGAGTTGCCACCGGCCTTGGTCAGCACAGTCTTGGCCAGCTCAAACATGAAGTGGGCTGACGCCTCGCTCGGCTGGTTCGGCAGGCTCGGGCAGGTGCCCCGCTTGCCCTTCATGCGGCTTGGGGGAGGCGGCTTCTGCGGGGGTGGGGCCGCCGGGGGGGCGGAGCCTCCCCGGGCACCACTTCCCGGCACCTGCAGCCCCGAGGACCCAGGAGCGAGGAAGCGCGAGGTCGCCGGGGATGCCGACGACAGGCTGGGTGGGGGGCTGTCTGAGGGCAGCACGCACATGCTGGAAACGCGGAAAAAAACCGAGACCGGCGTTACTTTCGTGACTACTCTTCACCATTCTCGGACTAAAAAATGGCGGAGAGAAGCTTCACGCTTCCGATGCAATTTTCCTGCCTTCGAGAATGCTTCAGCACCTTGAGAGCCTCGAGTGTGGGGCCGCAGTCGAGGCAGGGTGAAGGGCAACCGCTCCGTGCTGGAGGCGGGAATTCCAAAGAGACGGTCTACCATTCTCACCTTATTGGTGACCATCGAAACACAGGTGTTCCCAGAGAACCTTAACGGGTAGCCCGAGCTCCCAAATATTCTTGGCCGTCCCTGCTCCCGAGTAAATCTTTCTCACGGCACTATTTTATCGGACCCGAGTCACTCACATGTGTGCAACCACGAGTCCAACACCTCTTAGTAAGTGCACCAATGTTTATGTGGTCTGTAGGCTCATGTACTGCTTTCCCGGATCGACGCCAAAACCGAGAGTAGTTCCTCGTCTAACCGTTGAGGGAGACGGGGGTTTCTTATGGTCAGAAAGTTTGAAAAATTCTGCCGTACAAAAAAAGGAAGGAGAAGAGAAAAAAAGCACTTTTACTAAAGACTTTTTGTGCGACGCGGCTGCATTATGGGAAGCGCGTCACAGAAATCCGCATTACAGAAAGCTGCTGGGAGCCAGTCAGGTTGCACGTTCCGCGTTTAATTTGCGAGTTTTCTGCTCAGGATCAAACTCGACCGAAGAGAGAGAGAGCGGCGAGCCGCGGCCAAGGGCAGACGTGGGACCCACCTGTCCGTGTGACGTGCCTTGGCCCCCGTGGCCCTGTCGCCGGACGAGGAAGAGACCACAGAGTCGCTGCTCTCCCCGCTGCTGCCGCTGTCGCTGCCCGGCCCGCATGGGCGGCCCCAGCCACTTCGGCGCACCACCGTCGGAGAGTTGTCGCTCGACGTCGTCTCGGGAGCGCTGCTGTCGATGCTCGCCATGCCTGCAAGGAGGCATGCCGAATACACCAGACACCATGGGGGCAAGGTTGAGGAGGCCACTCCCGGAGGGAACGCGTCGCGTCGGAGGAAGAGGCCGCCCCAAACGGTGCGCAGTTCAAGCTCTCGCTTCGCAGCCAGGCAGTTCGACTGGAAGAAGCCCTCTGCCCTGGGCTCGATCGGCAGTGCCGACCGGACAACCGCTAGAATTAAAGAGAGACCCATGTTTTGGTCCCGAGCCACTGGATTTTCGGGGTGGGGGGTACAGAGATAGTTTCTTTTCCTCTTCCCAATCCCAGAAAAAACGGGAACGACGGTCACAAGTGCCAGCGGGAGTGGAACTGCGCACCGAGAGGTAGCGTTGTGTCCGAGCACTCTTAAGGTTCGACTCCCTAGACTAGGCTCTCACACCTCGAGGTTAGTGATCATTAGGGAAGTTACTTGGGACCTAAAGAGTGTTGGGCATTGAGCTAACATTCTGTGTGTGAGCAGTTAGGGGTGGGCTGTGCCATTTTTATTACCTACATAAAATGGTGCATTCACTGCACTAAAAATGCCTCTCTGCTCTTGAGTATTGTAGAAAGGATTATGAAGAAATTAATGAGACACGTTTTACACATTCACACTTCAGGAAGATTAGGATAGGCCTAAACCAATGAGCTTGGTCATCTAGCACCTTCGAGAAAAAACTCCGCTGGCAGAAAAGTTACATACAAAAATTATAAACACCTGCTTTAACCCATGAGCAAAAACCCCAAGAGCCACAACGAAACTTCGTAAGGTTAGTTACGGACAGCTCAGGCCAACAACCGTGGTAAGTTACGAGCCGACCTAATAACCGTCCTACCACAGAGTCTCCAATAAAGAGGCTATGTCTACAAAATTAGGTCCGTTAGTAGTGCCTCGAGGCAAATACCATGCACAGGACACCTACCTGCCGAATGCTTCTTAGTTGTTCTGAAGTTTGTGCAGCGGAACTTAGCCTCCCAGGCCTTGAAGTTCTCCTCCCAGCCAGGGCTTGAGGCTCCCTCACTGCGATCACCACTGTCCCCAGCAGTCCTGCCGTGTTAACTTCAAGTGCTACTACCTAGCCTCTTTTTAAGGTGCCAGCATTGGCAGGAGGCCACAACATAGGGACCAATGAAAGGAACAAAATTTGAGCAACATCTACAAGTCACAAAGGGTGTGCGTGCCACAATGGCACCAAGACAAATATCAGCTTCAAATTGCACTCTCTTGAATTCAATTATTCCGAGACAAAGAGTTGTACTTGTTATCAAGCTGCAGTTGCAAAACCCCCTAGACAAAGATTATATCAATGTGCAGCTTTGCCTGCACATGCTACAACCATACTTCCAAGTAATTTTTGGCCAGCCACCTTCACCTGATCAGGCAACCTTAATATGCAAAATATGCAAGTAAAACAAGTACAAATAAACCTACCTAGGCTAAGCTTGAGTCATTGAAACACAGGTACAGGCGGGCTTGCATGTCTCATGAGCCACACCAGCATTCTTCAAAAATTTTAAAACTGCACCACTTTTTTTTTTTTTTCTTTGGGGGCATGGGGGTTTAACAAGCTTTAGAACTTTTCTTTGACTTCTTTTTCACACAGGAAATCGACACACCCATCACTTCGCAATGTTCACCTGTCGCCATTTTTTTTGTGGATGTAGATAAAACAAGATGCCAGTCAGAATTGAAATATGGCAACTTATGTTTTCACTTAATGGATACCTGGACAGTGCATTACTACTGCACTCGAAAAGTTTCCCTCATAGAGAAACACATATTCATAAGTCCACGGGGGTCAGACAGGCAGATGTTCAACCGATGTTGAGCTACTTTTAACAAACCAAGTGCAAGTGAAGAGCTCAAGTTTGCCTTGCCCCAGGTTAACCGAAGTAGCTATGAGGGGGCGTTCATAGAGTTTGTATTATTGTCACGAAGAAATAGATTCGGCAATCAAATTCGGGTAAAAGTTTAGTCTTTGTTTGCCACACAAAGCCGCGCACTTCTGTCTAAAATGGACAACCTGCCAGAGGCCATTGTTACAGAACTCCTTGTTTTAAGTGCTAGAGAATCACTCCACATTGGCAATTACTTGGACGTCATCCTTGAAATGCTTTCAGGCTTACTTGGCCACGCTGGAAGCATCTTCGCCATTTAACAATAGTGTCATAAACTGGGGCGTTGTCTCCAAAACACCGAAACCAGCTCAGAATGAATCTTCTCGGCATTCCTTCAAATGGAGAAAACGAATCGCTGCTTGCACTTCGACTTGCCCGATGGTTGGTGCCATTTTTGTTTTGACGCCCAAGCAATGTTCCGCGGTACTACAGCTTGCAATGTTTATACTGTGCCAAAACAAGAGGGACCCGCGCTCGTGTCAAAGCTTCTTTTGTTCCACTTTTATCAATTTTCGGCGCTGATAATACAAACTTTACCGACACCCCTCGTAAGCACGACAAACTGTCGAGCTGCCTGCGGGCACCCCGAAGGCCGAAAAGACTGAGAAAACCCCGGGCCACACGGTTGTCCGCCGACACCTCACCTGTTGTGCCGGTGCGACACCTTGGCCCTGGCACCGCCGCCGTGGTCCTGTCGAGGATTCCCCGGAGTGTTCGGGGGTGGTGTTCCGGGCTCGACGCCGTTCCCGGCTTCGGCCAGGCTGTCGGCAGCTCCTGAGAAGCCCGCATCCACTGCAGCCTCGCCGGACGGGTTTCCCGGCAACGGAGCCGAACGGGCGGCGTCGTCCACCTTGGCGGACGACGTGGTGGAGGCATCTTCTGTCGTTGCCGAAGACCCACTGGCGGCCGGCGTGGCAACCGGATTGGGCACAGAGGCACTGTAGTAGGAGCTGGGCGGAGGAGTCTTGTACATCTGATGCACCTCCTTGTCTAGTAGGCGGTCCATGATCTTGGCACCGAGAGGAGTGGCAACAACTGGTCAGCTTTCTCAAACTGGATTTTTAGGAACTCGAGTGTTCCCCGGAGCAACTTGAAGGCCTGTTCACAAACTTGCAACCAAGTAGGACCAACAGAGACAAGATTGGTTTTTAAGCCTCTTGCGACGGCGTAGGACAGGATGGGCTGCTGCAGAGCAGATCCTTAGCCATTGCAAGAGGCTTAAAAACCCGCCTTGTCTCTCCCAGTCCTACTCGGCTACAAGTGTGCGGTTGGGCTTTGACGGGTTATCCAAGCTCTCTATTTTCCTCCACCGTCCCTGCCCCCAGGTAACTGTTCTTCGAGTTTGAATGCTATTTTGGCGGATCTGAGCCACCCAATGACGTGCAACTATGAGCAAAATTTTCGCTAGTTTTGTGCATTACTGCTTCGAAGACCCGTAAGCTTCTGCACTGCTTCGTTCCATTGATGTCGAGACTGAGGGGGCGTACACGGCTGTCAATCAAGAAAGCTAGGGATTCCGCAAAATTGAAAAGTTTGAGGACCCCGTGCCGTCACAACTGTTCAACGTTAAAGGGGCCCTGCAAAGACCTTTTGACTGGTTTTTAATTTCCACCAAACCTGAGCGCACTGAACGTAGTAACTTAATGAAACTTTTCTTTTCTCGAATTTCGCTTTATTTTAAAAGTTATAGGAAAATTAAAATTAAAAAAACAAGCAAAAAATAACCTCTTTCATGACGTACTAGGTTGCTTGAGTGGCCGTGAACTAGAACGAGCTCAGCGAGCGCTCATGGCCTGCCGCACTCCGTGTCGGCGGCTCGAGAGGGCGCCACTAAAGCATGTGCTGGATAGGCTGTATGAAGCGTAACATCCAGGGCGCCTCGCATTGCATTTGCTGTGCAATTAAACACTAATTCGGCATGACACTTCATTGGTTAGAAACGACACCAAACACAAGGTAAAGATCAGTCAGAATGGGAGCCACTTCGCGCCGCCATCCCGCCAAACCTGCTCGCCGAAGCAGCCGAAGGCCTTCGGAACGCTCGGAACCGGTCGGATCCTCAACTGCAGTGCCGCCGCGTACATTCATGACCTTTCTGCGCCCGACCCTTGTGGGTGCCTAATCCCACTATCACTTTCTGGTATGTGCCACCTTTTCCACCGCTTGGTGGCAGGTATGTCGACGGGTCATTTCTTGTTTCCGTACTTCATAAACTGCATTTCTTTCTTTTTTGATCTAAAATACTGAAAAACTACTGTATTTACACGAATGTAGGTCGGCCCTTTTTTTCAATTTTTGTAAATCTGAAGTGGAGGGGTCGACTTAGAATCGAACCAAAGCATTCCACCGTTGGCAAAAACAAAACAATCGCGATATCATGAACACCTCGACTTGTTACGAGTTCAGTCGGCTGTACCTCTAGCATTACACTATTCTGTGTGCTCATTTTACAAATTAATTATTTTTTTATTTGCGCGAACGAGTATTACTGATAGCGATTCGCAAATTAACCCGAACATACGGCGGTGAACAGTGCACGGCGCACCCGACTCGCGGGGGGTGGCGGCACTTCTTGTAATAGCCACTCCGGAGGCCGCTCGAACAGCCTCACGGCTCACTCACCCCACGACTGGCTTTAGCTGGTCATTCTCACCCCCTCCCCCGCGGCTTCTCTTCGCAGTTTTTTGCGCGATTCACGGTAGCACATTGTTTGATCGAGTGACGAGATCATGTGGGAGCGCTAACTACGTTTTTTTGTATGACACGTGTGATCCGGGCAGTTTAGGTTTTCGGTGATCGTTTTTGGCCATTCTCCACTCAGAAGCAACCGACAACCGTGCTGTTCGAAGCAAGTTCAACCCGTCGGAGCGGGTGATGCTCCAGTGGAGTCAGCGGTGGCGCGAGATCTTAATCTGTGACGGCAAACAAAGGGGCTTCCGTAGGCCAAAATCTGGTTCCGGAGTTGGAAGTCAGGCTTGCAACGTACGCCGCAAAAGTGTGCAAATGGTCCCTACCCGTGACGTCCAATGCGATCACCAAGCAAGCGCGGACGATGCGGTTGATCCTGTCATTTGCGAAATGCGAGATTTCGTTGGACGCCGCCGCCGACGTGCTTCGAGAAAGTGGCAGTGATAATGACAAGACTGACATTTCCAGTGCGGACGAGTCGTAGTCTAGTCGCGGACGGAGTGAGACCGACAGTGAGCAGCTTCAGTTGTCCCCCCCTCCAGCGTGAACTTCCCAGTTTCGATAACGCCTGGGCATCTCATGCCCCTCGCGCATGCATACGCAGCCAAAACACGCCAGAAGGCATCGATTGCGTGTTGGAGGCTCGGCTTTCGAAACAGATACTTTGCTGTTCTCACATGTTCGCAGTAAAATACGCATCTACAGATTTTTTTTTTTTGCTGATGTGCAATGTTCATTTATAATCATGTAAATACGGTACTTTCATAAATAATTGAAACGGTTCGCGCCGCTTATATTTTGTATTTCGAATAAAAAAAAGCTTTTAGCGGCTCTGGCCAGTAGTAAGGCCAGGACCAAAAACGTCACATATCGCGTGCTTTCGGCCCTGTGGGTCGCCCCCGTAGGTAGAGGAGGTTTCCCCGCCGTTCGGTTAAAATATGACGCACTGCTATTTAATTATTCTGTCCGTGCCCACTGACTTGCCCGAACCCCAAGAGACGTGAAGATCACAAAAAAGGTAGACGCTTAAATATGATAACAGGGCCCCTTTAAAGACCTAGCTCCAAGCAGAGCACTGTGATAAGTATGCACCTACGATTGCACAAAGTCAAGTGGCTCAAAACATTCTGTGTCGAAGGTGCATAGCTGCCCTGTATGATGTAAAAGAGTTTTTTTTTCACAGTCTCGATATTTCGCAAAGTTTGAAAAGCATAAATTTTGGGAATATTTCACGGGCACCAAATTTTCGATCTCTGTTCGACTTCCTAGAGTCAAAGCCTCTTCGTCACCATGGTCTCTTTGTCACCATGGGCTCCACGTATTCGTCACCACGGTCTCCACGTATTCGTCACAATCAATTTTTCTTTATGGATTTCAAAACCGTGAAATTTGCGAAAATTAGGTTTTGCCGAAAAGTCACACACAATTAATTGCCCCTTAGGTTTCCAAAACAAACATCTGCAACACTCACTGCTGTGACACAAAAATACCAGCGCGTTTCCCTCAGTTCCTACTCACCTTGGCCAACTTCTCCTGGTCATCCTTGTAGAACACCAGTAACGTGATACTGAGGTCGCCCCTTTGGCGCCTTGTGCCCTCGCAGAGCAGAGGATGTTCGGCTTCCGAAACATTGGCTTTCAGGCCTTAAAAATACAGACACAAATAAACCTAAATTTAAAAAAAAGGTAGCAAAGCTGCAACCCAGTTAGAAAATACGCTGTTTTCCAATGGCCCAAAGCATGTTAAAACCTTTAAATGAAGAAGAAAAGACACAGCACTTAAAGGGACCATGAAATGACTTTTTTACTTTTTCCAGATGACTTTTACATTAAACCGTCAATGTTCACTGAATGCCGAACAGGCATCCGTTTTCGTCTCGGTTTATTAACTTCTACACAAAAAAATAATGAAATATCGACTTTTTCTTGACCGCAAAACAAGCCGTGACGTACGCTGTTTCCGGAACCGGAAGTTCTCTCGGCAGTAGGAGATGGGAGCGTTAGAGGCGACGAGTTGGGGTGCGCCGGTAGGTTTTACTGCGCCAATGTCACCGACGTATTTTCTGAATCGGCGCCTCTCATCGCCGCATCGCAGCTGAGCGAAATTCAATGAGATACGTTGCGCTACAGCGACAGCATGGGACTAGTCCCATATGCCGGTATGCCTGTTGGGAAGTGCAGCGAGTCTTCCGGTGAAGACCCCAGAAGTCAACCCAACTGCCATTGTTGGTAAAAGGCGGCCCGTGTCAGTCGTTTGCAAAGCGACGTAGATGGAAACAAATTGCCGCGGCGTTTTTCGCGGTCTCGGAGATGCAGGAGCGAGCCGACATTAAAAAAGATACGTTTGAACTACGAGTGTCAGCAAGAGCCACGTAAATACCTGTTCACACTCTGAGCGGACGCGCGCGTTTGATGGAAGTGCTGTATTCGCGCTGTTGCTAAGCGCTTCGGGACCGATCTTTTACGATTGCAACTCGATACTGACGCGACACTCGGCAAAGAAAGGTTGGACCGGTATTGCACGTATACCTCCCACGAACTGTTACAGCTAGACAGTGACGTGCAGTCTGTCAGAATAAAAATGGCATACCAATAACAAAGTGTACATACCGTGTTACGAAGGTAATCCATACAGCGTTTATTTCAGCTCTATATCACACAAAACAAGAAGAGGGAATCGACGAGGGTCCCTTTTCGACGAGTGTTCGTCAACACTGGATCGGAAAACAAGGGGAAGAGATTGACCTCACCTCTTAACCTAAAATTGAGGTCAGCGATCAAACTATAATACGGGAAGGGTCCACAAGGGTAGCGCGGGCATATTCCATTCAGCACGCCAGCCGGTCGTAGGCAGACAGACGGTCTAGTGACGAAGCAACGCTGTGCCGAGTCGGAGTGCCTGCTAGGCCTATATTCCGAGAGCTTCGTCGGAGCGGGATTCGCGGCTGTTGTCGCTCTTCTTGGGTGTTTGTGGATCCAGCGTTCTTGTTCGTCGTGGTCTGTTTTAAGTACATTTTTTTCTTGCTGCTTGAAGTCGGCACGCGCGAGATGAACACGTAGAAAAATAAACGTTCAGTCAGTCAGAGTTTTGAGAGGAAGGAAACCAAAGGAAATAACCGTTCTCAAGTCGGCCCTGCCCTACTGCGCACGCGCAGTAGTTGCTTCGTTTACCACACGATAGATGGCGCTTGGCTCTCAGCATTATCAAATTTGGCAATTTTCGCCACACATCTCTAATTATGCTACAAAATGTGGATCTGAATATTATTTAACAATACTTTTAGGAAACATTCGCCGGCTATTTATTGTTTACGATCGTGGTGCTGGTGAGGTAGGCTCTTACCCAATAGGCGACATGGATTCGGCTGACGTGCTCCGCTTCTGCGGATGCATCGTAGTGAAAAGGCAGAGCTTTCGAAGGAAAGAAGTGGCAAAAGAGTCCAGTTTTCTTTTAAAAGTTCTATAGCAAATAATTTTTTTTGGCTCCCTAGTTTTGTGTTTTTGTGTTTCTTTTCACACCTTTTACGACGTGCGGTGGATCAAATTCGATTTTAAAATCATTTCATGGTCCCTTTAATCGGCCAAGTCGTCCGGCATGTAAGCGACATGGAAAATTTTAGTGCAAAGTGCACTAATGCGTCGGATTCTCAAAGGGTTTTCTAGAAACTCGGGGCTTCCATAAAAAGCAACCGGCGACAAACACTAACATTCCCTCAACTGTCTGTTATGTAAAGTGCTTTTCTAGCTTAGGCAAAGGTTCAATCTAACTGAGCCATGCAACAATGCATCACTACGAACCAAACAGTCTCAACCCTCTCTTCAGCATGACTCCTTTCCTACTTAAAAAAAATGTTAAGAACTGTTTCTACGCAAGAATGCCATGACAGAGGTCTTCCAAAGTCGTCTTCCAAAGTGGCTACAGATTATGAAGATGACTGAAAACCCATGCCGTAAGAAAAAACAAAAAGCCCATACCTAAAGCAGCTACAGCAGCTTCGAATCCCAAGGCTTCGTCCGAAGGCAGCTTAGTGCCCGGATTGGGAGCACCCTTCGTGTTGTTCTCTGCGACAGGACAGAACGCCGTTTGTTTTGAAAGCAAAAGACCGGGCGGAGGTTGGACAGTGTCAAGGGGAAAGCAGGGACGACTCACTGGACAAGACAAGGGCGTCAAAGATGTAGCTGGACAGCATGAGAGGCAGCAAGGCATCGCCACGAGACTGGAGTCGGTGATCACGCAGGGCTTCTGCTTTGTCCCGGATGTCGTTGAGCTCAAGGTCTCCCAGTGGAATCTTCTTCAACAGAAGTACCAGGTCCTGCTCTTGGTTAGCAAGCTTTACCTGTTTGAGAAGATCGGAAGCACAAATGCTCTCAAATGTTCGTAACGACGACGCTTGCTGGACATGATTTGAGCATTAGAAAGGCAAAACTTGGCCATCACATTACCACTGGTTACTGAAGAGACAAACAGGGTCCATCCTCTAGTTGCATGCCCCAAAGCATCAGAATGGGTTTGTATGAAGGTTGGACTCCATCAATTCAAGAGCTCCCAAGGAGTTGAAGGTTCAACTTGTTAAATACTAAATTTTAGACAAACCTATCTCACAATTCAGGCTCCTACAGAGTTAGAGGTCATACTTGTTACACTAAACTTTAGTCAACAAGGAAAGGCATGCCATCCTTTCTAAATTGCTGGAGAGCATCAACGTTTTCTTTGAGGACCTGGGAAGGCAACTCCTTCGGTGCTTCGGACACACCTACCTCCAGAGCTTTGGTGGATGCTGGCGGTCGTGACATCTCGAGTCCGAAGAGTCCGATTCTGAACGCCAGGTGATGATGCTCCTGATTCTCACCCAAGACTTGACACAGGAAAGCAGCCTTGGCCAGCGTTGCTGATGCCAACAGGCTCACCTGAGAACAGAGAGACAAGAGTCACCATTTGCAAAAAAAAAAGCACTTGGGCTATGAATGCTATGTCTCAAAAAAAAAGAAGAATGCTACGAGGGGAAAAAGCACAAATATCAAAATATTGCACAGATACCCACAATTACTGTTTTTTCATCAACAGTGAGACACTAGTAGCTGCTAGCAATGATAAAGAAAACAATGCAGGGGGACGAGACAGGTGGAGTACATTCTTCATAAAGCAGGATAGAATTATTTTGTTAGACTGCAGTAAGTCACCCAAAAAGGGATTTTATGCTAAATATTGGTGCAAGAGTCAATCAAAGCCATTGCAACCAAACCACTACGCAGCTTTCTGCGGAGTTCTGTCACAGCATGGGCAAATAGCAGAGCGAGGAGCCTCGCATGTGAATATCAAATGGCTCCTTCCAACCGGCTAAAATATTTATTCCGATCAAGTCATAGTGACACAAACCAAAAATGAGAAAGAGAAAATAAACAATGTTGTCTTTTAGCTGAAAGCACAAGCTTTGTGGAGCACAGTAACCAAAAAAAGAAATCAACAAAAAAAGAACCACAAGACTGCTTTAATTTGCCTACAAGTGCTCGGAATGAACACTTCACAATTCAAAAGCATAGAATGGGAACCAGTTTCTTTTTGCAAGCGCTAATCTTTGCAAAATTCCACTTGCAAGGATTTTGTCCCTTTCCCGTCAACTCCCCACTTTTCCCTTGACCGAATGGCCTGACCCAGTGGTTCTCAAATGGGGATCTGCGGAAAGCCTACGGGTGATCCCCAAAGGCTTTCTTATAGGGGTGCGCGAATACCGAATAGTAGTAATCGAATCAAATACCGAATCGAATTAAGAAAAAGAAAAGCCGAATATCAAATAGTGATTTTATTTGTAGGAATTTTTCAAAGTGTGCTGCGAATGAGATTATTATATGTGCAGAATATGCGCCTGGTGCAGAATATGGATCTCGTACCGAACAAAAGATCATACGTATAAAAGTTCTGGCGAAAAAAGAAAAAAGAAAAGCAGCAGCTGATGGACGTTGGGCACTAAAGATCCAATTTTATGGTGCAAACATAATCTATCTACCCTGAGCGTCACAAAAATACCCAAAGTATAGCCACGCATGCCTTTTTTTCTTGTTAAAAGTACAACCTAACACTGCGACATGTCCTTTTATTTATATTTGGTCTCAATTTTAAGGGAGAAAAAAAAGCACCGGGGATTTTATTTTGTATAAATAAACAGATAGATGTTAAATCTGAGTAAACAGGCTTAAACAATTTAATCTGAAGTAAGAAAGAAAACATGTGGTTAGGTGGTGCAAGTCACGTCCAACTGCCGCTATGCATCCATTCCTCCGTCCATCTATCCTGTTTTAGAGAGCCTAGATTTAAAAGAAGGAGCAAGCAAAACTGAAGCCACGGGGACGGCTCCTGCGCAGGTTGGTCGTAAGCGTCGTGTAGTCACGTGGAAAAAAGGCGAGGAAACTGAAGAGCAACAACGCCTGCCCGATCGACGCTTTCGTCTTTTTGTTGCCTTCTCGCAGTTCGCAATTCAAAAGCGGCTTTTGAACGAAAAAACAGTGAGTGCGCAGGCGAACTGGTGGAAGTTGATCATGGTAGAATACCCGAGACTGTGGTAAAAGCTGGGAAACTTGGTCGAAGAAAAAAGGAAGGGGAAAAGAACATTGAGACATTCTTTTACCTATGTCTTTTTTCTTCGACCAAGTTTCTCAGCTTTTACCACAGTCTCAGGTATTCTACCTGAGACTGTGGTAAAAGATTTCAGAGGAAACCCTCTGAAATCTAGGCACACTATTTTTCCATTCCGTATCCTTCCAAATCAGAATTTGCGGCTTGCAGTTCCAAAAGAACGACGATGAGAACTCGGCTGGTTTTATTGGCGTGGTTAACATGGTTTTCTTTTTGTGATTTTGCACTCGCCGATTTCTGCGAGTGTGGCAAGTGCATTCTACATCGGCGCTTCAATTTGAAACGAGGGGCTTTACTCGTGAAAAGAATTAGGCATGGCGCGGAATTCCGCCCCCCAACAATTTCACCCTGGAAGCAACACAAACAGGATGTTTCTGTAGTGATTCAAGGCAAGATTGCGCCACGATCATGAGTAAATCTGCATGCTATAAAGTTTGCGGCATTCGATACTTTTCTTTTTTCTATCCTGTGCGTTAGATTTTTGTGGAATGGTAGGACCAAGAGTTGTTTCTCGCATGGTCTGTCGAACATCACGGTGCTAACATCTGGAGATAAAACGGATCTTCTGTCAGCTCCGTGCCGACTGCGCGTCTTTGACCGAATATATAGAATATTATAATGACCGAATACTAGGAATTCGATTCGCGAATCGAATTATTCGGGAACTTGCTATTCAATTCAAATTCATATTTTCGAGCATTTGCACACCGCTACTTGCTTAGGCTTTCCGAAGCGCTCAACTGTCAATCAAGCCAAGCAAAAAAACTTTTTCTTATTTAATTGACCCCTGCCGTCTCACAAAGCTAAATAGAATAAACGAAGTGCACAGAATAAGTAGGGCCAATTATTAAGGCGAAAGCCTTACTTGTCCCATTGAGCGGCACGTGCCGCTCAATAGGCGACCCTACTTGTCCCGTTACCTTGGCGTCGTCCTTGCGGTTGTCTTAGAAGTCGTCCTACACCTCTAGGACGACCTCACTTGTCACAATACATGAAAAACAAGCGGCGGCGGCGTTGTTGTGCCCAAAAGATGGCCGTAAAAATATCTCATCAAGCGTCATCAGTATAATGTCACCGCTGGAGCACTGTGTGCTAAAGGTGCGCTTCGGATTTCATCTCTGCTCGTTGTGTGCTTCATCCGGTGGACTGCGAGGCAACTGCATCTAGTACATCTAAGGCCTTGACACTGGCAAAAGCGTCTAGATCTACAGCGGCTTCGGCACGCAAACGTGGCCGCCCATGCAAATACGCCACAGCCTCCTTAAGTGTCCTCTTCTAGGCATCGTCTTAGACGTCGTCCTCTAGGCCTCACTCTCAACGTCATCCTGGACATCATCCTGGAAGTGGTCCTAGGCATAGTTCTTGACGTCGTCCTCGGGGCCATGCTAGAAGTTGTTCTAGACGTCATTCTTGGCGTCGTTCTAGAGGACCTCCTCTAGGTGGCGACCTTAAAGGGGCACTGAAGTCGATTCTAAGATGGACCTTATGTGGTGAAAACTCAATCTAGACGCTCTAAGCATCCCAACAGACCTGAAATCACAATCGTGCGTAGCCTATTTCCTCATTAAAAACATGCAAAGATTGCGACACGCACTTTTTGGGAAGAATTTTCTTCCGAGAGAAATGGTCGACGAAGGGTGCTTGTCCGCGAGTTGCGAGCGATGGCTTCGCCCGCGGAGAAAAAGAAGAGTCTTTTCCGAATGTGTACCTATCAGACTCTTCGAAACAAGTTATAACAAAATCATTCAGGATCTGCGCGTATTGTAGGGCTTCCATTGGTCCACAGAATGTAGTCCATTAGAAAAAAAGAGTCTGCATGTTTTTCTATTGCCCCGAGATGGATGGGCATTTTTGTAATATAGGACTCGGTATATCTGGGAGCTAACACATTATGTATAACATCAGATCAAAAATGACCTTTTTCAAAAATGGCTTCAGTGCCCCTTTAAGGTCGTCCTGGAGGTCGTCCTAGAAGTCGTGCTAGACGTTGTCCTTGGCTGGCTTTCGCCTTTCTACATGAAAGCAGTCTGAAGTGTACTTGTGTAATTTTTCTCAGTTTCAGAGCTTCAAAGTTGGTTTGCACTTGCCACTGTAATCGTCCCCAGTGGCACTGCAGTTCCCCCTGGGGTTGAAGACCACTGGCCTAGCCCCTCAACAAAACAAACACAAAAAGAACAATTTCCTTTCCCAGTCGCCCCACAACATACGCCATGGCTGCTGCGTTGCCGCATTCCTCTTGCACGCCTGCATTCCCTGTTGTTCCCTTCGCACCTGTTTGTATTGCCATGATTTTCAAAGCTACAGTGGATTATTCTGTGTCATTTGTGGCATTACAAAGTCTATGTAAATCATTATTAGTACTGTATTAAAGTAGGTAACTTCGTTGCATGCTTACTGGCATAAAAGTTTGTGCTTGTATACTGTTAAGGCCATAAGCCATTTTTTTCTTTACCTTTTATGTTGAGTTCCACATAAAATAGGGCTCCAATCAGTTGTATCAATTTTGTTGTACATACTTCAGATTTGTTAAATTCATACCATACTGGACTGTAAGTACTCACGCACAAGCACGCAAGTGCTTTTGTGAGACTGAGTAAATTGTATGTATGCTTTCTTTGTGAATAAACTTATTATTATTATTATCACCTGGTGCCAGGCAGGGTTGAAACGGCGTCCCCGGCGGTTCCCAGTCGCCTTCCCCGAAGGCGCCGCTGCGGGTGCGAGGCCCTCCACCTCGAGGCTCGGAGGCCGCGCCAGCAGCTCGTGGGCAAGGCGCACCGCCAACTTGGATGCCTCCTGGGTGTGGCCGTGGGCGTGGAGTGCCTCCGCACGAGCAAACAGGATCTGCAAGCGGGGGCACGCACACTCATCGAGGCTGGCCCGTATAGACAATATCGCATTTCAACATGAGCAAAGGGGCGTGTTGGTCAAACTTCGTTGAAGGTTTATGGCTGTTTCACACATTTTTGTGCGAGCATGCTGGAGTATGGTAACTGCTTACGAAGAGAGAGCAGGCCGACACATTAGCACCATCGTCGGGTAGATCTGGAACACTTTTCGACCTCCGTACATGCTTTTATAATCTTTTATGCACCATTCTCTCACCGTGGGCACGAAATGATTCTGACAATGTTATAACCGACTATTTGGAAAAGGCGGCGCAGGGATTTAATTTTGCAAACACTGCGAAACCTTTGGTCTAATTATACGCAGGCTCCAGGTCTACCCGACAAATGGCGCTATCATGCCAGTGTGTCAAGCAGTTACAAATGATGACAATGCACTCGGCCACAGTCAAACACAGATGTGTGAACCAGCCTTTAGAACCGGAGACGAGGGACGAGAGCAAAACACATTAGGCACGGACCGAACCGACTGCCATATGGTTTGTTCTGGACTCGTCTCTAGTGTCTACTCGCATTTAAACAAAAAGCAATGTTTCACCTCTAGTCTTTTTATGCCATTTGTACCGCCTCTCCAAACTGCGTTGCAGAGATATTTCTACATGTTACTTAGCCCTTTTGAGTAGAGCATTTTATTTATAAAAGTCACCTTTCTGCTCTGCAGAATGGGGCTTTACGGGTATTTGCACATATCCATGTTTGTATATAGTAATGCTATTTGCTTAGCACTGTTTTTTTTTTTTGTTTTTTTTTCATAAATGTTGCTTGCCTCATATTTTTGTCTATAGGTATTTTACTGTCTTTGTGGGCTGTTTTGCTGTGTATGGGCTCCTGACAGGTGTACAAGAAAATAAGAACTATGGTCAATTTATCACTTGAGCGCCCAGGTATCGAGGAAAATAAACCTCACATAATTATTTAGTCATTTAGGATGTCAATACATAAAGGTGTACATTGAATAATATAAGCAAACCAAAAATAAAATGTAAAGGCAGGAACATGCAAAATGCAAGAGCTAAACTATGCAAGAAGAAAAATGTGATGTAATTTATAGGTTAGATATCCTGCCAATTTATGAATGACTCTTCAGGAGCTTCGCCCCAATAATAACAAAGGATTCCAAGTACATACTTTACGTATCTCGATTGCAACTCAGGCGGCTAGGGCAAGAACCTCGGCACTCTTCGCCGGTGTTCTCGGCTGTTTTCGCTCGTAACAACAGCACGACCATCTGATGCTGTCATTCAATTTCCTCTCTTCAAGTGCTACCACTGGTAAAAGTGGGGCGAATGCTATTGTAACGAGCAACCGAAGTAGCCAAAGCAGCAGTGTAAAAGTCTAAACCCAAATACAACTGTTTACGATGGCGCCACTTTTTCGACGCCGTCACAGAACTGCTTGTTCTTACACTATTGCTGCTTCTTTTTTTTTCTTTTTTTGTGTGTGTCTGTGCTTAAAAATGGTAAATTTGGATTGTACGTTTTCCTAGGTAATACATTTTTTTTTCTCGCGGTTTCTTCAAAACTTATTAATGAGGTTCTACTGTACCGACACGAGTTTATTGATTTTAAGGTATCGACGTTTATCGAAGCAACACTTGTGTGCAACTTTTGTCATGGGAAAAATTAGTATTGTCAATGGCAATGGTGTCAATGCCAAATCCACCTGAAGAAATAATAATTAATAGAAGCACTTCATTTTTTTTTTTTTTTTTTTCATCTATATGTTTGTTTACAATTGGGTATTATATTTTTTTTTTAAATAGAAAACACTGCAAAATTAAACTTTGAATTTCGGAGAATTGGGAATCAAATGAAAATAAACTCCCATAAACTCTGAATTTTCGGCAAACATAAACTTCGAAAACACAAAATTCTAGTTAGAACCAATAGCAAATTCATGACCCAACCTTGACAACGAACTTAATGAACGTATCTTGGGGTTTCTCAAAGACTGTTCTTTCACCTTATAGCAGAGTAACTGACTCCTTATAAAAGAGTAACGCTGACATAAAAGAAGGCAGCCCTAACACCAGTTCTAAAGACCACCCAAAGCAATCCACAAGACAATCTTGCCTTACTAATTTCCTGAGTCCTGTATTCATAATTCATCCATAAAAAGAAGTATTTGCACGACTGGAAGCCCCACCTCAAATGGATCCTCTATCTTCTTCACTTGAACGGCCAGACAGTCATCATCAGGAGTTTTGAGATCTCGATTTCTTTCAGGGCTGGAAGATTTTCCTTGAGAACTGAAGTAGTAGAGGTGGTACTCCTCCCCCGTTGCTGTCCTGTCTTCGCCTTTTGCATCGACACCACCACTCCTGCAACAAAAAAGGCATAAAAAAAAACACAAAAAAACAACAACAAAAACATTGCAGTTTGAAAAACGGAAAATCGTGAAGTAGAAAGAAAAAGGGACGGACAACGTCTCAAACTCAATTAAAAATTTTATTGCCTCTACGTCTTATATATACCTCCCCCGTTTTTCAAACCACAGTCTCAGGTTTTCAATCATCATGATTAACTTACACCAGCTCGCCTGCACTTTAACCGTTTTTTCATTGCAGTTATTACAGCTTCATTTAGAGCAGAACACAATTATCCTAGGCCAAATGAAAACTCTCAGTACAATTTCCCTCTAGCTACCTCCAGGATAGCCAGAAGCAGCATAAATATACAGTATAGACCACTTACAACGTAACCGCTTATAGTGCAGGACCGGGTATAACGCGGCTTTTTTAAACCACCGGTTCGCCTCCCATAGAACTCCATGTAATTACATACCGCTTAAAATGCAGGCGCGCGAAGGGAAATACCGATTATAGTGCGGTTTTCGGAACAACCCGGCGACCGCGCCGACTGACCGACGCAGAGAGCACGCTTCCCTGTGTGACACTAGATAACGGCACGAGCCGCAAGCGGCACTCACGGGGCAAGGAGGTTGCTTGAAGAAGCGGGGAGAAGCGGAGAGAGGCTTCAGTTGCCATAGCGACGGAGGGATGCACGCACGCGTCGTTCACGTGCATGCGTCCCTTCGCTGCGTTGGAAACAACCGCAACGACAGACCAATCGCAAGTCGAGGAGAAGTGTTCGCGCGCGTTGCATGCCGGTCGCGGGCCGGCCGGCCGGCGGGCTGCTTCTATCCGCAAACATGGCGTCGGTTTTGATAGTCGATGTAGACGGCGTGGTAGAAGCTCATCGTTCCGCGTAAAAGCGCTATCCTTGACTGTGAATTTTCGTTGTGTGTACTAGAAGGGAAGATCCACCTACTTGTGCGTCGATGTTGTGGCGGCACACTCAAGACTGCAGAAACGCCCGTGTCGTCGTGTTTGTTTACTTTGACTGTAGTGGTGCTTTCTAAGCATTTGTGTTTTCGAACATCGCTTGGATTTCTTATTTGGAACATTTCACGCCTGTGCTAAAGTTGAAGGTAGTACTGGTGCATACCGTATAAAGGATGTGAATTTTCACGCGTTTTCATCGCCGGAGAAAAGTGATTAGGGTTAGCAATCCTCAACGCTCGCAACGTCCGTCCGCAACCCGCGACGCCGTTAAAAGACTGTGCCAGGCAAAAGTCGCTAATTTCTTTCAAAATGTGTGACACACTTGAGAGAGAAGTGTACTAGTCTGGTGAAATAAAGACTTTCCTCAAACTAAGCTTTATTTTTCATCTAACATAAAATAAATTCTTTTCCAAATGTAAGTTGTCTGATGGCAGGCATTTTGGCCTGAAAAATTGATGTTTTGGTTATAGCGCGGTACCGCTTACAGTGCGGATTTTCGCGACTCCCGCGACAAACGTTATATGCGGTCTACACTGTATCCAAGACTTTTGTATACAGTAATCCCTTGTTATAACGAAGTCAACAGGACGGCAAAAAGTTTGATACAAGTGGTAAGTCGATAAAAGGGATAGGAGCCAAAAAACTGTGCCAGCAGCCTTTGTGCTGGACGGGAAGGCAGAGGAACACTCTGACCGTATATTCCATCAAACAAACCTTGGTTATGAACAAGCGGCCACTTCGCCTAGTACAAAAATAATTAAGTGAAGTTTGCCAATAATTTCATTCAGGCATCAGTTCTCCTCGAACTGCTTCGGTCATTGCAAGAACACAGCCACCGCCGCAGCACTCCGCTTTGTTTCGAAGCAGCCGTAGAATGTTTCGTGTCTCCGCAGTCGTCAGCGTTTCCCGAATAGCCTTTCTGATGTCATGTCGTGTTTACCCTGGCTGCTACATAAGGTCTACAATCACAAAATCTGTGGCAGGAGTAACAATGGGACGTCCGCTTTAACAAGCACGAATGAATGAGTTATCCTTGGTGGCTTCGCAGACATGTTTTCACACACACCTCTAGAGACCGTTGTAGCTCTGGGAATCGTGCACTGGCTCGGCAGGCATGCTCGCGAAAGAAAATTCGACGTGTGCAAAGCAGTTTGCTATCTTTCATTTTCGAGTTGCAGGCACACTTTCTCTTGCATGAAAAACTTCTCAAAGCCATCCAGTATTCCTTGCTTGTTCTGTAAAACGGTTGACAGTGTCGAACAGCCGATGCAGGAATGTCGAATTCTATGGCGATTTCAGACTTGGGCTGGTCACTTTTCTCAACCTCTCAGATCTAAGCGACTTTCAGTAAACACTCCCACTCCCATGCAACGCACGTCTATGTGTAGCGTGTGGTATGCCGCAGACGCGCCCGTGCAAGCGAGCACGTCGGGGGCTCCCAAAGGGATAATCTCCTCCTGGCTCCACTGCTACCTTGACCAGATTCAGACAGTAGTCGGCCAGCGTTGGCCTTGGGCGCCGTGATTAGTGTCGGAATGTATAGACGCTGCTCCTACTGCTACCTGCCCACGTTGGCGCATCAACATCGGAAGCGGCGCTCTGCGCCCCGTCCCCCGTTTACTTGTTTGACGTTTTCCCAGTTTGCCGTTTGCATCGGTCGAGAAGGGGGAGAAAACGCAAGCATCTCCGTGCGCCTCCATGTAAGCTTGCATACCTTCGGCACCTTGGCCTTCGTAATAAGCATGCTCAGCCACCAGTACACTTAGAAAAATCCGGTTAAGAGTGCATGCATTTTGTTTGGGACCACGTTGAACTTCGATAAAAGCAATTTCTTTATAATGAGAAATTACTGTAGTTGGCACCAATATGAAAACACCGTAAGAAATTGCTATCAAAAGCCATACCAGACTATAAATAATGGAATATTAACCATGCATAGTTCCACACAGTGGAGACAACTGTTTGAGGCCCCATGGCCAGAGCACAGCAGTACTAAAGCTCCGGTCATTAGGAACTTGCAGCATTAAAATGGACCACTTTATATTTCCTTGTATGTTGTTGTCTGTCTATACAGTATAGAGTTAACCTAACTTTGAATATACAGTCGCCAACCGGTTTTTTGGAAGCCGATAATTCGGACTTGATCAATATTTCAGACCTACAGGAGGAACCCTAACCTATTCGATAGAAAGAGTGCATATTTACGACTGATGTTTACAAGCAATCAGCGAGATACACCACCGAGAAGCGGCCATTTTGGATTCTATGTTGGCTGCGCATAAATTGGCTTGGTTTAGCAGAGCTTTTTGAGCACAGCTAAGTCCTACCGCTAGGTGACGCTGTACGGCTTTTTTTTTCTCTAGCTGTTTTTTCGCCATTGTTGTTACCTGTTCATCTTCTCTGTCCCTGCCCTTTCGTGCGCAACTGTAACTATGTTCAGTCTATACAAACTCGCACAACTGGCTACATTACTATTGTTGTTACCATTTTGCTTTGTTCATTCGCCATTGCAATCGTGGACTTCTCGATCTCGTCTAGTGAATCGTGTTTTCGGACTACGCTGGCTTGGACGTCACTGCCCCAACTGTTCTTCCACCGCTGCGATTTGTCGCTAGAAAGCCCAGAAAGTATCTACTCAACCATAACACTAGAAAAGAAGGCAGAGGTTCTTGAGCTAATAGAAAGTTTCCGAACGCAAACGGAGGCGTAACCTGAAACAAGGCGCGCAGGCATAACCCGGAGCGAGGCACTATTTATGGTTTTTTTAAGCCCGCTTAGACGTAATAAAGACAAATCTTTTAATCTGCTGATTTTTCTAACTGCTTTATTATTCAAATGTTTTTTTTGGTCCCTGCGAATTCCAAAAAATTGGTCTGCGACTGTAGACCCTTGCTACGCAGCAGTGGATGAGTGGTTCAGATATTTATTTATGTATTTATTTACTCTCAAGGACAAGACATTACATAACAAAAAATATAATGAAAAGCAGCTGCTCACTAGAGAGCTGGTGCATGTTAATGCAGAGAGGAGTGAGTTAATGCAATAAAAACAAAACTATTATGCAACCCAGTTGCTAAGTAAAGGTTCTGTGCATAATAAGGGCTGTCCAAACCAGGATGAGTTTTCTACAATCATAGTATATATGCTGCTTAAGTTTCCTTTTGCCGGGGCAAAGGCTTTCCTCTGCTTGCGTCTCTGAACAAAGGCTCATAGCATGCTCATCACGTGGGTCCGGACAGTCACTCACACACTCTGCAGGCTGCCGTCAAAACCTTTGTTATCATTCTGTCTCCAAACTCCCGAAAACCAGAAAGGGGAAGAGACGACAGCGAGGAGAAAAACCGTGCTGTTGCATGGCTATGTCCAAACTGAAAACGGGCCTGCGCCACAACTTTCATGTCTTTTGAGAGAAGAGTAAGATTTTGTTCGCCGTGACAGTGTTTGCCCTATCCTGTTTGGACAGCTCTTTACAGTTGAGATAGCATAAAGGCATGTCAAGACCATCCCTGTCAAAATCAAAACTAACAGAGATAGGATTCGATCGTGCCACTCCTGAACCTTTAGCACAAGCCACACTTGAATACCCCACCAGCAGTATGTGCTCAGATTTACGGATGCTTGTGGTTAGGTCTTAATATATGCACAAGCTGTGAGTTTGTGCATAAATGACGTATATTCAAATAGAGTTTGTCTTCGTCTACCATAGTATACCGAGAAATAGCCCACCTGAAATCAAAAGCAAATAGGGTGAAAATAAAGAGTGGGTTATTTTTAGACTCTGTGGCTTCTGAAACTTGCGATTGAAGGGACCCCTAAAAAACATTGCTGACTGGGGAGGCGTCAGTTCTTCCCAGTCAGTAATGTTTGCTTATCTTGTGCCGTGGCTAAGTAACAGCATTTCTGCCAAGGTCACCATTGGCCAGGTCTCTGCGATTATAAAAATATGCTATCTTTCAATAATTTTTTAAAAAGAAGCAAATCATGTCAAAACCTAGAGGGGTGGGCTATCTTTCAAGGATGGGACATCCCCCAGGGTATTACTGTATACAACTATATAAGTAACAGAGGAACAGGCAAAACCTAATGAGGAATCCTCGAAGTGTACACATTTCCAGAGGAACACAACACGAAATGCCAAACCCACTCACCCATCTGGCCCCACTTGAGCGCCGTCCCTGAGCCCCCCCGAGCAGTCGGAGTCTGCATCCTCGGGAGAGGATGACTTCTCTCCGTTAGCAGCTTCGGGATCACCAACCCCCGCAGGGGTCAGGGTACTGCTCCCCTTGGGAGTGCTGCTGCTGCACATGGCAGAGTCAAGGTCGTGCAGGCCTCCTAGCACGGCAGAAGCCACGCCCGGCAGGAGGAAGTCTCCGGTGACGTCCTCGTTCTCGCAGAAACCTTCCGAGCTCAGCGAGCTGCGATTGCTCGCACCGCCGCCATTGTTTAAGAGCGCCAGGTCGTGGCCCAAAGACATCAGAGGGTTCACCTGGAGGGAGGAGGCAAGGAAACTCGTGCTGTTTGCATAATTGTAACGCGCACCTCTTTTCCAAAAAATGCGAGCCCGAATTTGCATGCATGTTACAATCACACCCATAAACATAAATAAAAAAAAAAAAGTCAAAACACTGTCATGGTTGCATAGTATGCTAGATGGCGCGAGCCCTTTGCAAAGGTACAGCCGTTATTTATCTATCCACCTTTCCATCGTGTGGTCATGCCCGTTTTGCATTCCCGATTGTTCCATTTGTTTTACGTGACCGAGACATGTGTGCAACTGGCGTAAACAACAAGGCAGGATTTTTGCCTGCAAAGGTTTGCAGAAAGGCTTTAAGGGTCTCCAACGTGGACGCTTTCCGGAGCTTGAAGACTCTCTTGCAGACTACATAAAGGGCTTGCGACTGAAGCAACTGCCCGTCTCCTCGGATGTGGTCAAGGATGAAGGCTCCGTGTGTCGTACTCGTACTCTGCGCTTCGCGTGTCGTACTCGTTTCTACCTCTGTCCTCGTCCTTTGCGCTGTTCATTTATTTCTACAAATCATGAACCAACTAGCCCGCCAAAAGGTGTTAGATGAAGGGACTCGGGCTTGCTGGAAGCTGCAACATTCCAAGGTCTAGTTTCAAGGCCAGCAGGAGCTGTATCTCCAAGTTTATGAAGCGAAAGGGATTTTTTTCTTAGGCGAAGAACCAGCATCTGCCAAAAGCTGCCAGAGACATACGAAGAGAAGCTAATTGCATTCTAGCGGTTTCACCATTATAAGCATTCCTTTGTTAAAAAGTATATGTGTCACGGTGGCTAACTTTCGGACGAACCCAAAATAATCATCAGTTTGTGTTAGAGTACCAAATTTTCTGGAATAAAGTCTGCGGACTATAGATGTTTAAGTTGAAATTTTACCTGATGCGGATTATACAAGGATTTTTTTTTTTGTAGATCGTTCACTGTGACAAGACGTGAAGGATTTTATGAATAATGGAGTATAGTAATGTTGATTTATGTATGATACAAGCTTTATTGTGAGCTATACAGCAGGCACTCATCAAGGTGTGATGTGTATGATAATTTTTACCTTTGGACAGGGCATTAAGTGCAGACTATGCAGCGAGTGTGGACTATCTAAGCAAAAACTTTTATTTGTGACCCCGAATTTGCCCCTGCAGACTATGCACCGGGTGCGAACTATAGTCCAGAAAATACAATACACTAACTTTCAGAAGTAATAGGTGTGGGTGTGCGGCACATTTTGTATATTCAAAATTTTAATTATTGTTTAGTTTGACATAGCTGTAGAAGTTTCAGTGTTTATACGCCTAGCACACATACATTCTATTTTCAAGAACTTAAGATTTTAAAAACTTTTCCCCAGATTATGCCAACCATTATTTCTTTTGAAAGAACAACTAATTGGCCACATCTTGATGTGTCATATTGCTGCATAAGCAAATTACAGGGGTGGAACTCATGAAATGAACTTGGGAGCAGCCACGGGAGCAGCTGAAACAGCTGTTTTGAAGCAGGTTGGGAGCAGCTAAAAGTATGCTCTGGAACAGGCTAGGAGCAGCTCAGATCAGTTTTCATTGGACTTCAGCTTGTGTCTTAGACAAGCACGGGAGCAGTTTCAATCGTGCTTGGCAGCACAGATGAACATGAGTGGTTAGGCACCTAGTAGATGGGAAAACAGTGTAACAGATGCGAAAACTTGAAACTTTGTGAGCCTTAATGAGAATCAAAAAGCAAGTACCCTATGTTTCTGAAGATAGCATCCTTCATATTTTCTGAGTGGCTTTCAGCTGCTCAAAATGCAAACCAGCACTGCTTATCGCACATCCCACACATGCTCAACATAGTAACGATATGTGCGAACCACGTGACGTGCGTAAGCAATGGATGTGCAGCTGCACGGACAAGCAGGCCAACATATTTAGAGTTTATTCTACTGTGCAACTCGATATCGAAGCAGCAGACTACAATTAACGAAGTTATCGTATTTGAAGTGATAAGCAGGAGCAAGGTTAAAGTATGCTGACTAGATCTATTACTCGCGTAAAAGCTGTCAAACGGCAAGGTCTCCGATCGGAACGCGTTTCAGTTCTATCAAATCACAATTTATCTTGCGAGAATAAGCTTCCAACGTTTAACGATGAAGTACTAAAAAAAATATTTTGCTCCTTTGTTTTCAACTGGCCGACGTCCGGATCCCGGGCCGCAGAGCCTCAGGCAATCCGACGCTTAAAGGCGGGCGCTCAAAATTTTCTTCAGCGTGGCAGAAGATTCCCCCTCTTCTTTTTTCCTCCTCCATTTTCCTCCTCGCTTTTTAAGGCCTTCTCTCACAAGTGCTAATGGGCTTACCGGCCCCCCGACAAAATCTCTGTAATTCTTCAAGGTTTTCTGCTTCAATCCCAAACATCAGGGATTAATTAGGCAGGCTGGATAGGAGCTCGGAAGGGTTCAAACTGGCTCGCTTTTCTCCGTTTCTTTTTTTTTTTACTCTTTTTCTGCAGCTCTAAAAGACACTCAGATAGTCAACACCAACTAGCCCAACAACAAGTTTTTTTTACATTCAGATACTTCCGCATGCGGCCACATGCGCTACAACACCGTATATTTATCTCGAGTAAACGGAACTTGAGCATCACAGCAGAAGGAAAAAAGGTGGGTATTTTTGTCTGAACTTTGAGCATTATTCAGAGAGTTGAAAATTGGTCGTTCTAACAACGGCACACTGAAGAGTGATTGTATCACTATTTTTTTGTTTTTGTTAAAAGTAATAATTATGAGTAAATACAAGTAAAAAATATTGCAGTCAGAGGGTGGAGTATGTAAAATTAGTTGCATTTTGACACTATAGTCATGTATCGGAATGAACAGTCTGGCCATTTCTGGGGCATAATATATATGTTCGTGCTACAGGTGTTTTCTAGAGTGACGGCCGCTTCATTGAAGCTACTAAGAAGAGTAAAAGACAAACTTCCATAAAAAAGGAAAGTGTTTATGGTATATTTTATGTATCTCCAGCCTTTGAAAAATTTCTTCGCGGCCAAACGTGCATTTAGTTTCTGCCAACAAATGTAACTGAAAACTCCACAGCCGACAAATATCTTGCGTATCAGCAAAGAGAGCGGGAAATACGGAGACTGAACCGCAAAATCACCATTTTCTTAGCGTAAAATAGTGCACCTAGCAATAGTAGCATATTATGCCATTTATTAAAAGACAGCAGGTATTACAAAGTTTTCATTCTCTTCTGCTTTCATTTGTTTGCAGATTAAGAAATGGAATGCCCAGATAGCCTCTGCAGCCCTTGCATAATCGTTCGGGGCTCTGTCAGGGTGGGCAAAAACCAGCGACCATCTCCAAAAAAAAAAAAAAAAAAAAAAAAACCCGGGAGTTCGTAAGGTGTAGTACAGCAAGTTTTCGGGCTGCTTGGCTAACTTAGGCGTCTAGCGTTGCCCGTCTACTTAGAAAAGAAGCGGAACAGCGGCCAGCTCAACGTCGTCACCAAGCGGGAAATCATGCCGAAATATGACCTTGAACACGTGCGAGATCTTTACCCGAACCCAGCGGGGTTCGCCACAATTCCTAATTAAGCTATGAAACAAACTATAAAAAGAGCGAGGCTGAAACTATTTGGCAATTTTTGAATATAGTCATGCAAACTAACTGTCCACAAGTACAGAAAGAAAGAAATGCAGTAGAAATGCAGAGCTCTGTTGTGTTCTTCATGCCCATACTTGTCTTTCGCGCTGTACATCAATTAAAATAAAATCTGCAATATCTGTAGATTATGCGTGGTTAAGTTGTCTCTAAAAGAAAAGTAATCAAGCAAGTTCGGTATCGTGTCACAAATTTGTGCAAATGTAGAATTCAACGTCAAAACACTGTACTTCCGCGGGAAATAATGCATCCGTCGTTCTTAGTCTCCCCGAAGCTGTAAACTACCGATCTCGGCTACAGGACTTTTGGGACCACAAAATATCACGCCCAGTAGAAAATTCGCTTCTTCTACCAAAAGTACTGGAAATCATTTATTTTTCAAACAGGTCGGGTGGTGATGCGTGTTTGAGTGTATGACTGTTGACTGGGCACTCGTTGGCGCCAAGAGTGCAGTGCTTCCTTTCATGCTGCCTGCAACGAGTGTTGAAATTTGAATATAGTAGAAATAAAATCTACTTAGAATTATTTTAAACTTGCGCTTTATTCAGGCATATAGATTTTGATCATACCTTTTATTCATTGTCGTCTTCGATGAGAGAACAACTTGCCGAGGAGGACGCGCTGTCCGCGTACGCGGCTTGACAGATAAGGTCGCAAATGCTTTTCACGAATCTTTAAAGAGCAAGCATAAAAATGAAAGACACTTACAAATCTCTGTAACGCGAAATTAGAGTGCATCCACTTTACGCCAATAAAACCAACTTTATGTTTTGGGCAGACGTCTTGCGAGAGTTGCAGTATTTTTAATTATGCCTAATAAATTAAATGTTTAGGAATAATTACCAAACTTTTTAAAATGTATTAAGAACCGAAATGTCAATTGCAAAGTTCTAGAGCTCCTTGAGAAACACCCGAATTAGCTGTTTGCAACGTGATACGGCTCGTGTGGCTCCCTCCTGACTAGTCATAAAGCTTACGAAACATAACAAAATACCACGTGATAAAGCGCCCGCCCCATCATAAACTCAATTTCGAATGTCCCAGGATTTGTTTTTATAGGCCGGAAGAAAAAAAAATGAATGCAAGACGCGTGCCCCACTTTATTTATATCAGAAAAGAAGTGCCCTCTGTACATTGTTTTTTTGTTGTTGTTGATGTTGTTTTTTTTCACCTGCTAGATATTGGAAAAAAACGTGCAAATTAACGTTTTGTGGATGCGAGCTATACGGCCAGGCGAAGATTGGGTTCAAGAAAGAACGCAACAAAACCCGACTGATTACCTAACATTTGTTAATGAACTTTTTGATTATAAAAGAAAACAGGATAGCTGACTGCCAAATCAGATATTTATATTAAAATTGATACTTCAATGACTACTTCTTTGAGCAGAACAAGATATTTGTGCTCTCACAACAGAAAGAATAGTCCTCCAAACCAATGCTAAAAAAGAACCAATCCTACTTGTTGGGAAGAGCAAGTGCCAAGCTCGCTCAAAACAGCTACTCGGTTGGTTCAGCTCCTTGTCGCAGGTGTGCCGGCTGGCTTCTGGATAATCTTTTCAAATCCTTGAAGCTTTAATTTCCCCCACCCCAAACTTGTCCCCCCCCCCCAAAAAAAAAAAAATTGGAAAATGGCAAGGAGGAAACGAGAGGCGATTTCCTCCTTTCACGGTGGCAAGAAGGAAAGTTCTCTCTGCTTGCGGGCCGGCCTTTAACGACTCTACCTCACCCCAGCCGACTTGCTTAACTGCGTATGGTTGAAAAATAACAATCCAGTCGCAGGTGGTATAGCGCTTAGAATATGAGTTTTTCACGCACTTCCGGCTCGGGATACACAGGGAGAATAAACAGAACAAAGGATTGCAAGGCCAACCAGGCTAAACGCGCTCATTGTTGCCAATCGAATCGATAGAAAACGAAACCAAGACAAAATACATTTTTTTGGCACACGTTCTGCGATTTGGCGCATAATGGCGCGAGGTATTGGCTGTGACGCAGGATGGCGCAGACACATGCGTCTCGCGCAAAATGGCGCAAATGGCGCAGCCGTTCCACCCCTGAAATTAGTTAGGAAAATAAAACCATTTGCATGGATCCGTTGAAAATTGCTACTTTTCTCGTGGTCAGGAAAGAGTTAACCCTAAGCTCCCTAGGTTTGGTCAAACAGGCACACAGCTTTCATTCCACTGTCGGCTTAGAGATGAACAGAGTATACAAAGAACCGAGCCCCTCGCCCACCTGATGATGACCAGTGGTGCAAAGCACGTGAATGGGCTTGCGGTCGGGATGGTGAGAGGGCCCGCTCAGAGAAGAGCCCACATCCACCGCCCTGCCTCTGCGGCACAGCGTGGCCGAGTGGTCGTTGCTCCCGCTGGCAACGTCTCCGCCCACCCCCTGGTCTCTGGGCACGTGCTCTAGAAGCCGCATGTGCATGTATGGCGAGTACCACCTGCATGGAGCAGAAAAACAGACGGTCACATCTCCCGACGTCCCTCGAAAAACAAAAACCCACTGTTGCAAAACTCGCCACGAGTTGTTTGCTGGTTTACACACACGCCAGAGCAGACCAAATTGGTGAATACTCAAAGTTGAGCTGGGTATATATTGCACATGGCAGCATTTTCATTTCTACCTTGCATTTAAACATGAAACAGCTGCCTGCCTGCATTTTAAGAGAGCTGTAGCAAGACTCGAGTTTGTCTAAAACAAATTTAGGCGGTTCAGAAGCATACTACGAGCATCTAGACTTATATTACTAGCTTTAACACACTCAAATGCCACAATCTGCAAGACAGAGGCACTTATAGTAATCGGAAATTACTGCGGCGAAATTTCTCGCACAAGAGCTATTGTAGGTTGTAGGTTTAGCACAGCTGGACAAGCCCCTTCCACAAAGCTCCTCCCTCGCTACAATTGGCAGCCTCCTTCTCTCCCCTGGCCTCCCATCCATTGTTCACTCCACTAAAGTGGAAAGGGTGGAGGGCTTTGTGGAAGGAGCATCAGCTACAGCCAACCTGCAAAAGGCCAGAAGGCTGAAATCGACTCATCCCACACACCTGCAGGCCCCTCCCTCGGCGTACGTGATGCTCTCGATGGGATAGTCCGTCCAGTCAAGGAGGCAAGCCTCGAGGGAAGGCTTGAACCCCGTAAACACGTCCAGGTCCGAACGCCTCGCACCACCCATGACTGGACCGCCCCCGCCGGCCACATTTCCCCCAGCCCTCACCTTGCAGACGCGCTCCAGGGTCTTCACATGCCACTCGCCCATCTGCACGTCACGGGAAAACGAGAGGCCTTACCAACGAATCGCTCAAACCCAGAATGAAGTAGGAACTTAATGCAAGCGCTCTAAACACCTTATCATGGGCTTCGTAGAGTATTCTGTCTACCTGCACCCGTTGTGGTCAGTGAAGTAAGTATGGCCCTGCCATACTTACGCCACGGGAAAACGAGAGGCCCTGCCACAAGCATTTACTGCAAGTTTGTTGCCGGCACTTTCTGCACTATTACATAGTAGACCGATCTCACCAGCCAGTTTGGCTACATCGCCGGTGTTGCAATGCATTGAGGGAAATCTGGTTTTTCTGTATGTGCAACCACCTCGTCATAGTGGTTAATTAGGTAAAAGTGCAAACGGCACTGGCAACGTCACGCACGCGTCAAGTGCTTGGTGAGATTGGTTTATTGGATAAGAGGTGGAGAAAATTGTTCCCGACTATGAATAGGGTTCAGTGTTCTCGTGGTTTATTTCTCGACGCACCATTTTTCTCATTAACTTTATGATGTCGGACAAAAAAAAATGAAAGACGTTTATAACTCCCAGTAATGGTGAATTAAAGTGCAGCTCTTGAGGAGGAGGAGGGGAGGGTACTTCCCTCCATTTAGAGGGAAATTTTCGCCACATTACACGCTAAATTCAGTGGAAAACATTCCCCACTAAATTTAGCAGGGAAAATTCCCCGCTAAATTTAGGAGGCAAATTTTTTTCACTAAATATAGCAAAAACATTTCCTGCTAAATTTAGCCGGAAATATTTCCCCGCATAACTTATAATGAAAATTTTTCTGCGACACTTAGCGGGGATTTTTTTTGCTGAATTTAGCGGGGAAAATTTTGCCACTAAATATAGCGGGAAAAGTTTTGTCACTAAATATACACGTTTGCAAGTCCGGCTTCAGGGTGCTGCCATCTTGCTTGGCTGGGGTGTGCTTGGACGAGTCATAATCCGATTACGAAGCCTTGCTAAGGCGTCGTAATCGGATTATGGCCGCGCCCAAGAGCGCACCCCACTGAGGAAGATGGCGGCGCCCTAAGACCGGACTTGCAAACGTAAATAGCGGAAAATTTTTGTCACTAAATATAGCGAGAAATTTTTTCCACTAAATTTAGCCGGGAAATGTTTCCACTAAATTTAGTGGAAAAAGTTTCCCTCTAAACTTAGCGGGAAAATTTTATCGCTAAACTAGGTGCGAAAATTTTTCCGCTAATCTTAGCGGGGAATTTTTTCTGCTAGATTTAGTGGGGAAAGTTTTCCGCTAAATGTAGAGGGGATTTTTTTCACTAAATATAGCGGGGAAATTTTCCGCTAAATGTAGCGGGGAATATTTTCCGCTAAATTTATTGGAAAAATTTTTCCGTTAAATTTAGCGGGGAAAGTACGGCGAATTTTTTTTTGCTAAATATAGCAGGAGTTTTACAGCAGAGCTGTTAAGGGCTAGATTCCCCAGGATCGTGCCTGATACCAAAGAAATGTCGACACAAATTTGCACGAACCTCTGGACAGCTACCACCATCTATAAGCGACGGCGGCAACCAGGCACCAGTCTGGCTACCGCCGTCACTCATAGATGGCGGCAACCTTTCCAGCTATCCAGCTATCATAGAAGAATGGATAGTTAGGCGAGTTAATGTGAATTTATCATAGGACACATCGCGAAAAACAGACGAGGACAAAGAAGAAACACATGTGACGAGCACAGCGCATGTCACGAGTGTTTCTTCTTTATCCTCGCCTGTTTTGCGCACTGTTTCCCATGCTCCTATCAGTTTCGGTTTGGACTCGGGATGCGTAGGCCGCGTGCCCTTTTTTTGGGGAAAGGGGACCGGTTTAGCAAGGAGCGGCGAAGTAAACAGCAGCGCAAATGGGTCCGCAACCGCCGCGTGCGTCGAGCGCTTCAGTTTCCCTTGCGAAAGAAGTGCAGAATGCTCGCCTGGAAAGCCACCCCCGAGAACAGAAGCTACAGCTCCGCTGCTCTTCCTTCTTCACCGGAGTGAAAAAGTTGAAAGTTTTTTTGCCTTAATTTAGCGGGAAAATTTTTCCAGTAAATTTAGCAAGGATTTTTTCCACTAAACTTAGCGGGGAAATTTATCTGCTAAATTTAGCAGGGAACTTTTCCATTAAGTTTAACGGGGAAATTTTTCTGCTAATCTTAGCAGGGAAGTTTTTCTGCTAAACTAAGCATGGAATTTCTTTCGCTAAATTTAGCGGGGAATTTTTCCGCTAAACTTAGCGGGGAAATTTTTCCGCTAAATTTAGCGGGAAAATTTTTCTGCTCAAATTAGCGGACAAAAATTTCCCCTCCTCAAGCAGGAAATGACCGCCTAAGAGCTGCACTCTAAAAGAAAAAAGTTGCTCCTTTGTAGTATTAGCGTGGCAAAGGCAATGGTAACACAGAATGTGATGCGTTAGTGTGGAGAAACTGCGTACACATGTGGAGACTGGATGGCGCAAAGCAGCCCTGTGTGGTGCAAGGTAAGCGCACAAGCACTTTGTGGGTGGCTTAATTGTGGCTGTCATCTTCTGCAGTTGCAGTGTAAATGTGACTTTCTCAGAGCCTGTTGGAGTGTGAGACACAGTAGAAAGAGCGTGCGGAAATTGGAACAATTAAAGCATGGCAGTGCCGAGCACAGCCTTGGCGCCAGCTCGCAGCAAAAGAGACCAAACATTCGCAATGAAGTGAGCGTCTCCTTTCTTTCTTTTCCGCTAAATATAGAGGGAAATTTCCCCGCTAAATGGAAGGGGAGCAGGAGAGGAAAAGGGGCATACCTTCCCCTCCCCCTCCCCAAGAGCTGCGCTCTAATACGGCGTAACAGAGAATTGTACATATCTTTCTTTCTTTTCCAGCTCTTTCACGTTTATTTTTCTGGGGAAGCCCGGAGCGCGCTTGTCTCACGGAGCAGGGCACCACCGTATGTCTGAACACGTGATGTTTTACATACGTCGGGAGTTACACGGAGGCATTCGAGGAGGCTTGGCTGGCACAGGTGCCCAATCGGCAATGAGACAAGCTCTGCTTCAGCGTTCGGCTGGCGGTTAGCCTGTCGACTTCTGTTGCAGGCACTTGGCCAGATGTGGTTAGGTGCCAGCCACATAAGACATTCTGCATTAAAAACTTTCAGCCTTTCCACTCTAGTGAAGAAGGAAGACCAGCAAAGCTGTCTCATGGTGGGACAACCTCAAGGACGATTTCTTGGACGACCTTAAAGACGACGCCTAGAGGACGTCTAGGACGACCTCAAGGACAACTTCTGGGATGACCTTAGGGACGATGTCTTGGACGAACTCAAAGACAACGCCTAGGACGACCTAAAGGCCCGTTCACACTCTTGCAACCGAGTACGACCGAGAGAAACCAGACCGGTCTTTAAGCTTCTTGCGACCTCTTAGGACCGGATGCGCTACAGTGGAGCTGGTCCTAAGAGATCGCAAGAGGCTTAAAAACCGGTCTGGTCTCTCGGTCATACTCGATTGCAAGAGTGTGAACAGACCTTAAGGGACGACGTCTAGGACGACCTCAAAGACACCTTCTAGGTCGTCCTCGAGGACAATGTTTAGGACAACCTCAAGGATGACTTCTAGGACGACCCCAAGGACGACATCTCGGGCGATGCCTCAATAAATTCAGCGTTTCCATTCTGGTGAAAACCGAGTGGAAAGGCTGGAAGGGTTGTCGCCGTCACTCATACATGGCGGTAGCTGTCCAGAGTTTTGTGTCGACATTTGTTTGGTCCCGGACACAATCCTGGGGAACCTAGCCCTTAACAGCTCCGCTGTAAAATTGTACAAGCTCGATCATGCTGACGAAGACTGGTATGCGCAGAATGTGGGATAAACCTTTCAGAGAAGAAGAGAAGGCCATGTGAACTGCACCACCTACCAAAGATTCAAGGCCCGATCACACAGTTGCGACTCCTAAGAACCGAGTGCCTTGAAACCTCTTAAAATTTCTTAGAACAAGAAAACACACTGCCACGTTGGCAACATCGATGTGGTGTCCCTGAGACTGTATTTCAGAAGAGCGAAGGTTTTGCAGGATTTTCAAGGTTAAATGTGTGTGATACTTATCAGAAAGGCTCGTTTGTAACTTTGACAAAAGTTTTGGAGCACAGCTCTTGGGCGCCCCTTTTTACCGGGTTGAGCGGTGTCGCTGTCGCTATAATGTGTCGGCGCGACGCGTCTGCATCGGCGTAATGCATCGGCACAACGCGTCGGCGTCGCCACAACGCGTCAGCATAACGTGGCGGCCAAAATACTTTTGACAACATTATAAAGGACCACTTGTTATAGATTGTACGTCCAGCTGATCTCGCAAATTCTGCGAAACCTTCGTTCGAAACCTTCGAGTATGCACAAGTTTGTCCAATGTCAGATGCGTTGGATCATCAAGCCCTTACTGGCCGATTGAAAACAAAAATAGTGGGTAGACCTCAAGGCATCTAGCATCGAGGTCTACCTTCTACACTTTCAATCAAAGCCAATCGGAGCTCGGTGTCATTTTGACATCACCGCGACTCCCGCGCAAGACGCGGACCACTCGCTCTTTGCCTATGAAGTGCACGAAATCTCGTCTCATTCGCACCTGGACGAAGAAGTCCCGGCGGTCCTGAGGAGACAGGGCGGGGTTGAGGGCGGCCAGCCTCCAGAGCACGACAATCTCGTCACAGAGGCTGCTGCAGGCGTGCTGCGAAGAGTGGGCGTTGCCGTGCCCTACCGCTCGGCCCCCGTGGCCTCCTGAGCCCGTGTGGAGGGACACCTTCGTGTTGAACCACCAGCACAGGATCTGCACGAGACGCGCGTTCCACGAGGGGGGCGATGGGTAAAGACCAACTGTGCGACGATAATTGATACGTAAAATAGACCTCGCATTCTTTGATCTGGTAAACCTTGCGACATGGGTAGAGACCGAGGAAGAAGAGACGAGAGTGTGCGAATATGTTGGGACGCCGAGCTCCGGTTGAAACGATTGGTGGGGAGACCTTTGTCCATACTCGTTCAAATGCATTCTCAAATGCCAAACCTTGGGCTTCTCGCATTCGAATGCACCTGAACGACGAGTGGAAACAAAGGTGGCTAGCTTCGGAACTACCCGCTAATCGTTCCGGTCAGAGCTTGGCACTCTCATTTACCCTCCCTCAGATTCCACCCGTATTAATGCGACCCCGCAGCACTACTACGTGCTGCGGGGTCAGCTAGGGGTCGATTCTGTTTAGTGTTTCTCCGCTAAATGAGCGGGGCAACGTTTCCCGCTCAATTTCAAAGTTTTAGCTGAAATAATTATTAAAAACGTTAAGTTCTAATAATTATTTATTAAAATGAGTCAGGCTTGTACAAGATACTCGTAAAAGTATTTAAGTTAAGTTACTGAGTACCACGGAAAATAGTAATACAGTAGAGTACTAAATACTCAAACTTGTAAAGTAATTGAGTAAAGTACAAAATACTCTCAAAAAGTTACTCGTTACTTTCAAGATACTCTCAAGTTACAATTTTCTCCGCAATTCATTGTCAGACATAACCGAAGTCAGAAACAATTCTTCCTCCCAGCTACTATGGAATCTCCTGGAAATCTCTTAGCTAGACTTTGGCTGCCACTCAGGCTTCCAGGAGGTCCCAGGTAACTATAAATAAAACAAAAATAAAAAAACATTTTTTTTTATACCCTTGCTATGACGAAGACATAGACAAGGACAGCGCGGGGCCTGCTCGCCTGCGAAGGGAGTTTCTACACAGAGGCTCGCCTCCGACGCTTCCCTTGTGTCCAGGTGTTCATTTCCGCTTCCCCCGTCAGTGCACTGGCGGTGCCGTGCACTCGGGGGTCACAAGGTTTAGGCCAGGAGAGAGCGGGCGCCACCGCGGTTGGCGCCGCCGGTCATTTGTGCTACGAATAGACCGTGTTTCCCCCTCCGCTAAGCCCCTCTGCTACCCGGAACACTACAGCCAGGGCCATCGGCAAACAGGCGCAGTGGCGGTTTCTTCGTAGCAGAGGGTTAGCGAAGGGGGAAACACGATCTACTACAACTGGCTAATGCTGCGTATGTTGCGAGCGATGGGCCGCCGGATTGGAGCCGTATGGTCGTGTCTTATGAGACTTGTGCGCGAAGAGAGCCTAGTGAAATGAACGAGTGGTGTGTGCAACTGCATGCACATGCTGAGGCATTTCTGACGCTAGAAGGCTTTCTCTTATATGCTTCCACTCCATAACATAAAAAAATAAACTCCGGTTTACTGTCCACTCTTACCAGACACTTGTAGAACCCAACCTCTCTCCGTCACAAGTGCCCTCCCTCTGGCTTGTAGCCTTGTACACATTTTATGCTTTCACTCGCATGCCCTTCTGTTTCGGAATCTCTGTTGCTCTTGGGCTTGGTCACAAACAAATTGTAAGAAAATGTGCTTTGGCGTTCTGCCCCGTTAGAAGACACGACACGCGTCCACTCGACTTGAAGCTGCGACACCTGCTTCTCAGTGTCACCTCTTTCAGCAGAAGCACGGAAGTGCACTGTATTACTTGGCACTAAATGTATCTGCAATGGCAGGGCGCCTAGCCAAAATAACTGGAGTTCAATATTTTCCAAGCTTCCCGCCACTAAAGAAAATAAAAAATAGAAAGTAACTTAAAAGTAACTTTAAGATGAGTACAAGTTACTTGAAAAAAGTATTTAAGTTAGAGTACTAAATACTGACATTTGAAAGTAGTTGCAAGATACCAAGTTACTCACAAAAGTATTTAAGATACACTAACTTGAATAGAGTATTTAAGTTACGTACAAGTATGAAATGAATACAGTCGCCGACCGATTTTTCGGACCTGGAGGGGACCCCGAAATTGTCAAAAAAATCAAGCAATCCGAAAAATCGATTTCAGCCCCCCCCCCCAAATATAAAATTTCCGCGCATATTCCGCTGCGTATTCGTCACTTTCGACTTGCTTGATGTCAATTTTAAGTTATTGTGGAACTTTCTCTTTGTATTGTTCACTTCTCAATTGTTTGTTGATCTGTTTGATCATGGCGCTGCGCTTTGTCGGCACCTTCGCTTGCACAAACAGAGAAGTTGAAGTTGGCGCTATTTGGCACTATTTGGAGACAACATATAGACCAGCAAGCTTGCTTCAATACTAAGCCTATCGGCAAAAAACTTCCGTACTCAAGACCACAAGAACGGCAGACGGCCGCTCTTCTCGCGGTCGCACTCGGAAAACACGGACCGCGAGAACTGGAAGAACCACAAGAATGGGCAGACGGTGGTCATGTTGGCTATAGCGGAACCGGAAAACCCGACTATAGCCTTTACTCGGCTTGTTTATTGCGTAGGACGTGGTAACAGTCTACAGGGCAAAATTAATACAACCAAAATGGCGGCAACTACGCTCGCGGCACTATCACGGTGACTGTTTTGTGGCTGTAAACCGAGGAAAGCACAAAAACTATGTCCGAAATACTGAGCAATAAGCTTTATGACGTCCGAAATTTTGGTCAACGTGATACATTAACTCTATGGGGTAAGTGACGGGTCGGCAAAAACGTCCAAATAATCGGACCTGTCCGAATCATCGGAGTACGAAAAATCGGTCGGCGACTTTTAACGTAACTAGGGTTGTGCGAATAGTGGATTTTGAGTTTGAATCGAATTCGAAGCGAATAGTGATTTTGGTTGAATATTTTCGAATCAAATATCGAATACTTGCCGTTCAAAAAAGCTTGGCCATTTTTAAAGGGAAGTTTATAGAACTACAGTCGAACCTCGATATAACGAACTTCAATGTAACGAAATCCTCGATTTAACGAAGTATTTTATTTTTCATAATTTTGTGCCCATAGACCCCATGTATTTTTAGCCTCTATATAACGAAGTCCATTTTGCTGCTATTTCAATATAACGAAGCGCCATTGCCACAGAAGGCAATAAATAAATAGACTCTAAAAAACAACTTCGCAAAAAAAATTGTGGTTAAAAAAAAAATTATGCGCAAACGCGAGCGCTTTGATAGGTTACTTCACGGGGACAGGCCTTCCAACGTTCCTAGGCTGCCCGAGGATGCGGCGCCGGTAGTGCCGGCGAGGCATGCGGCAAAGCGGATTCCGTGGGGCTGGCCAGAAAATGCCGAGCAAAAAGTTTACACGGCATAACAGCATCACCACTGACATTCACTGATCATCACAGTCCACTGTACCGCGGGTAGCGCGGGAGCCAACTTCAACGGGGGAGCGACGCGATGGCGCGATATGGCGCGACCGCACGGGCAGTGCCATCTAGGAGAAGACCGATTGTCGTCTTGCGAGCGTGATGTAAAGCAAAGGCGCAAGCACACTGTGGGCGCAAGGGGGCAAGTAAACTGTGCGGTCAAGAGTGCTGTGTAGGTTGGAAACATTGGCACCGCCTAAACTAAACAGCTTTATTTTTCAACCGGGCGGTTCACTCACGTGCTTGCTGGCATAAGGAAACGTAAAGTTCTTTTTTTGGATGAGCACGCAAACGTTTTGGACGCCATCCTGAAGAAAGTGCTGAGATCACGAGCACTCGGGAAGTGCTCGACGCAATGGACGTACTGAGGAGGTACACGGCGTCGCATAGGCAGCAAGATGCCGTGCAAGCGCTCTGGGCGCTCGAACGCCCGCCGCTGCTACTGTCGGACAAGGCGCAAGCAAAACTCGCGGACTACTTTGCCCCAAAATAAATGTCATTTTCGGTGAGTTTTCATACCCATAAAATGTTTCGGAATTTTTTTTTTTTTTTTGCATGCTAAAGCTAAATTTCGATTTAGCGAAATTTCAATGTAACGAAGTAAATTGCGAATTTTACCGACTTCGTTACATCGAGGTTTAACTGTATTTCCAAACTGGACTTCTCATGCTGTCGTTAGTCCATCTTGCCAACCGACTTAGCTGCCGTCATTTTGACAATGTCGATGTCATCCACTCACTTTGTTGCTGTAATAATATAATATTCCTTTGAAATATTATAGTTTAAATGTTTTGAAACCGTGTTTATGAGTTGGAAATAAAAGTTTCTGAGCAATTATGCATGTTATGAGAAATTTCTAAACATATTTATTTTTATCCTAAACTTGTTTTTCTAAATTTATGTCTGGACGTGGCGGTGGTGAGAAAAGAGTGCTGGCAACCAGGGCTCCAAGATTGGCGAAGATGCCGCCGGCGTCTCTGGAGTTCGTTGCTCGGTTTCTTTTGCCCGTTATTAAAAAAGGTTGATGAAATAATTACGATGAATATATTTCAAAGTTCCCACCATAATATTTATACCATCTTGCCGAATGTGTGAGTATATTCTTGATTTTAGATATCGTTTTTTTTTGTTTTTAGACAGTAAACAAACTTGCAACCGTGAGTTTGCGAACACTTTAAAAGCATGAATATTACAACTGCTCTCGAAGCGAATATCGAATAGAGTACTATTCGAAAATTCTAATATTCGCACAACACTAAACGTAACACATACTACGACCGAAGTAAGCTCTACTGTAAAAATAGAAAACCCTCGGGATATTTTTAAAATCCTTTCAGCGATAATTTACTAATATTTCCAGAGGAAGTAAAAAGGCCAGTAAATCCTCGAGAAACCAATGCATGTTAAAGGGGGTCATGGGTCTTGGGAGCCAAAAAATTCCTAAAACTTTATTCTTTTGAAAATGGTGATGTTAACCTTCATAGCTGTTGTTCCTCTGAATCGACCAGGTTACAATTTTATGAATGAATATTTGAGCTAGAAATCAATTTAGAATGTCTATGCACGCTGAATGTGCATCGAAGTTGACTCTAAAACACCGTGTTCACAAAACATAATTTTTTTACTCACTGAAAATTCGCAGGTGGGACATCCCAGCATTTAGGGCAGATGAAAATATAAACTTTCCTCAAACATGTATAAAGGGTAACTGCAAAGAAAAAAAAAGTGTTTTTTTAAACAGCCTAATTGGGACAAGCATGTCACAAAACAAATGTTCCGCAAAAAAGTGCGCAACCACAAGCCAACGTTCACGACAGTGCTGCGTTGACTTCAGCGATCTTGTTCTGTTTGGTGCAACACGGCGATGCGACAAAGAACTGAAACGTTCGTGGTGTGTGTGGTGCGGTGCTTGGAAGTAGACGCCCACACTAACACAGAGCGCAAATCGGTTGTTGGGTTGAGGTTCAACGGATCCAGTCCCGTCATTGTCAGCTGATCTGGTCCAGCTGGTTCGGAAGGACGCAGCGAGCATTTTTAAAAGTAAATCTTCCTTCGCTTCGTTTCATAACGTGGAAGATTCCCGACGCATACCGTGAGTAAAAGGCTGCGGGCATTTTCAACAAAATTACGTCGTTTTAATTGAACAATTGACTCGGAATTGTTGTCCTAAATCTGCCGTTTTTATGCTTCGTGTTGTTGGACAGCGTTTGCACAGCGACGTGTTGCGCTCATCGTGCGGTGTGAATAAATTTGGGCAAGATTTCCTACCTGCCAACAGATGCATGAACTGAGACCATTTTTCACAAAGTGAACATAGTGCTTTTTTTTTTTATCTTGGGAAGAGTCATTGTGCATTTATTACGGTACAATCACTTGACAGTTCAGAATTCAGGGAGGGCGAGCAAGCTTTCCGAACTTTGTCTCTTTGCTCTCTGGTACTGCCCCTAGTTTCAAGTTGTAGTTTCAGTAGACATACCTACTAGCAGCCAGCAGGTACAAACTGCTCTAAAGCAGGTAAAAGACTGGGAAGTCGGGGCGGTGTGGACTCCGTGTTTCGCGCTTTTCGCAAGGTGACTGAGGAAGTGCTTTTGCAAGGTACGCGGAATATGCAACCAATTTTGTTATGCCCGTCGTTTGCATCTCTCCAGCAAAACGAATAAGATAATCTACAAAGCCGCAATATCACAAGCCAAGATTTACGATAACAGTACACATTCATTCAAACAACTTTACGTAAGATGGTTCGGAAGCCGAGAAAAAAAATCTGTCGGCTAACGCAGAATTTGGACGTCCGGAGGCTTCTGTGGACAGCTATTAGCATTCCTTTCAAGGCGACATGGCTGCTGGAAGGCTCGCTGTCGGGATCACTCATCTGACATCTACAAAAAGTCGGCATTTGCATACGCAAACAAGCAAAAAAAAAAAAGAAAAAAAGCATGCTATGGAAGCAAAGAGGAAAACTAAAGAACTGCACTATGAAAGCCAAAATCCCGCGCCGCGTCCTATCACTAGTACCTGCGACAGCTGCTAAACACACACTACTTCACTTCAAGAAGTCTCTCTCAAGCACCTGGGTCAGCATGAAACACGAATCACTTCAGCAAAACGACTAGTCGAGGTAGGCGATACAGGCGGGAGCAGAAACTTCGGCGGCCATGAAGGAATGGCGAAGCTTTTGTTTGTTATGGTATGAATCCAAACGGAGGTGCCTGTCTTGTAAACCATTTGTAAAGAATAATAACTCTCATCACATGGGTTATTCTTTCAACGTAAAAATATGCCGCTCAAAAGGAAATTACAACATACAACAAAGATTTAACAACCAAGATATAAGCTGTCAATCAATCTCTTAGCCAATGAGAAGTATAGCAGCCAATTGGGGCTAAACGTCACGGAACACCGGCTTTGCGGCGCGCGATTTAAAACGGACGAAATAGTCGCAAACTAAAATCAGTCTCACGCAATAAATATTCCTGTAAAAATTTTTTTTCTTGCAGAAAAATTGTTTTTCGACATGCTTGTCCAAATTAGGCTGTTTAAAAAAAACTTTTTTCTTTGCAGTTACCCTTTAATGTGTGAAGCATTCAATGTAGAGAGCAGACTTGTTAATATAGGTCTAGGAAATTTTTCTATTGATCTTTTGTTTTATTACTTGTTAGTCACATATTGAGCAGTGAACTTCAATATGTGGTAAAATCACTAATAACGGGTTAATCTTAAAAGTACTTCCAACATTGTATTCTACACTTCATAGTAATCAGGCCATGTGTTAGAGTTGATATTTAGTTGAGCAGTTTTTCACCCTATTGTTCTTCCAAACAAAATGACCAGATCTTTGAAATCAGCACAAAAAGCTGAACAAGCTTGTGCAGTTTCATTGGGTCTGGTCATAAAATAAGAAAAGAAGTTCCAAGACCAGTGTTGCTCCTTAAATTGTTGCTCTGCCTAATAAACACCTCTCAACAACAATAGACATTTTGCAAAATTACTTGAGCATCAAGGAGAATGTTGGGAGCGTAGGTACACACACCTTCTTTGTATAAAAGATTCAATGTAAATACCCAAAATAAGGCGTCGATGAATGCATGTACCAAGTGCCATCTATTTAGCGTTATTGCTTTAGAATGGTTACTGCTGTAGGCAGGAGCACATTTAGCACGTGTAACTACACTCATGTGTGCTCCTTGGTGCTTCGGCAATTTAGCAAAATGTCTAATTAATATTTTAAAAAAAACAAAAAAAAAACCACTGAATGCGGGAGTTTTTGTACACTCAACGTCAACAGTATTTTTGCCAGTTATTAAGGCTAGCGTACCTTCCGCAGTGCTCCAGATCTGCCAATGCTAGACGAGCACGCACGTGCAAACAAGATGAGAGACCAAGCCATGGGCTCTTGCAGCAGCGCAGTGCTGCAGTCCAGCGAAAGTCATGCCAGCTTTGACAGCGAGCAAGCATGGCATACAAATCCGGTCCCCACCTGTTCGCACGCCAGCACCTCCTCCGTGAGGATCTGCAGGAGCGGAATGGCATTCCGGTCGGAGCGGCGGAACATCTCCCGCACGATGGAGAGGAGGTTCCACATCCCCTCGGGCTCGCGGCCGCGGAGGGGACGCAACAGGCTGCACCACTCGGTGGCGGCAGGGGGAGCTGTAGACGACAGGTAGTTGACGTCGCTGAACACCATGGGCGAGGGGACGCACAGCTTGATGAGGATCTTGCGGATGTTCTCATGCAGCGTCGCTTCATCGAGGCACCACGTTGTTTGTTCGTAAGCAGACGCTCCGGCGGTTGGGTCTGTACAAAGCCACAGAGGATTAGTGCGAGAAATCACCAAGCATTGTTTTACTTCGATGCATGGAGGTAGGAAGCCTCTGGAGGCAACATGACGCCACCAGAGATGAAGCCAGATGTGCAGAGGGACATGCCAGCAGTGATGACTAAAACCAAGAGATGCTATTGGACGAAAAAAAGAGCAGACGGCACCAGCAGCCGTTTTGGTCGACCTGGGGGGTCATCCAATAGCGTCTCTTGGATTCGGTCGTAGTTGAGGACGCGTACCTCCACACTTCTGGCTTTACATCTGTTGGTGTCATGTCGCCTTTAGAAGCTTCCTACCTCTATGCCTTAATGCATTCACTTTTTGCTAAATTCCTGCAGGATATTGCGGGACAATAAATCATGAAAAAAACAAGGCAATAACAGTGACCCCTTAAAAACTTACAAAATATCCAGGTGTTACTATTCTACAGACAGAGCAGAAACCAAGTTGGTAAGGTTATTTTACGATAGAATGCCTTTAACAGTTAAATGCTTTTGGGCATCATCAACTGGATTAGACTTGGTGGAGACTATTAAGTAAACAATAAACAAAAGAGGCAAAATATTATGCTTAAGCGACTTGTTTTGTGGGGACACAATTTTCGCAAAGCAAAGACGGCAAGAACTTAATCCCCGAAACGAATTGCCCACTCTAACTAAATTCAGTCAATGAAAAAGTCATTTCCATTAAAGAAGGACTTAAGATATTTGCTTATGCAGTTGTGCTGGAAAGCGCGGCAACCAAAAGCTTTAGTCTCCTGGAAGATGTGCCGCTTCCAGGAACTTGGGCAGGCCCCACTTACGTATATGACACGTGGTTGGATCGATAAACTTTAAGTTGTGTTCAGGACCCTGTGAATGTTTGTCCACTGTCCTATGCGTTTTTTAATCTCAGGTTCTCAAAATTATGTAAAACATTTTGATTCACAAACTAGTAGAAAAGCCGAACTTGGACTATTTTAGAAGTATTAAGCCCCTAAATTTACCACTTATAGCAGAAAAATATTTACTTTTTAAAGCAGGAAAAAAAATTGCAGATTACCTGGTGCCCCTCGCAGTGTGTTGATTGCGGTTTGCTGACTCGAAAGAAGTTCATCGAGCAGCCGTTGAGCAGTTGGTAGAATCTGAGAGTTCAACACATAGCGAGTGGAGCCAAATTAGGAAGACTGGCACAGAAACACTTGCAAGAGCACTTGTCCTGCAGGCAGGATATAATAATGAACACTCATGCCTAACCTGCTGGGGCAATTCGCTGATGAGATACTGAGCAAACTTCTGAAGTTGGTCCCTGTGCAGTCTTGACAGAGACTCCGACACCGGGGCTCGCAAGCAGACCTGGTTCGGCTGCCAAAAACAAGGGAAGATGCATTCAAATAACTATTGGAAGAGAAAACCTGAGCAAGGTTGTACGTGGCAGCGAGACACAGGCCCCACTTCCGTTAACCCAAAGTTGGGGCATACCTGATGGATCCTATGAAGACAGACAGCCACAACATGGGAACACCAAGAGGCAGCACTGCTGCAGGTGCAATTGCAAGATGTGATACGGCAGCGATCAAAAGTGACCGCTACGTTGTAGGAGCCCTTGGACACTGGCAGGCTCTGTGGTGGGTGCACCGTAGCACTGAGGTGAAAGCCTGGTGGGGCAAGAAAAAGAAACCAGAAAGACTCGAGACACCGATGAAACTTGTAAAATCCTCTTGGGTTAATTAATATCACCATACCGTATTTACTCGATTCTAAGCCGGCATCGATTCTAGGCCGACCCCGCAAAAACGGCAGGTCCGAAAAATAAAAAAAAAATTCTCGATTCTAGGCCGACCAAAAAGTATAGGAAAAACACCATAAATGAAACAGAGAACGGAATTTATCTGCAGTGTACAGCACTATTTCGGTCACGAATCCGACGGTATGCTCACGGTTAATGTCCGCATTTTTCCTGATCATTCGTCGTCCTTACTGGTATCTTTGTCACTGTCCACTTCCCACAATGCGTGGTCATCCGTACCGTCCAGGACATTCGAGATGCAACACTTTCGGAACGACTTTACTACCAGTTCCGCCGGGGTGTCGTCCCATGCGGCCGCGATCCAACTCGTGGTGCCTTCCCTTCCGCGGTCCTGAGAACGCCATTCTTGTTGCCGCACATGCAAAGAGCTGACCGCGCTGCTTTCTCCAGCGACGCACATTTTTTTCGTCCACGCCGAAGTCACGCTGTGCTTGCAGGTTGGACGAGTGTTCAGCAGCCAAGACAACTTTCCTCCTAAAAGCCGCGGAGTAGTGGCATCGACTGGTCGATGCCATAGCGTCTAGTAGAGACAAACGTTCCGTGCGTTCTGTGGTACACAGCGTATCTTCCTGAAGCGATGTAGACAAGATGGCGTCCCGCGGTCATGGCGGAGCCGGATCCTCGTATCTAGGCCGACCCCGAGTTTCGGATTTAATTTTTTTGGAAATACTATCGGCCTAGATTCGAGTAAATACGGTATATCCCAGAAACCGAATCTCTATGTCAACCTAGGCAAGTGAAATTCCCCAGACACACATTGTTAACATCCGAGCTGACCCGTCTCAATGTTGAATACCTAGAACCCACATACTTTGCTGGCATGCGAGATAATTTATGCAGCTCACATGCACCTGGAGAAAATGCTTATTCATTTGTAATAAAAGTTTGTTGAGCAATGTTTCATCCTGCATCAACTTAAATCTGCGGAACAGGAAAGCTCACCGATTTGAAGTAGGTCTTTCGTCGCCTTCGCTTTAAACAAATGCTCTCCCCTCTGGAACTCCTCAGGGCTCCCATTGGCCAAGCAGGAGTAGAGTCTGCAAAAGTGCATACATAGACATACACAATGCTAAGAATTTGGCGAGAGTTTTACACTGAGCTCCAGCCAGGTACATAGCCAGGATTTTGTTTCGGGGGGGGGGGGGGCCCTGGCTACGTCCTGGCTCCAGCCAAGAGGGGCGGCGAGCGTTTATCTTTATTCGTGAACCAGACTATCATCACCGTCAGGATGAGAACGGCAGAATGCCTCTTTCAGACGTCTGTCCTCCACCATGTGCCCGTTGCCTTCCATTGTGCTTTGGTCGAGCATGCTCACTCGAGGCTCACGAGACGACAAAGTATCATTGAAGGTAGCAAGCTCGCGCTGGAGGCGGGGATAACAAGAAGACCTCCCTGCCATTATCATCCCATCAATGACCATAGAGACAGAATTTTTTCAAAGTCTACCTGTCCTTCAAATACTATTCGAATCCTGACAATCTTGCTTCGCCGGTTGCGGTTCCCATACAAATGCGTTAAATCAGCAAAACAGCTCAAGGTTAGCCATTATATTTATATCAACCATTACGAGAGCCTGCACTTACACGACACTCGTTACCTAAATCGAAGGGAGTACAATCCCCCTTTCAAACGTATGAGAGCAAAAGAGAAAGCGCCACCGACACCAGCCCGCATATGTAGAGTTGACACGGCCACGCCGGCCCACGGAAGGAAGAAGTGAAAGGAACACACCGAATGTCCTCCTCATTCTCCGGGAAACTCCAAAAGGCGATACGAAGCTGGAGTTGCTCCGGAACCGGCGGATACACGTGCTCGACAACTTCGAAGGGAATGTGCGCCGCCACCTCCCTGGCAGCAAGCTCCACCAGAGGCAGCACCAGGCCTCCTTCGGCTGCAGTCCGGACAGAACAAGCTCAACCAGTGTCAGCTAGAACTCGGTAAAAGCTGAGTCCACCCACGGCGCTACGCCAAGGAATCGAGCGCACGCAGCGTCGCTAAGGTGTCTACAACGCGTTCTAGACTGATGTGTACACCACCCTGTCCCACCCACGCACCAAAAGGGGCCTCCCAAAGTGGCGAACAATGACATCACAGAAGCCCACACGTCATGCCGTTAGATGTCGTGATCATGGCAGCCTGGCGCAGAAACGCCGGCGGAAAAGACGAGCAGAGTCAAAGGTTGCCGCCGTTGTGGCGCCCCGTCTTATGTCTGCTGCATCCATCTCTGCAGTTGTGCTACCGCCAGGATAACGGCAGGCAAAAGCGCAATTTTATGACGTCGGACGGAAATCGAGGGCCTCTTTTGAGGGCGCGGTAAACACGCCAGTCAGAGATGCGCTCTAGGCACCACGACATTGCCGACAACCTGTTCGGGCTCCTCTTTGGATTTATGTTTTTAGAGCGAAGCCATAGGCACCCGTTTCAGAGTTGAGCGGCGTCAACATAACCGCGCGCGTTGCATTATGAGACATTTCCCTGCTAAACTTAGCGGAAAAACTTTTCCACTAAATTTAGCAGAAAACCTTTCCCATTAAATTTAGCGGGAAAATTGACGTCACGTGACCTCAACGCCAATTCAGTTTCCCCGCTAAACTAAGCGGGGAAAATGATGTCACGACTTTGTGTCACGTCATCTATGAACAAAGTTAAGTGGCATTAGGAAAGGAGAAGGAGGAGGGAAGAGGGGGATGAGAGTAGGAGGAGGAGGTGAGGCGGAGGGGCATACCCTCCCCTTCTCCTCCTCAAGAGCTGCGCTCTAGTTTCGCATTACAGAGATTTGTAAATGTCTTTCATTTTTTCTACATGAAACCAATATCAAGTGATTTTGGGGCAAGCAATTATATATTCGCAACCCCAACGCCCTATAGGTGGCGGGGCGGTAGTTCCAAGACGGCAGAAGGGACGAGGATAGATTCTCCAGGGTTTCCGCCAGCATCAGCGCGGTTTAGCGCGCTGACGCTGGTCAGTGCGCTAAAAAGTATTTGTCTGCAAACGCGAAGCGGTTAGGGCAGGATCATATTACAGGTGACAGAGATGTTGATGCGCATTAGCAAAATAAGCATGCCGATATTTAAATGTTGCAGAAACCTCGACTTGCGAAGCTTTGTCGTGGGCGAGCGCGTTTTACGCGCCGGCAACGACACCGTTTGTGGCAGAATATTTTTCAGGGTGGTGAAGATATCGTGTTTGCGCCTTGCCTGGCCATTAGTGCTGTAAAAAGTGAGCTGCGCACGGTGACCATCAAGCTTCGGAAGAGCAGCGTTCCAAGCCTTGATGCCTTTGTGTCACAGGCTCGCCACTCGCTGCTCACCATCTCGGTTTTAATGTATAGCAACACGTGATCAAACTGTTCTATGGTTATTGATAGAAAGATTGTTACCGCAGGCTACCGTGCGGTGCAGCATTACAACCGGAGGCTCGCGCTGTGCCATTGAAGCACAATTTTCAGTGCATGCCAGGAGCATTGCCTTGCTCACAGTAGCCAACGGTAGCCTGTTGTAACGCTATGCTAAAACTGTCTATTACCAGAATCAGTGTGTTTAGGGGTTTTATTTATTGCTCTACCAAAAAAGCATGATTTAATACACCATACTTTTTTTTTTTTTTGTACTGTGGTATTTGCAACGTTGTGGCCCATCTCGCCAAAACTGCCCGTTCTAAGCTCTCGTCACGAACAGCTGACTAACACAAATGTGCTTAAATGCTTCGGGAATTTATTTATTTATTTTGTAATTACCTGAAAGCAAGTATGCGTATTCTATCTTATAAAAGTGCTTGACATAAAATGGTCACGTTCCCAAGGCCTTAAAACACAAACCCATTCCCGACGGGTATTGCTCGACATATCGTTGCGCGACCAGTTTTCTCCTACTTAGGGCAAAAAATAAACTTTTAATAGACCGAACGCTAGAGATCTACATTATTACGGGAGCGTTTGCCATCACGTTGAGCACAGATCGAGCTGACGGTCATGCACAAGACCAGCAATGCACAGCGTATGCGATATACGAAAGGTCCCTAATAAAATTAGACATCCCGGTCCTTCGAGCAACGCTGTTGCGAGGTGGAGCACAAGAATTATTATTTTAACGTGCTCACTTTTTTTGTTACAACGGCTCCACGCATTGAGGCCGACAGCTCCTGCCACCTTTTCCGCGCCGCCGCCGCCGCCCCCGTTCCTCTAGTTCTCCGCTCGTCCGCGGGAGGGCGAGCAACGCGCTGGGGTTGCAAACAGTGTGGCCAATCGCACGTTAAACTAGGGACTGAAAGAAAAAAAAAAAAAGGAAAGATGTTTACAATTTTTTGTAATGCTGAATTAGAGTGCAGCTCTTGAGGAGAAGGAGGAGAGGGTACGGAGGGGAGGGTATACCCCACCTCCACCTTCCCTCCCATTTAGCGAAAAGTTTTCGGTAAATTTTTCGCTGAATGCAGCGAAAATTTCCGTGCCAAATTTAGCAGGAAAATATTCCCTCTAAATTTAGCAAGAAATTTACCAACATTTTCCCGCTAAATACAGCAGGGAAGCTGAATTAGTGTTGAGGTAATGTGACTTCGATTTCTCCACTAAATTAAGCGAGGAAATTTTTCTGCTAAATTTCATGTGACGTCACATTCATCCACGTGATATCACACGTGACGTCATGAGGGTAAGATCTTCCCGCGTAATTTGGTGAGAAATTTTCCAGCTAAATTTAGCGGGAAAATTTTACCCTCGTGACATCACGTGTGACGTCATTATGGGAAACGTCCCATAATGCAAGGCACGGTTACGCCGACGGCGACGCCGCTCAACCCGGAAACGGGCACCTAAGAACTGTGCTCTAAAAGGCCCAGTGTTCTAGGCAGCATCGGGTCAACACACTTCCAGAAAATTCAATCCAACTGCCGTCGTCGGTGCTACGTGCCAGACAGAAAAACGCAGGGGTTTCTGCGAGTCTCACAACCCGCCACAGATGAAAGAATTTGTGATTGCAGTCAAAGAGGTTTTGCTGATTCTAGCAACATATTAAATTGTAAAAAACTTGGCTACGATCAAGAGGCAACGGTAATTTATAAGAGTTTACATGCCGAATCGACAAAGGGCGCCTGGTATTCTTGGCAAAAAACTGAGGATCAATCTGGATCACCCAAGTACCTCTTAGCATGCACCTGAAGTTTCAATGACATGGCACAGTGCCTTCCCTGCAATACACCTCAGTCATATTGTGGGCACCCCGGCCCGAATCAATTGGCTGTCTGCTTCAGAGCCACTGAGGTGGCCACCTATGAAGCACTGATAAAAAAAACCATGCTGGACTTCCAGCATAAGAGCGCAGAGATGATCCAGGATTTTTTACCATGACGCGAGCAACAATTGCCACATCTCAGATTCTCAAATTTAAGTTGACAGAAATTGCAGCTTGCATTACTACACAGACAAGCTTGGAAAACCTTCCATTTTTCTGAGCATGTTACATGGCATGACGTCTAGCAACATGGAAGCCTCAAGGCACGTGGCCGAGGTGGCAGCTGTCACAGATTCCAGGAATTTCATCCCATTATGAGAACACTCATTCGGTGCCCAGCCAGAATAAAAGACGACACAAATTTTGGTTTCAGTTTCTCAAAAGGATTGAGTCATTTGTCAATCTCTACCAGTAAGAAATGAGAGAATGCCCACCAGGAAAACAGTGAAGATTATAGATATAAAAGTGAAATAATTCTTTGCTTCTTTTTTTTGTTGAGATACAACCTGCAGCACATCCAGCGAGTCGGTGCAAGTGGTTGCCATACTGCGACCACTATGTGGAACATTACGACTTTGAAGGCTTAGGTGCATAACTTGGAAACAAGAGGTCTCTTACAATTGAGACCTGACTTGGTACGATACAGCACATCATGCTGGCCTTTATATAAGATAGGCACCACTCAGATGGCTACTTTTTGGTCCAGCAGGACAGTCCTTCCTGATGCGCAACTCGACGGGTGAGACACTGCACCCAGGAGTTGTGCGTGGGGGAAATGCCCTGGCTGTCAAACAAAGCAGACATGCGCACCTTCCTGAGATTGTATGGGGCCTAACCAAAAAAAATCTCAAGAAAACGTCCATCTTGCTCATCACAAGACGCACTTCGACAGGCAATTGAAAAAGGAGTTTTCCTTGCTCAGCCGATTTATTTGGTCAATTATAAAAAAGCCGACGTCCTACCCAATGGTTGTTCGGGTAAATGATCATATGGAAAGAAAACAGGTAGCACATCACATTATTTACTACTGAAGCACCAAGTATCATTTATTTTCTTTTTGAAAAATAGAAATAAATACCTTTATTGAAATAGTTTGTGGACTCTATAAAAACATTTCCACTTGATATCAACAGAAACGCAGCACAACAGAAATGAAGCGCCCTACTCCTATAAATTTAAACCAAAATTGATAAGGAATGAGGTGTAACTGTCCAAATTATATGTAGTACCCTGCCAGCCACAGCCATATGTTTTGAGTCTGATATTGCTAGAAACTGGAGGAAAGTACAGTATGCCACAGACTTAATAGAAGACCAAAAAAAAATTGCACACTAAAGCGAACATTTTTTTTTAGGTTGTGTTTGGTGGCATTAAAAGTAAGAACAATTACATGCCACACGCAATCTGTCATGTCTAACAAAGGGACACCATATTTTAAGATGTGCCTTCAGAGCCCTACAATTAGAATTAATGTTTTGTTAAGCATTATAGGAGCTATACGAAACGCCAGCAATGGTGGTGTGATTATCTTAATGAAGAGATATAAAAGCAGCATCAAAGATTAGTGTTAGGCCCACTTCTTTTCTTTCACTGCAAGCTTACTAATTCATTTTTTTTACTCAGTACCACAGTGAGAAATTGTTTCTTTAAAATCTGAGGCCACCTGTTTTTTTCAAAAATTAAATTTGAGTAGTATTTGAAACATGGAAATGAAATGATATTGTTTGCACAATACCAAGTGAAACCATACACCACGAAAGGCAATTAAATACCTCACTTCGCAGGCCACATTCACTGTTTGTACACTGTAATCCCCGAGCAACCAAATGTTCAAATATTTTCAAAGAAGTGCGATATTCTAGGACCGTAGTACTGTACAATTAAAAATTCAGATAATGAGAGCTCGACAGCAACAAAAGTTATAAAAACGGGATAATCAACAAGATAAACTTTTCCTGGAATAATCCTGATGCGACACAATAGACAAGTTACCACTACCCTTTTAAAGCACAACCAGACTAAAACGGTACTAGTACAACAATTAATCACAGAATGAATGTGCTGGTAACACAAATCAAACACTACAGAAGAACACATGCAGGAGATGGAAGTTGGCTCATATATATGTTCTTCTTGAATGCCTCATTTACTGTAACAAGCAGCCACCATACCAACTTTGAATAAAAATGAAAAATCCCCTTCCCTCCCCCAAAAGCCCAAAAAGGATGCTGGAGATACTCAACGGTTTTTGACAGAGACTGTTCCTCGTCAGGTGCACACACAAAAAAAGAGATCACACAGTAAATCATATGCAGGGCACACATGCTGACTAAAGTAATATTTGTGGCTTCCAGCAGAAGAGTAGTTGGAACAGCAGTAGGAACCCACAAGGGCACAAGGGGCCAAAAGATGCCTGAAAGCCAAATCAATTGGGCAGTCCCAGGTTTAAAGTTGTAAGACTAGAGATAACCATCAATAACGCCAAAGTTGAGTTGTTTGTATGGAACATCTAATGGTCATCTTTTGAAGTTGACACCGAAAAAGGAGCAGGATGTTGAAGCCAATTCCACAATGATATGCAAGTCTTTCTCCCGTGTCAATGCCCAAAATGAGCACAATCTCGACGACTCACTCAATGCAAATCCGGTGACCCTGCCCTTATTTTTTCCATCACTTCCTGATGGGAAGGGAAGGCAAATGCTCCACCTCAGGAAGAAGGGACTGTGATTCCCAACGTTATTTTTCTTTGAAAAAGCTTTGCAAAACTCTGAGGAAAAGGAGGCAGAAAGCCTTAGAGGGATAAAACGTGCTTGTGATAGCTCGTTTTAATGTCCTTTTAGAGTTAGTAAGCGACTAGATCGTCTTTAAGCTAGAGGAACTTTGGTGTAAGTAGTGTGCCAATTTGAAGTATATGTTTGGATCACATTTCATATTATATAACAAGGAAATCAGTATCGTAGAAATAAAGAGAAGAAGCATACAATTAGAATTCGCCATGACGTTAGGTACCAAAAAATAGGAGCATTAGAAAGAGGGAAAGAAAGCAGAATGGTGACACTAATTGCCTGTCATACCATTAGTAAATGAGCTGTCAGTAAAAGAGAACGGCATGCGTTATTGAACAATTACGAATAATATCAGGTTTTCCGGAGATACGTAGACAAAACATTAAAAATTAAAAAAAAAAAATATATATATATATATAAAGGCTCTAAAATCGAATCGTATCGATGCCTGAAGAAACACCATCCGCTGCAGCGCACACATCCTAATGCAGATGGGAGATAATATACTCAGAAGGTGGACAAGAAAGTAAAACAAACAAAAAAGCAAAGGAAAAAAAAAGAAAAAAAAAAAGACAAGCTCACAAAGGACAAGATCAAATGACAGCAGAGACTGCTGTCATTTGATATCTTACGTCCAAGAAAAGCGCTTGGCTAAACACACACTGGGGTGCAAAACACGAGAACCCGCCTCATTTGCTCCTCCACTCCGCTCTGATAATCACCCGGACTAATCAGGAGGGCTTTGTTTTGACAAAGGACTGGGGCTTCGGAGAGAACAAAGAAATTAAAGAGGCCCCCCTCCCTCGATCGACGCTGAGAAATCCTACCGCTTGCGGGCTCGATCGGGGGAGGGGGGATAGCCCGATCATCAGTGGCCCACATCACTCGCAAGCGCCACACAAGAGACAGATCATCGTACAGCCAAGGCAGACTCGCAAAGCAGGCGTAAAAGGCCGCATAATTCATCGAAATAAGCAGAGAACGAGCGATCATTAAAACAACTAAAACAGGTTTCGTACCCCCCACTTTACACAGATCAACCCCCCCTCCGGTCAGGTGTGGTACGGCGTCATGCGGCCCGAACCAGCGGGTTTCCGGGCAAACCCGCCGCTTCGCTGCCTCGAGCCGAAGCCCTTGATCCGAAATTATCGCGAATTCAATTAAATGCGGGACCGAAAAATTAATTAAAAGGGGAATTTAAGCCTAAAACGAGGCTTACCTTTGGGACGGCAACGACCGCCGTGAACGGCCGACGCGTGAGATGGGTTTCCATTCGGCCTTTTCCAGCCTCTCCAGTTGTTGCACAGGCTCTCCGGCTCGCTGATCCACGAGCAGAGCGAGTCTTCCTCAAAACGGTCGCTGTCTTCGAAGGAAAAACGATCCCCTTCGTCCCAGTCAAACATTACGGCGCCTGGAGCACCGATGCCGATGGGCGAGAGACCCACAGAAATTTATATCGCCCAAATTACGACCACATAGAGCGGTCTTTTAGACGCACTTGGCGAACTCATCCCGAGGCCAGGGAGTCGGAAGGCGTCGGCAGAGAGTCGGACTTTCGGTTTCTGGTGAAACACGTACACGAAGGAACCTCCTGGGAGCCGAAATATGAATGATAGCCTACCGATCCCTTGTTGTCAGCTGTCCAAGGCTCTCAGCTGCCCATTTTTTTTTATCTCCTCTTTTTTTTTTACTCTCTCTGCCTTTCGAGGGATCACCCTCTCTCAGTGACGCTTGGTTTATGCAGCGATATGCGATATTCGCTGCGGCCGCTGCAGAATCTGCAAGCTGACGAACCGCAAGCGCCCACAAAAACGCCGGTCAGTCGAGAATAATTATGACCTCCCTGTTTTAGATTTTCCCCACTCTTCCCGCCGTTTGTTTGTGTTAAAAAATTTCGAGTAGCAATGAAAAGTAATAAAATGAATAAAACTGACTGAATGTACTGTGAGAGCGATTCGACGAATCGGAAGCGCTCTTAACATTTGGTGCGGACCCAGTATTAAATGGCCGCTGGCATGTGTGGTCATGTGGAGTTGTGAGCCGCGTGAATGAATCGTGCTGTCACAGTGCTCTCGTCCTTGGGATAATTTAACCATTTGTGTACATTCCACACTTTGTCTTATAAATTAGAACGAGTGCGGTAATTATGGAATAAAGCGTGCGTTTCAAGGCTTCAGGTACGTCGTGTTTCCCCGATGATGACCATGTGTTGAAACCAAAACATGCTTTGTAGCAAATTATTAAACAGTTTCAAGTGGTTTCAAACACTCCTGTTGTCCGTTTGTGGTTTCACGAGCAGGCATTATGTATCTTAAGAATCCACAAAAGTTGGAAGAAACGAAAATTAAGAAGATGACCGTGCACGCTTTTAATACGTCATTTGCTTCCCCTCAGCATGGACGAAGATCCGAAGGTGAAGTCTCACCGTGCGAGACACAGTGGTCGGAAAGCGGAGAAAAAAGAGAAAAAGAAAGGCCATGAACAGGAGCTGACAGCGAAGCAGAGGAATCCCAAGGCCTTCTCTGTGCAATCTGTCCAAAAGGCGGAACGCAAGTTCAGGAGGTCAGTGATCTTTCGGTTCGCGCGCTTCGCAAAACCCGTGTGATTGAGACTGATGGCGGCCGATGTTTGCTCCACAGGGACATCTTAGAGTCGACTTTGCGAGGACTTTGATGCAAAATAAGTAATAAATAACAAGGCGATTAGGCACGTGTTTAGATCAGTTGAGAGAATTGCCATGTAAAAAGGAGGATGTATATTTGTCAATGCTTGTTTTGCTAAAGGCAACCTAATATGGTAGGTTCCTTCCCACGTTCGTTTATGGTGCCTTCTTAGTTCTAAGTGCTCTTAAATCTGTGTTTACAGACACTGAGAAAAAACCTAGGGGGCTATGTTCAAATGTTTCGTTTCTCCTAAAAAGAAACAAGTGACGGAAGGGACGATAGTGTGTCTGATTGTTTAGAGGCTGAAATGACGAAAGTTCTCTCTTTCGTCGTTTGAGCCTCTAGCAAATCAAATGCGATATCGTCACTTTCGTTTCTTTTTAGGAGAAACGAAACATTTGTCTTTGCTCACAGATAACATATTTAACCAAGCTCAGGTTTCCTTCACTTATCTTCTTGCTTGGGTTGCAACAAGTCTGAAAAGACACAACTGTCAGTCGGGAAGCATGCGGTCCAGAGAAGCTCGTTTTAGCGAACACCATTTACCGACCCCAGTTTAACCAATCCCTTTATAGAGAAACCCAGCTTGGAGAAAATGGCGATAAGCCTCTTTTTAGCGAATTCGGGCGCCGCAGAGCGGCGTGCACAGATGGGTCAGGTTAACATTTTCGTAATGAGCCGCCGCAGACTGTCGCGGTGTAAATCCGGGGCAGCAGATGGGTTAACACGCGCGAAGTAGGGGAGCCTTTATTAAAACAGCGCTCCTTTCCGATAAACAGCATTTCTCTAAACTGACGCCCTGTATTCTCAAACTGATTTTCGATAAAACGTGTTTTCGATGAAATGGCATTTTATCGACGGTAGTAAACCTCCACAATTTTTGAGAGTCGCCTGCAAGGAGGTTCTGGCCTGAAAGTACCGGAGCATGTGCTCAGACAGGCGGGAGCAGTCCCTCGACTAAGGAAACTAAGTTCTGCTAGTTCCACTAAGCTGCGGTGAGCTAGATCGAGTTTTCCCAACATCTGTTTTGTGCCTGTTGTGACATTTTTCCTGCACATATTTCATCCTGGGAATCTTCAAACACAGTTTTCTGCCAGATGGGGCCAGTTATTTTCAGATTGTCTATTAAAGCTGCCGAGTCAATGAAACATACTGAGTCATGTTCATACTGCAGCTGCCATGTGTCACGGCGGCCTGTTAATTTATCTATCTATCGATCTGCCATGTTAGGACCAAGGACATCCAGGAAAAGCGCCATCATGTTCCACTGGTGGATCGCACCCCTGTCGAGCCGCCACCTTTCGTGGTGGCTGTTGTGGGGCCACCTAAGGTGGGCAAGACCACCCTCATGCAGTGCCTCATCAAGAATTTCACCAGACAGTTTGTGAGCACCATCACAGGACCAGTCACTATTGTCTCTGGTGAGCCACGTTGGGCCCTGCTGTACAATACTGCTTGTGGTGTCTGTGTTTCAAAAACCTACAAGTCAAAATGATCAGCAATTCAAGCAGTTCACCACTGTTGTGATGATGATGCAATTAATGCAAAGGTGCAAGCAGGCTGGACTACAATAAAGCTAGATTTGTGCTTGTCCTTTGTTTCCCTCCTCCAGGGATTATTATTGTAATTCACCACTCTTGGGCTTTGATTTTTCACCCTTCCGATCAAAAGACATTTTGCCAAATTACCCCAGCACCAGGGATAATTTTGGAAACATAGGTATATGCACCGCAACTGCTAGCCCTATCTTTATAACAGATTTTAGGTTTAGCAATCAAAATAACATATTTATAAATGCACATGCTCAGTGCCGTTTGTTTTAGATTTTTGCTTCAGAACAGTTCCCGCTGCAGATGCCAGCACATGCATTGCATGTAACTACACTTGCAGTCTGCTCCTTGGTAGGATGGAACATGCATCTGGTTGAAATTACATATGCTGTGATATTTAATATGTTTTGTGAGCATGCTTATGACACAAGGAGCAACCAGTATCATGAATGAAACTAATCGGAACGTGTGTTCGTAGATTCATTAAAAATCTAGTTTATTTATACATATGTAGTTTGAGAGAAAGCTGGACTTTTGATAAAATTTCTCTCTCTTAAATCTCGGAATATCCAGCAGAAAAAAAGATTGGTTATGTCGTTAGCTTAATTTTTTTTTCTCTTTACTTTAGGCAAGAAGCGTAGACTCACCCTCATCGAATGCAACAATGACATCAACTGCATGATAGATATCTCCAAGGTAGCTGACCTGGTGAGTTGACAAAAAAACCTTATATGTGAATTGTTTTGGTACCTTCCATCTTGTGGAATTTCTGTTGAGTCTGCACCCGTGTTTGTGCATCATTTCACTTCTTATTTCCAGGTTCTCCTCATGGTGGACGCTAGCTATGGCTTTGAGATGGAGACATTTGAGTTCTTGAACATTTGCCAGGTGCATGGCTTCCCGAGAATCATGGGCGTCCTTTCACATTTGGACATGATCAAGAATGCAAAAACCTTGCGTCAGACCAAGAAGCAGATGAAGCATCGCTTCTGGACAGAGATTTACCAGGCACGTACGCATTTGATAGCATTTTAAGTTTCTTGCGTATGTAAAAAGGAAAGCTTAAAATCTAAAAACATTTTGCCTTTGTTTTATTATTTGTTTACATTACTCTGGTACAGCAGAACCTGGGTCAATATGTTAGAAAGTTTAGAGGCTTGTTGCAGGTAAATTGTAACAATACACATGCGTCATTGAATATTTAAATAAGAGAAATGTACAGGCGAAGTGGTGATGCATACTTACTTGAAAAACATGGGTAACTCAAAATAGAAGGGGTGACGAGACAACAGCGTCTGTACCTTTACATTGTGGACTTTTCCCCCTTTTTTGTGTGTCCCGTGTTTCTCTAACCATGCATCATTGAGATTTTTAATTTTAATTTTATTTGTTTTCTGATGGACCACAGGCCTAACAGAGGAGGAGAGCAACAAAACAGATAACCATTAAAAAGATATATATATATATATATATATATATATATATATATATATATATATATATATATATATACACACACACACACACACACACACATACATACATACACACGCGCGCACGCACACACACACAATATGTAAAAATTAGGCACACTCAAAAGACAAGATTACGGGTAACGACAGATGAAGCTCAGAGTTTTTGTGAGGGTGGCTGGTAATTCACCTGGGAAGGGGCTACCAATCCTGGAACACACGGGGAGTGAAAGGTGAACAAATGTTCCTTTGACTGAACTTGGAGCTAAAGGAAACATAAAAAAGAAGCCTGGTGATTAATTTGTTGCATAGAACTGTGAAAATAAATTTGATGGAATAAAAGAAAGGGAGAATATGTCCGATGCAGGAATAAGGGTGGCAATAATACAGCAGCTTTCATGAGGACATTTTGGACAGATGTCACACACAACAATGAAATGTTTAAAGTTTTTCTTCTTGGGGACATTTGGAAAACTCTACTAGTAAACCTGAGACCAGAAATAATTAAAAAAAAAAAAAAAATTAACTAGCCATATATGGTTGTTAATTTTTTTTTTTTTTTAATTTTTCCTGGTCTCAATTATATTATGGAGCTAGTTCACCGATTTTTCATTCAGGACACATTTGCCTGTGTTTTTACTTTTTCATTCAGGACACATTTGCTTCGGAATTATTGAATAAATAACTGTATCAATTGCTGTCACTTCAGTATTTTCAGTGCTTTTCTATTTGCATTGGCAGGGAGCCAAACTCTTCTACCTGTCGGGACTCATCAGGGGGGAGTACCTGAAGCAGGAGGTGCACAACCTGGGACGTTTTATTTCGGTGATGAAGTTCAGGCCCCTGCAGTGGCGGACAGCCCACCCCTATCTTCTGGTCGACAGGTGACTGCTCTACCTTCTGCGTCCCTTGCTTTTACTAGATATTCTCGATCTTTAATTGTGACGTCACCCTCGCAAGCCCTTGAGTCGTTTAGGGCGTAGCACTTGCCCTATCTCTTGGCAGTTCTGCTTTGGAACAAGTGCTTGATGTACCAGAAATGCCTCAGAGGCCATACATGTGAGCCCCTCTGTAGCAATTAAAACTGTTTTGCATACTCTTGATGCATAAATTTGCAATGGAAGCTCGTCTAGCCCTCCCTCATGGGAAGTTTGCTGGTAGATTAATATAACTCTTCTCTCATAGCATGCGAACAGAGAGACAGCTAACACAAAGCTTTCAAGAATGAGGTAAATGTTCCAGTGCCTCCACATGGACCCAAGCTAGCTTTAAAAATGCAAGCACAGCAAAGGAATTTATAGGGTTACTATGTGTGGATACTTGCTGTATAGGATATTTCACATACAACTTAAATTATTTTTACAAAGAAAGGCTAATGTAAATTTTAATGTGATAGCATTATTAAGCTACTCATCACAGATTTCTGTTTATAATCTAGGTATCTGGCCTCTAATATGGTAGACGGGGGGGTCTCTGGTTCCCCTCTAAATTTAGCAGAAAATTGATGTCACCTGGCCTAGGCACCAATTTGGTTTCCTCGATAAATTGAGCGGAAAAAATAATGTCAGGTGACCTGTGCACCAATTCAGTTTCCCCGCTAAATCTAGCAGAAAAGTTGGCGTTGCGGGAACTATGCACCAATTCAATTTCCCCGCTAAATTTGGCAGAAAAAAAAACTGGATGTCACACAACCAGATGTTACAGCACCTACAGATAAATTCAGGTTCCCCGCTAAATTTAGCAGGGACCTGAATTGGTGCATAGGTCACGTGACGTATGCTATCGCAATTCTTAGACAACCAACAATAGTGGTTCCTGAAATTTTTTAAAAATTATATGTACAGTCGCTGACCAATATTTTGGACCTAAAGGAGAAACCGTGACCTACCCGTTAAAAAGAGTGCATATTCACGACCAATGTTTCGGACAGCTTGAAGTCCGAAAGTTCAATTTTCCGGACAAAATCGTTGCGAGCGATCAGCGGGAAACACCGCCGAGAAGCCGTCATTTTAGATTCTATGTTGGCTGCACATAGATTGGCTTGGTTTGGCGGCGCTACTTGAATACTGCTAAGTCCTACCACTAGGTGATGCTATGCTACAGCTTTTTTTTTCTCTAGCTGAGTGTCATTATCACATCATTGTTAACATTTTGCTTTGTTCATTTGTCAGTCGGCAGTCTTGGACTTGCGCCTCTTATCACGTCTCGGTGAATCATGTTTTTGGACTACGCTGGCTTGGACGTCATAGCCCCACCCCATTCTTCCGTTGCCACGAAGTGTCGCTAAGAAGCGCGGAAAGTACTCGACTATAACGCTAGAGACAAGCTAGCGATTCTTTAATAGAAAGTGGTTGAATGCGAGTGGAGGCGTAACCTGAAGCAAGGCACCATTGACGGTATTTTTAAGCCTGCTTAGACATAATTAAGGCAAGTTTATTAATCTGCTGATTTTTCGGACTGCTCGTATTATTTGGACATTTTTTCGGTCCCTGGAAGTCCGAAAAATGGGTCGGCGACTGTATATGGATTCTGAGATCGGCAGGTGCCAGATTTTTCTGCCCCCCTTACAGTTGGGAGTCAAAGGTCCCTGTATAGCCACAAAAGAAAAAAAAAAAGAAGCTCTTATTGTTTATTCTTCCTTGTGGAACGTCAGATCCTCATCTCTGAGCTTGTCTGACACCGAAATCACTTATCTCCGTCCATAACTACATCCACAGTTTGGCATTTATGATTGAACTCATGCACAGCTCGCTCAAAATGAAAAGTTAAAAAACTCACTCACCCTCAAGTCTTTCATCCCAAACTCATGAACTCACCAAGCTCATGAACTCATTGAACTCACAAACTCACGCCCCTCACTGAACTCATTGAATTCACAAACTCGCGCCCCTCACCAAATTTGCCAAACTCACAAACTCGTGCCCTTCATCGAACTCATAAACTCGCCTCACTCAGCAGTAGTTCTCGCCCTCACCTTAGTTGCGATGCTGGCGCTCATGTTACGTACAGGCTACGCAGCTTTTACATCGCTGCCACGGTCGATACCGTCTTCCGCCGCTCCGGCACCAGCCATCACGTCGCCAAATGAAACGTTATATTGTTTTGTTTGTTTCACTTCAACTCGTTCCGCACAGCAGCTGCGCGCCGCCTGAGTGCTTGAGGAAGGTGCGTTTTGTTTGGGATAGAGGACCACATTATCGTGAGTTTCATGAAGAAGTATTTTTTGCCGTGTGCACTGTTTGTTTCAAACATTTGCGACAACTTTGTGCAAGTATGGAGTGAGCGTCTGCATCATTGTTTATTCAGGTGTGAATATTATTATTCCAACATTTACCACTGTGGGTATTGAAATAAATAAATAAATAATATCTAAATTCTTTTGGAGCTAGTAAGAACCTTTCTCCGGCACGCAAAATGTTTCCGGATACAGCCAGTATTCCGACTATGCTCAATGGCCCCCTCTTGAGCAACTAACGGGTTGTCGGATAGTATAATAGAATGTCGTCTTGTTATCACCAAGTATTAAGTAAAAATGAAAAAAGATTGTTTCGTATCTCTAAATGTAACCTAGAAACATATCCTCTACAATTTTGTTTGTGACAATCCACTATCGAATCAACTTTTATATCCTACCAGGTAAAGTGTAGCGGCCTTTAAACCCAATTTCAAACAAATCCGGTGTTTCGGGCATGCTAGCGCACAATGATGTGTATGCATACTTTTTTTTTTTCGAGAACTCCAGGCTACAACTTGAACAAACAAGCATACAGGCGAATCGCAAAAGTTCCCAGCCAGCTTTCATTTTAATATTGGCTTCAAAATTAGCGACTGCACATAAGACAAGTGGACTAGAAATAGCACCGTCTTCTTTCAGTCGTACCAGCGTAGCTCTCGTCTGCCTCCTTCACAAAGCAACGGAACTGTGGGTATATTGGTGCCTCATACTACACGAGAACGGCCGAGACGAGCGGGAGAGCTCTGTCCCGTCTCTCATCATCCCGCCACAAAGCAGCGGCCAGCGGCAAAAGACCACGCCAAGCCACTGCAGCCTAAGAGTCCAGATAAATCAATAGGCACTTTTCCTCCTTTCCCATCACTCTTGAACCAGCCGTATGAGCTAACAGTGTTATTGCAAAGCAAGCGTCGACTTAACTTCCCCGGAAATGTATGCAAAAGTCACATGACCCGCCCTTTCTCGACGTCACCCCCAAACCCTCCCTTCAGGTACCTCATGCCTCGCCAAACTCTTAAAGGGTAACTCCGCTTCATTTTTTATATTTAGGAAACTATGTAGCCCTCTTCAGTATCATATAGGAAGACCCCATGTCAAATTCTACGATCTAATCCCGTTTATATATTTAATAAACTGGCCAGCAAACCTTCAAGCTAGCCAAGTCGCCGAAATCTGCCAACTCTAGCGTGCGGCGCGAGGTGCAATCATCAGCGCAGTCAATGCTACGGAGTTGGAGCAGCCGACATTGAGCCACTACGTCAGAGACATGACTATGTCATTCTCACGTTTTATTTGTTTTTACTTCTCAGAGCGAAATTGAACGATGACGTCATGAGTTTCTCCTCCGGGTGTTGGCTGACCGGGCGTTCACGTAATCACCGTAACACGGATGCGCTAGTTTGCGCTGCTCGGCGCACTTATCGGTCTGTTTCTCTGCTCCCCTTCTCCTCTTTCGTCTTCTCCCCTTCCCCCTCTCCCCCGGGCCATCACTGTCCAGGCCATGCAAAGCGACCTGCGCGCGTCCAATAAAATAAAAAAAAATAAATAAAAGATCTGCCCGCGTTGCGTGTCCTGTTTCTCTCTCCCTCCCGAACGTCACAAGACCACGCGGTTCGACGTGACGTGGCCATGACTCTGACGACCCGAGACCAATGTTGCCGTACGCAACCGAAGTTTCGGTTTCGGTATCTGCTGATGTTTAAATTAGGATTACACAAATAATATTCCACATTTCGCGAATCCGAAGACGTAGAGTTGTTTAGTAGTGCTTTGTGAATTTGAATCGCATGGAAGCCTAAATTTTTCGGAATTGAGCGGAGTTGCCCTTTAAACTCGCAGACTTCATGAATGCACGCCCCTCACCAAACTCATGAGCTCACCAAACTCATGCCCCACATCAAACTTAAGAACTCACCAAACTCGTGCCCCTCGCTAAGCTCATGAACTCACTGAAGTCCTTAGCTCGTGAACTCACGCCCCTCACCGTACTCATGCACTCACCGACCTCATAAACTCGTGCTCCTCACTGAACTCGTGAACTAATTGAACTCGTGCCCCTCACTTAACCTCAAACTCATGTGTTTTCGAGGTTTATGAACCTCGAAGGCTTCACCCTCACCTCACGCCCGACCGGAGAGGGTGAGTAAGGAGAGTGACAGCAGTCATGAGTGAGTTTTGCCGAGATATGACTACAACTCGCCTAGATGAGCCAGAGTTAAATCTCTACACTTCTAGTCTTTTCTTTAGGGATGCTTCCTTTTTCGTTTTTCTCCCTTCCTTTTTCTCGTCACTCAGGCTGGCACTGAAACTGGCGGTTTTCATGGAATGACAATGAATGTTTATGCTGCCTGTTCAAAAGATGTTTCGTCCTGTCCTTGTTTTGTGGTTTCCCATTTATTCTTGTAACGTTACCAGCATGCTCTAATTCATCATGTCTTGTTCTTTTTTTGGCAGGATGGAGGATGTGACTGATCCTGAGCTGTGCCGCACCAGTCCCAAGTGCGACCGAAACGTCTGTCTGTACGGCTATGCTCGGGGAGCGAGCTTCAAGAAGAATAACAGCATTCATATACCAGGTAAGCTCACTCTGCTGTCATTGTTTCTTACATTGCAATTAGCAACAAACAGCAGAAAAACTGGCCATGAATGTCATTGATAAAGCGTCTAAGCAGTGCTTGTAATCTACCAAAAAAACTATAAGGAGATGTGGACAGTTACACAACATTGAAAATGTGGCTGTTGAAAATTTGCTTAAAGGACACATGCAAAGGAAAAAAACATTTTTTTTAGACAGCTTAGATGGAAAAAGGATGTCATAAAACGATTTTACAACGAAAAAAAAAAAATTTTTAGAGCTATATTTACGGCGCTATACGAATTTGTAGTTGGCGCTCGCGGGAGCCGCCGCTGGTCACGTGGTAGGCCCGCGCGCCAACGTGCTGCGTCGCCACCGCACGCTGAGCGTTGTGCGAACGCCGCTTCAACGCGTTTCTCCACGCCGCTGTCGCCGCCGCCGCACAAGTTCGTCTGCTTCGGGGCGCCACCGCCGTCGTCTGGCCGGCGCACAGGTCTATCACGTCTGCATGCGCTTTTTCAGGAGTTTCCTTTAGGCTCTAAAAGATACTTATTCATCTTAGTTTTTTGTTATACTTCAAACAAAGATGAATAAGTTACTTTTAGAGGCCATAGGAAGCTTCCGAAAGAACGCAAGCACCACGTGATAAATAAAGACCAGTCACGTGATAAATACGGACCACTTTTCCGCGGTGCCCGCGGGCGCCAACTACAAATTCGTTTTGCGCCGTAAATAGACCTCTGAAAAATTTTTTTCTTCGTTGTAAAATCGTTTTATGCCGTCCTTTTTCCATCTAAGCCGTTTAAAAAAAATGTTTTTTCCTTTGCATCTGTCCTTTAAGGGGGGACACTGCCCAGAAAAAAAAATTTCTGCAAAAAAAGTTGATTTTGTAAAATGACATACCCTATTTACATTCATTAACATCTGGAGGGTATTCCCGAAAAGTTTAATCAATTTACACTGCATAGTGAATTTTTTTTAAAATTATTTTCTGTCCACCAAAGCTAAAGAAAAGGTAAGGTTTGGAGCACTTTGAGCACATTTTTCTCCTTTCCACTTTTTGGTATAAATTCCATTTTAGTCAGTCTGTCGTTTGATAATAGCAAAACAGGGAAGGCTTATTCTTCCCTTTTCCTGACTGAAATTGAATAAGGAATGCGGCTATGGAACGTTTTTGTCACTTTACGGATGTATTTTATAAAAAAATTTTGACATTTTGTCGAAGACACAGAAGACCAAAAAGTTTACCAATTTTGCAGAAGAGAAAATTTATAGAAATAAATTACTTTTTAGAAAAAAACATTCCATAGCCACACCCTGTAGGCATTCTGATACATATCTAGCGAATAAATATCTTGAATATTGTGATAGTTTTTCAACGATAGATTAACTAAACAGTGCAGGTGTGTTGCTGATAGAAGCTGCTCTAATTTCCTTCCCATTTAACCGACAGACCTAAAATTTTGTTATACACCCTCTAGCATGACCACCAGCCTACCCTGTAAATTTCATTAATTTAAAACAAGGGTTCAAAAGTTGACCTCCCTAGGGTGGGTGTCCCCTGAAAATCTGGGAAATTCGTCAGGAAACCTCCCAACAGTGATAGAATCGTGCTGCCCGATTCATTCTTTCTAATTATGAACGCACTGCCAGTGTGTCGGCCATGAAGGCTTCCTTATGCCTCCCCACTCTCATTTCTCGCCGAAGAATATCACGCATCTGTCTTTTCCAGAAGATTTTTTATTACCACCCTCTACTCAGGCAGTCTCTACTGTTAGAACCGCATCGTTCATCCCGACGACTTTTTAACTCCCTTAGTGTACGTCGCATCACTGGTTCCACTGTCACCTTTAACAACTCATTTCTTCCCCTTGCCATAATAGAGTGGAACAATCTACCGGACCGTGTAGTGCTCATCAGTGACCCCGACCTCTTCAGACATGCTGTATCGTCTATATTTAATATGTAATCAGTGCGATGCTCCTACCTATGGCCAGTGCTCAGCCACATCTTGTTTCTATGTTTTGTTTTTTGTTTTTTGTATAAAAGTTCTTCTTGTGTGCTTCTTTGTATTGCCCCCCCCCTTACGTAATGCCCCTGGCGGGGCCTTTAAGGGATAATAAATGAAATGAAATGAAATAATGAAGTAAAAATAATGAGTGGTTAATTGTTAAAAAGCAAGTTGAATACAGCCCAGTGTGTTGAAATAGAAACTGAAATAGACTTAGGTTGAGACATTTAAAGGCATTTGCATATATTCTTTGAAATCTCTCACTGCTATTTCCCCCACTCTGAGCTACAAATTATGATATGTGGCTCGCAATACCATCATTGTCCTTCACTGAATGCTCATCGCAGGCTTTCTTATGTGCCAAGAACGACATGGGAGCTCATTGTGCTACTCTCCATCCTCATGTTATCTGCAAGTGAACATTGCCTCTTACAACTTGCCCACCATCCTGCTTGCAGATTATGCACAGGAGGAAAGTGGCACAATGCACTCACATTTCGTTCTCAGTGTGTACATTAAGCCTTATGTCATATTGTTATAGATATTCTTTAGGACAATATATTTCGCAATATTTTCTATGTGCCGAATAGGTTGCGGAGATTTCGTGATCCACGACATCAGCCTGCTGCCAGATCCGTGCCCTTTGCCTGACAAGGAGAAGCGTCGCTCCCTGAACGAGAAGGAGCGCCTGCTCTACGCTCCCATGTCGGGGGTGGGGGGCGTGGTTTTTGACAAGGACGCCGTCTACATTGACCTCAAGGGTAGCCACTCGCACTCCGAGGGCCGTGGGGTGCGTGACTTCTTGGTTCTTCAGTCAGCTTCACTGGGAAGTGCACACCCTAAAGCGCGATCCAAACCAACGCTTCTTTTTGCACCTGTAGGTCGTGCGGCTGCTGATGTGACATATTTTCGTGACGTCGCGCCACTTCTTCGCTCCTTCCGGGCACGCACAAAAAAGTTGGATAATTTCAACTTCTTTCTCAACGCGCACAAAAACGCGCGGTGACGTATAGGGCGCTCCTGTGTCCCGGCCAATCGGTGGAGGGCAAGCTAGTTCCGGCTCCGCGTTTATTCGCCGCCTTCTCGGAGCAAGTGACAAAAGCGCCCGGTGCGCATCCACAATTGGCCCTCTCCTCCCCCCACTTTTATTCTCTTCCAGCATAACAACGCGATCTCTCTCTTTCTCTCGCCGCCTTCTGGCTGCGACAGACTGGCCTGGCCGGCCAGTCTGTTGCGCGCGTGCACGCTCGCCCGAAGCTGGCCCGTCCAAACCAAAGCGCACGGTTCTGACTCAGAAAGCGCGCCCGGAAACAGCAAAAACGTCAGGAAATGCGCCACATCCGCAGCCGCACGACCTACAGGCGCAAAAAGAAGCGTTGGTTTGGATCGCGCTTTATGTAGAAAGTTGGCACTTGCTAGTTGCTTCTGGGAGGCCAAACTGGGCTTCATATAAGTCCTCCACAGAAGAGGGTGTGTCAAGCTTGCGTATGATAAAGAAAATGCAGCAACATTAAGATCATTGCTGTATGAACCCCCTGTGCGATTGAACTCATTTGTGACATGGGACATCCTCTGTAGAGATGTTTGTTACATGAACATGTCTTCTTTAAGTGTCCCATTTGCTTTTGGTTTAGATTTTTTACTGTTTTATAGGGTTTAAAAACATGGTGAATGGGAGAAGAGAATGATTACATAGTATGATTGAATTTTATGTTCCTTTCTCATATTTGTTTTTAAACATGCTGTTTTAATCATATATTACTTTTTTTTCTTTGCCTTGTGGCCTAAAAAGACCATCCATTTTTCCCTTTCAATTATCCTAGTCTTCGTTACTTCCTGAAATCATATTGGTGGCACACCCCTTTCTTTTTTTTTGTGTGCATTCTGCAACTGTGCTCTAGCACAGTGCAAGGTCTAAAGCAGGTGATCATATTTTGCATGTTTGCATCAAAGCTAAACTGTGGCAAGATTATTGAAGTAAAATGCCTGCATCTTGTGGTGCTTTTACAGGAGGAGGGTAAACAGGTGGATCAGATGTTGCAGTCCATGATGCAAGTAAAAGATGCCATAGACACCAAGATGCAGGCTAGCAAGTTCACCTTGTTCTCGAATGGAAACATTCTGTCGGCTGATGACATACAAAGGTGAGGCCCCCCAGTAAACTCCTCTCTCTTTCAAAGTTTGTTCCAAACAATACCTATACATTCGCTCCATCCCACAACCAGTGCCTCTGATGCGACATTGAATACGGGCCACGTACGGAGGCCCGCGTTTTCGTCCGGTGCCCTGGCCGAGGAAGGAGACAAGAGTTCCAGTTCGGAAAGTGAAGAAGACGACGAAGAAATGTCAGCAGAGGACGAAGACCTTGAGGAGGACAGTGGCCTTGAGACCGAGGTGCGGCGATAATGTTGACATTCTTTACATGATTTATACTATCTGTATTGTCTCGTGGATCTCAATTGTACCCCTTAAAACGTTGGAAGAACTGCATTAAATGTAATATGTTTTTTTCCTGTTTGTGGCCTTACCAGAGCGACGACGACGAAGTTTCGAGCATAAAGAAAGTTTGTTTTGACGAGGATGGCAAACGGGGTGGAAGGACGCCAGCGAATGTCTCTGCTCTCGAGGACGCTGAAAGCGAGGACGATGAAGAAGGTTAGTGTCATTGTGAAATGGGTATCGACTAGTTTTAAGAGTGTATTCTAGGCATTGTGCTGCATACTAAACTGTGCACTGAAAAACGTTTCTCCCACACTTCTTACCTCAAGATCGTCAGAGGTGGAAAGAGAACATGAAAGAAAAAGCAGCCCGTGCCTTCCAGGCTCGTTCGGAGAGGTCGAGGAACCTCCAATTCATTATTTATGGGAAAGGTATGTGAATACCACGTTTGGTAGCGTATTCTGGTACTTTGACGAACATGTGCATGCATCAAATTACCTTTTTAGCTAGTACATTTGTAGTAGTAATATACTGAATTGATTATCTGGGCATTTAAATACTTGATATTGTTTTGCGTTCTTTAACATTTGAATTAGTTAAGTTACACAGGTAGTGCAATTTACGGGCCCTTTTAAAAATGTTGTGTTTCCATCAGATGAAGACTACCAGGAAGAAGTGACGGAAGAAAGTTCCGAGGTGTTAGGAGAGTTGTTTCGAAAAGTTCGGAAGCAAGAAAACACGCAGGCCGAAAAAAGATCTTGGGACGGCGTGGACAGCACATTGTGCGCGTTCACCGAACGTGATGCCCTTCTCAAGAACGAAGAGGTAATTAGCTTGCTAAGCTTGCTACATAGGTATTTTCTTTAGTAATTCAGGTGTTTTGTCACATTGTCTGTCAACCACATATTGTCACACTAATTCCAACTTCATATGTGCTTTTTTGGCTGCCAGATCTTGGACTTGATCAAGGACTGTTTTGTTACCGGGAAATGGAAGGACGATGAAGACGCACAAGCCTTACTCGACAGAGATGGTATAACGACAGCCCCACTTGACGTTTTTGTTGGAATATATTTATGTACATTATGCATGCTCGTTCGTATATACACACCTCACGTCTGACAAGTGAAGGAGGTGCGAACCTAAGTTACCCAACTCCTCTGTCAATCTTGCACTTTTGCAGAGGAGCTTTACGGCGACTTTGAAGATCTCGAGGCCAAGGACAAAGAACCTGAGGAAAAACCCGAGGAGACAGAGAAAGAAGGTACAGTTTCTTTTATTTCTTTAGGCTGTGCTTCCTCAAAAATGTTGCCAGTTGCTCTCCATGTTCTGTAAAGCAACTGAGGCGACAGTCGAGAGGCTGCCCACTCTCTACTCACAATCAGCGTTGCCTAATCGTGGGAAATTTCCAACCTTGTGTGGAAAGCCTAACGCCAAGGGCTAAAGATAAATTTAATTTGAATGCATGTAAAATACACATTTTTAAAACCAAACATTCTCTTATTTTACATGTGTTCAAGTTTATTTCCTCGTTGTCCCCTGGATCTATGTTTGTGAGAAATTTCCCACAATTCGGCAACACCACTCACAATCATCCTTTACCAGCATTAAAAATTTGGCCATGGTACAAAAATTACACCGTCACGTGACGTTACAATATTTCAATTAACTGGCGGGCAAATGCTTCCTGCTAAATTTAGCAAAGAAGCTCTTAATGTGACAGCACAACTTCCTGCTAAATATTGTGTAGAAATTTTCCCGTTAAATATAACGGCAAATACAACATCACAATGTGCAATGTCATGTGGACCATTTTTCACTAAATTTAGCAGGGGAATTTCTTCATTTAATTGAACAAGGAAACATATTGCAAAATGTCACAGTGTCGGGGATTTTCTACTAAATTTAGCGAGTTATCCTGTCACCCTACACACACCAGATCCACTGTGAAATTGCGCCAATAACGATTGTTGCATAAAAAAGCATTGACTGGAAGCATTTTTCAGTTTCAAATTTCTTGTGCACACACACAGCAATAAATGTATGCAAAAAACTTTCGGAACCAAAAATATTTGAAGGGTCCCAGCTTAAAAATAACTTAGGACGACATGTGTAGTGTCTAACAAAAGGGAAATAATATTGTTAGTTAACACTATACATCAAGCTATGCAAAGCGTAAGTCAGTAGTTACTGTTTCAAGTGTTCTTAGAACTAATGCAGAGAAGGAGGCTCATAATTTAAGGGGAGACACCGCCTGGGAGGGTCAACTTTTGAACCCTTGGCTTAAAATAAATGAAATTTACAGGATAGGCTGGTGGTCATGCTAGAGGGTGTATAACAAAATTTCGGGTCTGTTGGTTAAGTGGGAAGGAAATTAGGGCAGCTTCTATCAGCAACACCCCGACATTGTTTAGTTAATCTATCGTCAGAAAATTATCACATTATTCAAGATCTTTATTTGCTAGATAGGTAGCAGAATGCCTAGGAGGTGTGCCTATAGAAAGTGTTTTTGTAAAAAGTAATTGATTTCTATCAATTTTTTCTTCTGCAAAATTGGTCAACCCGTTGGTCTTCTGCGTCTGCAACAAAATGTCAATATTGTTTATAAAAGACATCTGTAAAGTGACAAACAAACTCCATAGGTGCATTCCTTATTAAATTTCAGTCAGGGAAAGTGAAGAATGAGCCTTCCTTGTATTTCCATTATCAAACGATAGATTGACTGAAATGGAATTTATGCCAAAAAGTGGAAGGGAGAAAAATGTGTTCAAAGTGCTCAAAACCCTACGATTTCTTTAGCTTCGGTGGACTGAAAATAATTTATAAAAAATTAACTAGTAGTGTACTCTAGGGAAAATTTCTGGGAATACTCTCTGGATGTAGATGGATATAAATATGTAATTTTTCAAAATCAATGTTTTTTGCAGATTTTTCTTTTTCTCTGGGTAGTGTCCTGCCTTAAAGGGGCACTGACACCCCAAAGGTCGTATTTATTTTTATTGTCTAAAACGATGCAAGTTGCAGTCATAGACACGCAAAAAAAACCGCATCGCGAAAAAAAATTTTTTCGCGCGCGCGCGCGCCTTTTTATTTTTGGCGTTTGATTTTCCCGCCTCTCGCCTCCTCGCTTCTTTTGATCGGTGACGTCAAAAATCAGGAAATTTAGAAGCTTTGTAGGCGACATCTCTATAACATTTAATAACGGCACTCGTAAAACATGTTTTTTAACGCAATTGCGAACGCACTACGGCCCTTCTTTTTGAAATACCAAAAATCGGGAGTTCGTTGTGGTGCCGTCTCCTGGATTTGTATCCTCCAACGGAAAACAGGCGACACCGCTCAAAACCGGTCCGCGGGAACGCCGCCGCCCGCTAATTTCCTCCTCGCTTTGGGTCGCCATGGCAACAGCACGGAGTGGTGAAAGAAAGTCGACTCTCAGGTCTCCGCGATTTTTGACGTCAAGGCACCGGCGCCGATCGCACGGGAACTTCGAATTCGGCATTTGGAAATTGTTTTTTTACTTCACAAATACTGAATTCCCAAATTTCAAATTTTGAGGGTAAAGTCCCGGCATCGTTTTCAATCGTTTCGGATAATAAAAAAAAAAATGATTTTGATGTGTCAGTGCCCCTTTAAGTAATGAAGTGTGCTCGTAAGTGTGAGGAGAACGATTGGGGAGCTGTGATTAGGCTTACACTACTACATATACCGTAAAAACCCGCATATAATACGAACCCGCGTATAATACGAGGCATGATTTGAGGACCGCGAAGAAAGAAAAAAAAAGTTTTATCCGCGTATAATATGAAACAATTTAAGGACCGCGAAAATATTCCGCGTAAAATGCAACCCAGGAAGTCTTAAGAAAAACGTATATTTGCGTCGTAATTGAACCTTAATCACTGTCATCACTTCCATCAGACTCCTTGTCCGATGCCTCCTCCCTAAGGCAGTCGTCTTTAGTGCCGTCGAGCACATTTGAAATTCCGTACTTCTTGAAAGAGCGAGCGACGGGCGTGCAACGACGCAGTGAAAGCCCGGCGCGGCGTATAAAGTGAACAACCCATTGTACCCAATGTCGGCTCATCAAAGTTTTCTGGCCCTCTCTTGCAGCAGCTTGATGTCTACGGCGACGTGCCGTTCACGTTCCTCTTTTACAAAGTCGCCGAGACTTGCCTCGACGTCGGCGAGCACGCCATTTTTTGGGCCTCCAAAGCTTCTTCTCGTTCCGTTGCACGGGAACAGAGCTTGCTTTCGTCGTCTCCATCCGCGGATGCCGCCTTCATTTTCGGCGAATTGTCGCCCGGCAGCACTGTTGCCGATGTCTTCCGCAACCAAAATTACTTTTCTATTGAAGGCGGCTGAGCATCGTTTTCGGCGATTCGCGCCGACGCCATTGCCTAGCCTGACCGTGGATACATGGTGGCTTCTCGGACATTGTGATTTTAATGATGATGATAGCTGTTTTGAACGCCATATTGCTACGAAACCGAAACCACGTCAATCTGCGTCAGATCGCGCCTCATAGAAGCTGAAAATTGTTGGGACCCACGTATAATACGAATCGCAAATTTTACATGGCAAAATTTGAAAAAAACCTCGTATTATATGCGGGTTTTTACGGTAAATAATTTTATAAATTAAAGAGGTTTCTTTTTTTATACACTCTGCTAGCTGCCATTTGGCAGCCAAGGCAGGAGAAGGCACACATGACAAGAAATTTAACCATATAGAAGTAAACAACAACTACGAAAATTAACTTGCAAAGTTCGCAATCCTAGTAAAGAGAAGTTTTATATGTATGACCCTAAATTGAAAGGCACTAATTTATGTGGGAGTGGCATAATAAAGATAGAGGCATGAGTGTGTTTCTTTGTTCATTTCAGTGGAGTCCAGTGGGAGGAGCAAGAAGCTGAGCCGGGAGGAGCGAGAGGCCCAGATAGCGGCCAAGCGCCAGGAGCGGAAGAGGAAGCTGAAGGAGGCCTTTGACTCAGAATACGACCACGAGGACGAGAAAACTTACTACGACGAGCTCAAGCAGGAGCTCACAGAACAGTCACAGGTGTGCTGGGAGACAGAGCATAATAATTTCGGCATTGTCACTCTAGGGTCTTTCCATACTAAATAAATGCATCTTAATCTTATGGAAAAAGTCAGGAGACAGAACATGGAGTGTGTTTCGAGCTGCACTGGGAGTTTATGAGCTTTGCTGAGCTGGAAAGACACACTGCACATAATGTGTCTCCCAATTTTTCTCCATAGGCAACACAGTTCACCACACTCAAACGCACATATGTGAACCAGTCTTAACCCTACGCCAGTAGGGCATCTTTGATTGATTGAGATTGCAATATGGCTGTTATGTACAGGGTGTCACAAAAGAAAATTTACACGGTCTTTTTTACCGCAAAAATAAACTAGGCATCGCCGAACGCTCATTCTCCGCCCAAAGGTAGCGCTAGAGGTCACAACCAGATGGCAAAGTTTCAGCCCGATCTGAGAACTTAATCAAAAGTTATAAGTGATTTTCTGAAAAGTTCAATGGGAAATTGGAGCCCATTTTTGCCTGTTATGGTTTCTGGTGCCATAGAGCCCCATATGTTTGAAAACTCCGTCGGTCGCCATTTTCCCATTGAAATTTTTAGAAAATCACTTATAACTTTTGATTAAGTAATCGGATCGGGCTGAAACTTTGGCATCTGGTTGTGACCCCTAGCGCTACCTTTGGGCGGAGAATGAGTGTTCGGCGATGCCTAGTTTATTTTTGCGGTAAAAAGGACCGTGTAAATTTTCTTTTGTGACACCCTGTACTTGTCTTGCCGCAAAAACTTTGTCGCTGCAATGGTGGGAGGGGTAACATGGTCACGTGATCACTAGAGGCTATGTGATTACATAACTGCCATAGGTTAGGTGATCTGGCAATCTTTATATGTTACATGATCACTTCAGCCATTGTTACGTGACACAGTGTTATCAAATGGTGTCAGTTCAAGTGGCCTCGTGATGTCATTTCCCTCGGTCATGTGAGGTCGTTATACATACTCACGTGACATTGTTATATGTACATGGCCGTGCGACATCATTAATGTTGTCACATGACTTGTAGTGAAATCAACCATGTGATCATGTGACCCCATAGCCTCCGATGGATGGAAACATACGGCTAAACCCTCTAAATCCGGTAGCAGTTTGCGCCACTTAGTTAGTGTTTTAGCATCAACAGTTAACCTCTACTACCAATGATGTGAAAAAATCATGCCACTTGAGGTCGCAGAAATTTGCACTTTCCTCGACACCTTGGGTAAAGCAGAAGACAACGTCCCCTTGGTGCCTGAATAAATTTATACTTAATCTTATGGGTGAAGTCAGGAGACATATTTTCTACAGCAAATCTTCTGAGTTCAGGAGTGCTGAGAAATAAACATCCAGGGCAGTTCAAAACACACTGAATATTCTGTGCAGTGTAATTTGATTTTTGGTTAAGGAAATCACACCAGCTTCCACAGTGTGGCAAAATGATACCGCCTATTTTTTTCTGTTGGAGGGGCATTTAGTGCTTTTGGAGCGTTTGCTACACTTCATTATTTAGGTATCTTTAAACTGTTCTGCTCTCAGTGAAAACCTTCATGGTTTTTTTATTCCATATAGATGAACCAGAAGGAGTTCGAGGACCTTGACGATGAGCGCCGGGTTCAATTTGAAGGCTATCGCGCAGGCTTGTACCTGCGTGTTGAGTTGCAAAAAATGCCCTGTGAGCTGGTGAACCACTTCAATGCCTCCTACCCAGTCATCCTTGGGGGTTTGCTTGCAGGAGAAGGCCGCATGGGCTTCTGCCAGGTAAGTGCTTGTGGCCATTCTTACCTTAAACCGATTTCATCTGGCAAAACTTTTCAGTAACTGATGTGCTGCGACGGAGGCTACCTTTGCTCGTACTGTAAAAATATACTGTAGCGTTGTTTTCATGGCAGAATTTCTTCCAATATAGAATTATGGTATCTTTCAACAGTGGTTAGTTTTTTGTTGTCCACCATTATTTCTGCCTGTGTTCTTTATTTGTCGGTGAAAATTATGTGAACCTGTTTTTATTAACTGCTTTCTGACTTTATGTGCTTGGTAGAACTAACTTTTTTACGTACTACTGCTGCACGGTATAAATTTATAATGTCCAAATAAAAAAAAGAGAGACCTTTAGTAAACATGGTTGAGTACGAAGATCACTTTGTTTGAACAATATTACAACTTGCAACTCAGTCTGACCTAATGGATTTCTACGGTATTATAGATAACATCATATCTTGAGCAGCAGGTATTGTAGAGGGAAGGTTCTCAGTAGGATTTATATTCCTCAGTTTTGTTTCTTAGGTTCAGCAGTAAAAGTTAATATAACCATTTGTTCTTTCAAACCAGAATGAAAACCAGTGGAAAAGAGTGTTCTTGTCTCTTCCCCATCCTTCGTGTTTATATTCTTTTAATTTTTTAGTATCTACACTTTGAGGGGAGACGCGAATCTTAAATTGGTAAAAAAAAGCAAAATCTCTCGTTTTTTGAAACTCGAATATTTGGATTGAACATAGTCTAAAGTATCCACATGCAAAGTTTCAATGCCCATTTCAATGTCTAAGTAAAAGAAAAACGCCAATTACGATGTCTCGGCAGCATTCAAATTGCAATTTCGTAGCAAAACGTAGTCTAACTCGCACATGGTGCGTTCCGCAGCCACTCTGTAGCCGTTAGTCAGATCGCTGTCATTTTGGGCTTTTTTTAAAGTTTGTTCTCGTTGCTCGTTCCCCACGCCACTCATTCACGTGACACCCTCGGGGAACGTCCGCATTCCGCGTGTTTCCCAGGCCCCAATAGCGATTGCTGATTGGCCAGCAGACATGGGAGCGCACACGTCATATCTGGCGCTCCTGCTATTGGCCGAGATGCGCCCCTCCGCTCTTCTTCTAATCTCCTCTCGGTTCGTGCGCTGACGGAACTGTTGCCTGCTCTGTGTTGTCGGCTGCTCGTTCTTCTGCTTTGTTTCTTCAGTGATTGAGCGCACATTTTCAGTTCCTGTTTGCATGCTTAGATTGAACATTGATCATTGCCTTGTTTTGTTAAAAAGCTGAGGGAGTTTTGAATTCTCGAGATATGGGCCGAAGCTCGGTTGAAAGTGAGCATGCGGCGAGCTTTCGGAAGGAAGAAACATGTCTTTAAAAAGACGCCAAAACGGTCTCCCACAAGTGCGCCACTGCGGACGGCACCGCCGGAATCGTTGGATATGCCAGCAAGATTGGCCGGGTCACCTGCCGAAGACATTGCAGGCCCCAGCTGTACCATGGGTTGTTCCATGAGCTCTGGAACTATGGTGCGAGTCGACTCCGCATACTTCTCCGTGGCTGAGCGGGTGCAACGTGTGCACCGAGAGGAGCAATGCAAGTGTGCCTTATCCGAGAAGTTGGCGACCCAGTGCAAGTTCGACCTTCTCGGCGCCAATGCAGGAGGTCAGACAAACGATGCTGGGACACAGTTCATTTTCGTGGATGTGAAGGTCCTGAGCGACCTCTTCACGCAGACAAAGTGTGGAAGCTGCAGTGCAGGAACACTGACGATCACCAAGGCTATGGACAAGGAGTATGGCTTAGCAGTCAAACTTCTTCTTGTCTGCACCACATGTGGGTTCGAGAAAAAGCAGTTCTCTTCACCAACAGTGTTTGGAACGGAGATCACTCTTTTTGAAGTGAACATGCGGGCCATGAAGGGGATTCAGTCAATCGGCAAAGGAGTCACAGTCCTGGCGGACTTCTGCATAAACTTGTCCCATCGTGGCCTGCACCACAATACCTTCCAGGGGCACTTGAAGACTTTTGTGAAAGCCTGCGAAAACTCGGCAAGTGCGAAGGAAACTGCCTGTGTGATAGTTGTGAAGAAGCTGTATGCAGACCTCTCAAACCCTGTTGCCAACATTGACGTCGTCTTTGATGGATCCTGGATAACCAGAGGACGCAGCTCTCAGATTGGTGTGGACTACATTGTCGAACTGTATTCGGACCCGAGTCTTCGATCATGTGGTCACCTCAAACTTTTGCCTCAGTTGTGCCCTGGAACCGGAGGAAGAGGGTTATAGCTAGGGTTCGGATTTTTCGGTTTAAACCGATAAAGGTACGCCGAATCCATTTTCAGAAATTCGGTTTTAACCGAAAAAGGTTAATTTTAAAGGTTCAGCATTTATAATTTAAACCGATAAATGAACGTCGAATTCATTTTCTAAAATTCAATTTTTAACCGGAAAAGGTTACTTTAACCTTCCAGCCGTACCGCAGAGCCGGGGCGAAAAAGTGGAACAACAGTCTCTATCGGAACGTGTCTGAATGTATGGGATACACGGGTGCCATCGCGACGTTTTGGTTCAATGTGCACATCATCGATCGGAACGGGAAGTCCGAAATGCCCCATGACTTCGCCATGTATAAGCGTGTTTTCAAACTTGTTGTAAGGAAGACTGACTTGATGCAAGCTCTGCATATTGTGTTGTGCTTCAAAACATTGGACCGTGTCACTTTTGGCGGTCACGCGATTGGTTGATTGGACGATTTTGGCTGAGGCAGCTTTTCATCTCCTCAGCCTGCCAGTATCCAGTGTTAGCATTGAGAGGGCATTCTCGAAGCTCGGTGTCATATTAACAGGAAAGAAAGAGTGCGGATCAACGAGGAGAACCTGGGAAAGTGCATGTCTGTATGTACTATTGTAAGATCACGTAATCCTGATATACAGAAGGTGAAGTTCCATGGTTTTGGGCATAGGCTTCATATCTGACTTGTTTGTACTTCTGTGTTTTTTCCTTGTTTCTTTTACAGTTGCACACATTGGCCAAATAAAGTGTCCGTTTCTTTTTCTATGTATCTGTGCCGTTATTCTTTGAGTGATCAAAAATGTCAGAGCTACAAGGATAATCTCATCCGGTGTCCGTTGGTGTTTATTTTATATTCACCGAAAAAAGCCAAAAAACTTTTGTGGGCATAAATATACGCCGATAAAAACTGAAAATTAAATGTTAATATAAACACCGAAAAAAGTATGCTGAATTTTGAAAAAATAGAAACCGAAAACGTGGAACCCTAGTTATAGCGACTGTTACGATTGTCGAAGGAACATCGACTGTAATGCTGGTTGCACGGAGGTTGAAGCTGCATTGTCCATGTTTCAAAGATCCCTGACCAAACATGGACTGCGCTACACCACCATTCTCTCAGATGGGTACAGTCTGACCCTTCATGCGTTGACAGAGGCAGACGTGTATGGCTTCGTCAAAGTTGAGAAGAAAGACTGCATCAATCGTGTCCACAAACGGATGGGGGCTGCCTTACGCAACCTCGAGGCCAACAAGAAAACTCAAGGCGAAGCACTCGATAAAAGGGGCAAGCTGACTCCGGAGAGGATCCAGAACTACTATGGCTATGCCCTAAGGAGCAACAGCAATGATGTTCCCAGAATAACGAGGGCAGCGGAGGCCACCCTCCTGCACACGACATCAACGAACAGCACCCTAGGCCACAGCTAGTGCCCCGATGGAGCTGAGTCCTGGTGCAGGTTCAACAGGGCCTTGGCAAGCTGCGAGTCTCCTCCGCCGCACAAGAATCCACTTCCGGAATGTGTTTGGGGTGCACTTGAGCCTGTGTTTGCGAGGCTCAGCAATGAAGATCTGCTGGCATGGTGCAGTGAGGGCAAGACCCAGAATGCGAGCGAGAGCCTACATGCGGTCATCTGGACGCAGGCATCCAAGAATGGGAATGCCTCCCTGGACAGCGTGAAGAGAGCTGCAGCTGAGGTTGTTGCCATCTACAAGTAGGGAAGGATGTTGATCAGCAAGCCCATTGTTACAAGCTTGGGCTATGCAACTGTGAACTGCCTCAAACGCCAAAGTGTCGAAAAGCACAGTCTCCGTTTTGCGTAAAGCAAACGCTGTGCACCAGAACAGCAGCAGCACAAAGGAGTATGCCAAGCGACACAAGGCAGGAGCAGCTCAGGATTACAGCCCTGGACAGCTGTGGGGGCACTTCCCAGAGCTACACAGACCAAAGGCCCTTTTTAGGGCCAAACAGAATTGTGTTTGGGGCTTCAAACTCTTGGCTGGCCCCGCCCATTGTCTCTTGTAAAATCGGCTCCTTGGTTTGCAAGATTTTATTTTTACATTGTAGTTATTCTCTTTATCTTTCAGATTTTTTTTTTCAAGGTTTTCATGTATACACCTTTCCAAAAACCGCTCCTAGGCCGCCGCCATGTTGGTGATGCTGATGCGGTTGGTGCGACTCTCGCGCCCTCTATCAGCTAGAAATTTTCTGCCACTCTCTGGGACTGTGAAGACCCGCTCAGCGCGGTTCTCTACCTACGTTTTTGCGGTTTTGCATTCGACGTTTTCTCGCCCCTCTTGAAAGTTTCCACTTAATTTTTTTTATATGTGCTACGTACCCTTTCTGTGTTATCTTCCATTGTGAGAAATAAGGCTGGTAAGTGCCTGCCATTCAAGTTTTTCTGCTTTACATTCACGGGAAACGAAGGAAGTGAAGGACGTCGAACGACCCTCGACGCGATTTTGCGAACATTGTTCTCCCCCCTCCCAGAGATAATCCGCGTAGAATCCTCAGTCATCTCCAAAAATAGTTTTCCGGGTCGGGGTGAGAAACGGGTCAGTCGCGTTTGTTTCTTTGCCTTGGTGCGGTTGTGAAAAAAGGAAGCTCTCCCGAAAACTTGCCCCAAAACGAAGTCATCTCGGATTCCGTCCGATCGTCAAGATGTGACTGTCGTCGACTGTGACTGTGTTATTTGAGATCTTTCTCAAATAAATTTGTTTCGGATAACGCTGCATCGTGTGGTACGTACGAATGTTAACACTTCCTCAATTGTACGTCCGTGTCCTGACCATCGGTAAACACGTTATTTGTGAGCGTGAAAAATGCATGCCTTTCGGCCCTCTTCTGTTGCAATTTATTTTTGACAGCAAAGCCCTTTGTCGTTTCACGTGCGGCAAATCCTGCGGTGCCGTCAAAACTTATCGCAAGAAAATAACAAATAACTAGAACTATTCATTCCAGTCGCATTCGTTCTGTCGCGCGTGTACCCAACAAAAATAGTTTAGATTTTTTTTTTTTACTTTTTTTTTTTAAATGTGGCACAATGCTTTCTCAATGTCTTCGGGAACATACATGTACCATGAAACACAAAATATAGCGGGAAAAGACGAGAATTTAGCCGCCAGCAGCGTTTGAAACTGCACCTACGCAGGCTGCGCCTATTGAAATCACAGTCCACTCGGTTAGGGTTAGGAGGGACGCCGGTGAGAGTCTAGCCTCAAACTCAGTGACTGGGCTCACAAACGGTTTGTTGCCCCTGGGGTCGAGTGTTTTTTGGAAAGGTGTATAGATTACAGCCCATTTTTTCTCATTTTGTTTAGAAAGAACTATTCTACTTATTGATTAAACTTACCGTATTTACTCGCATAAGGAACACACTTTATTTTCCGAAAAATCAACACATATTTACGCATATTGACACATAGTTCATTACGCGGGGTAAAATTTTGGCATTTACTCACTTTGCGCAAATGTCATTTTAGGTGCCAATATGACATGGCAGGGTACTGTGGCACATCTCCACTGACAGATGCGCACCCATGGCTGTTCGTGGGCATGCCACAGTAAGCATGCTCTATAAACTGTAAACCTTTTTTAGGGCACTTTTGGCGTGCCGAAGTGCCCTAAAATTGTGCCAAAGTCTGTCCTTGTTAATGACATTGTGCCAAATAAAATGGCACAATGTTATTAGTCTGTCCTTTGTTAATTTTTATGTTTATAAAATATGCGTCTGCTTAAAATGAGTTTTACAAACCAAAAAAAAAATTAAAATTACCTTTCTTTTTTTTGTGCATTTTCTGAAATAACTTTCAGTGTTCTGACACAAAGAGTTCTTTCTACAAAGGTAAGCAGACGGCTTATAGAATACTATCCAGGGGCTTTCTAAAAGTTTTATTCAAGCTTGATTTCATAATGTAAAATGATTGAGCGAGGGTCAGATGGGGGTTCCAAATTTCGCAGATGCGATTCGGATACGCATACAAAGTCTGCAGATGCAGGTCAGATAGGGATACAATTATTTCAGAACATTGTGGATGCAAACAACCAAACTGTTATCCATGCAGGGCTCTATTGATAAGCTTAGTATGTTGTTGAATTGGCCTATAACACTGAAACTCTACATGACGTCATTCCTAATAGAAATCTGTTCTAAGGCTTAAAGGGTTTCAAAGGTTTTTACATAGGCTGTTGATGTCTCACAGCTGTTTATTTTTTTTTTTCCTTTGCTGCCACACCATTTCTAGGTGCGGCTGAAGAAGCACCGCTGGTACGGACGCATCCTCAAGAGCAACGATCCTCTCATCCTTTCTCTGGGCTGGCGTCGCTTCCAGACCATGCCCCTGTTCTGCACCCAGGACCACAACGGGCGCAACCGCTTTCTTAAGTACACCCCGAAGCACCTGCACTGCAACTCCACCTTCTGGGGTGAGTGTATAAATTTTTTCGTGTGGGGCCCCAGGTATGTTGAGCTATTAAAGAAAACATTTGGAATAAACTGCCACATTTAGTCGTCACAATGTTGCAGTCGGCTTGATAGCTTAGCGTGCCGGAGGCACTCCGTGCTGTGTCTTACACCTTTTGACTAGCACTAAACAGTGTCAGCTCATATTTCCGATGGTTGTATGCGCCTTGTAATGTAGGCAGGGCCTCAGCTCGAAGTTTGGCATATATAGCTTTTGGAACTTTATAGCTAAAAGCCCAACTGCATGGGCTTGGCACGAACAGTGGGTGGGGCTGGTGTTTGAATCTAAAATTAGGTTTAATTCTTTTTTTGGGGGGGGAGGGGAAGGGGAGGGAAAGGGGAAGGGAGGGGGAAGGGGAAGAGAGGGGGGAGGGGGGTTCTCCAGATCATTTGATTTTAGGAAACCTCTGATTGCCTCGATAGACTCTCGAGAACCTTTCCCACCCTGCTTGACATTCCGGTCATGAAACAGCTCTGGGGTCTACTAGCTTTGTTGGCAATAATCAAAACCAGGGAGAAAAGAGGAAGTGTTTGACTTTTAGTGACACACCTATGCATAGTTGAGCTATGTATAGTATGTTGCAATAGGGCTAGAACTGGAAAAATACTTTACTTGGAGACATTCAAGATAAGCTCAGTGCTCTAGAAATATGAAGGGGGAAGGGGAGTGGAGGCTACTCTGGGGAACCCTTTGGTTCCTTGGAACCCGGTTCGAGAAACCAGGGTCTAGTGAAGGGGTAGGTAAGCTTTTGCAGCGGTGGGCCGAACCGTCATGAAGTGGACATGAGTCGGTGATGGGGGGCAGGTGAAGACATTCTCTGCCCAAGTATGGGGATGGTGCACAATGCTGATTAGAAGTGCTTCTTGTGCTTGTCTAAGCTCACTTGAGGTCAAAACTGCCGTACGGTCCTTAAGTCTGTGTGAAAAAGCGAAGGGGGGAGGGGTGGCTTTTCTGGTGTCATATCGGGGGTCGTATGAAAGTGCCGACCTCTGTTCTAATCTATTTTTTTTTTACAAAACTTTATTGATACTGTTTACAAGATATACTACTGTAAACGACTTATTTTTCGCTGGTCCAATACATAGTATTTTGTGATTCAGGTCAAAGCTGAAGTTCTGGAGTAATTCGCGGGTTCTAATTTTTGCAATGCAATGCGCAATTTTTCTCAGAACTTATCTTTTGCTAATTGTATGCGATTCGCGAAATTTGCAAAAACTGGGTGCTTGCAAAAATGAAGTTGTTTACAGCAGATATTTTAAAACTCCTTTATTGGATATTTATACATGCTGATAATCAAGGAATATAACACCTTTCTTCAAGGCCCCATTACACCTCAGGGAACTGGCTTTGTGGCAGTGCAGCAAGTTCACCAACAAACGGTAAGACTTCAATTGTGCCTATGAAAACAATGACACTACAGCATTCTTGCATTTTCTACTCGGGGTCAACTCTTTCTGATGTTTCAAAAGTGAAGTATGGGGCGACACTGGTTTACACTGTAGATGAGCAATTTCGCCAGTGCAGTACGACTGCTCTGGCGAAATTGCTCATCTACAGTGTAAACCAGTGTTGCTAGCCGGCACCGATTGCTCTGTTCACTTCACAGGCCAACTTCCGCATTGCCGCATCGGGAGTCGTGTTGGACTTGGATAGGTCGACGCAGATCGTCAAGAAGCTGAAGCTGACTGGGAACCCCTTCAAGATTTACAAAAAGACGGCCTTCATCAAGGTTGCTCTTCTGTTTGCATTGATTTATCCAGTATCGGGCTGTAGTGCTTGATACCTGGGTTAATAGAGAATGCATATAGAAAACTTTATTATAAGGTCATTGCAAGAAAAAAAAAAAAATTCTAGTATTTTTATCATGTCTGTTGCACAAATACAGGTGTCACCATTACATATAAGTTTACCACAGCCTTGCTTTACTTTAAAGGAAACTTAGAGTGAGGGACAGGCACCTGAGGAACTAATATAATAAAAATATTGCTGTTGCAGAGGTATAAAAATGGCTGGTTTATTTAACAGTTGCCAGACAACTTTTCGGACCGAACAGGGATCGCGCAAATGTCCCAATAATCAAGTAGGTAGTGGTCCAAAAAACAAATATTAGCTTAATTATTAAATTTCCGTGCAACTTCTGCTTGGTACCAGCCACTTTACCCTTTTGTCAGAATCGCAGCTTTCTTCTCCACTGTTATCGTGCTGGATTTGATGCATTTTCTCGGGACTTTTGGCTTCTGCCACTTGGAGAAAATGTTTCACCGACCAGAATCACTTTGCTATTGGCCTATCGAGAAAGCGCACTCAAATTAATAAAGCATGAGAACTGCGGCACAGTATGCTTGGAGGCAGACAGCTCAAGGCCGTAGCGAGCGAACAGTGGTGGCAGTAGCAGCCATGCTGCTGAATTGTAGTGGTCTGTAACTTGACTATAGCCTAAATTGCATTGGATGTGGTATTGAGGCCACAAAGGCAAATCAAAATGAGGGTGACTCGTCTCCGGGGGGAGGGGATGCAAACTCTGCAAATTAAATCTGAAATAAGTCTTGCAACGAGTTGTACGGTGTCCGAGATTTCCGTCGCTCTAACTCTGGGGGATGAGTGATCAGTTCCACGAAGACGTTAGAATAACCGAGCATGTCCGAAGTTTCAGCGACTGTACGATAAGTATATTAATGTACAGATTTGTTTCGGTGGATTTTCATTATTGTCAACGTTTTCTCGTGCTGTCAAACTGCGTTCGTCCCGCATTTAATGCTTTCTTTATTTACCGCTTGCGCAACTTGTGGTACAGCAGTGGCAAAGGTACTAAAACCATATTGAAGAATCACGTTAATTCCATGTTGCAGTTAATGATGTGAGTCTGCTCCATTTGCTTGAGAATAAGAAACTTGAATTTGTTTTCGGCAGGACATGTTCAACACCCCACTAGAAGTCACGAAGTTTGAGGGCGCCGCTCTGAGAACTGTGAGCGGCATACGGGGACAAATCAAGAAGGCTATCCGTGTAAGTATGATATATACTCCTTTCATCCTAGCTGGCAGTGTGCTGGAATCTACATATACGTTGGACCAGTCCCACGTCTATCGTTTACCATGTGAGCCTGCCTCCGTCCATTCCCACATGCAGAGAGCGGGCTCAAGTGATGAAAGGGAGGCGCTTGATTGGTCCAGTGAGCAAACAGCTCCACTGTACTTGCAGCTTAGGGCAGAATGGAGTGTACTGACTGCTTTTAGAGCGCAGCTCTTAGGCACCCGCTTCCGGCGCGGTGACGTTTCGGCACCGTGCTGAAACGTCGCCTCGTGACCCTCGTGAGGCGACGGCGACGCTGTTCGGAGAGAGGAGTAGCAGACAGGGTGAGGAGGAAGGGTATACCTTCCCCTCAGTACCCTTCCCTCCTCCTTCTCAAGAGCTGCGCTCTAATTTGGCATTACAGGAAGTTGTAAATGGCTTTAATTTTTTTTGTTATTTTTTCTTCTCGAAACTTTTTAAAACAATCTTTATAATAGTACTTCTGGTTTTAGAGGGCTCAATTTCTTTTCAGGCTCCTCCTGGTGCATTCCGAGCATCCTTCGAGGACAAGATTCTGCTGAGTGGTGAGCCCAGAGTTGATGTTTTTGCTCACCGGATGTTTCGTCCCTAGTGCAGGGTTAGTGACACAACTCTTGGCACACACGATGTGTGGTCTGTTCGGAAAGCGCTTCTCCGAGGAACCGGAGGAAACTAGACGCGCGTGAAGGGACCGCCACCCCACGAAAGGATAGTAAACTAGGCATGCAAGCGCTTGGAACGACGACAAAGAGAGGGCGGTGCGAGCCCTCTCTGTGTTTTTGTTGATGCACACCAAAAATCTATGGAACCGTAGCCATAAACAGCATCGCTGTAGAAGCTTTACCATATGCAGACACTTCAGACCATACCCAAAATGAGGTGGGGTGATGATATCCTCTTCATATTTCAGTCTGGCATATTTGCAGCAAATAAAACCTTACTTGCATGGCCCCCAAGGCCTGTTTCAGCATGGCTGTCACGACTTACAAAATTTTTCTCCTACACTTAGAGATCCATTGCTGTGAGAGTGATTAAAGTAATTAGACTGCCATTATTGCCTTTGAAGTTGTGCCGTCTCCGGCACCATAGCGGATTTAGAAGTGGGGAGGGGGGGGGGGAGAGGGAGAGGGAGAGAGACCGCTCCCCCTAAGCCCCTGAAGGGCGACTATTTTAAAAGGCAAAATTGATACACCCCAGCCAAAAGTTTAGTTTCTGGTGACATAGCAAATATTGTTTCAACAAAATAGACCTGGGCAATGTTTCGGCTGTAACATCGGCTCTTAGCAGACCCCCCCCCTGCCAGCCAAATGCCTATCGCACCCCAAGCCTGACCCATAAATCCACCCCTGTCCAGCGCGAGCCTTCTACCTTCGATAACGCTGGGGCATCTCGTGAGCCTAGAGCATGCACGTGCATCCAAAGCACAGTGAAAAGCAATGAGAGCATGCCGGAGGCCGGGCGTCCAAAAAAAAACTTCTTGTCGTTAGTTGCTATAGAGGCACTTGGTATACAAGCAGCTTGTGCTTGCTTCCAGACCTGGTCTTCCTGAGAGCCTGGACGGAGGTGCAGGTCCAGCGCTTCTACATGACCCTGACCACCCTGTTGATGCCAGACGAAGAGAAGACCAAGTGGCAGGGCATGAGGACGGTGGGGCAGCTGAGGGCCGAGAGGGGCCTCCACGCTCCGGTGGCCGCAGACTCCCTCTACAAGGTGGGCCCCATGCTTCGGCAATGGAAGTGCTGCGCCACTTGCATCACATTGTACCACGAACGAAAGACTTCTATGTCTTGTGCCAAAGCGTCGTTTTCGCTAAGAATTGCGCCGAGGTGACCTTAAAGGAACACTGACAGGGTATTTATGCTCGCCGAGGTTTTTAGTTGTACGTGACATATGAGAGCTCAACTACCCAGAACAAAATTTGCGGCTCGAAATTCGGTTTCTCTCCGCCCGAAAACCGCCGATCAAGAACTGGCCGGTTCGAGTCTCGCTCACTCTCTTTTTTGCGGTCACGGGCCGTTTTCTAAGGTATCGATGCGACCACCAAATTTACCTAATCAAAGTCGTCGGTCACTGAAGGCACACACTCAATATTAAAAATAGAAAAAAATATGAAACCCATTTTTTGTGGCTTCTAAAAAGCTGCAAATACGTTGATTGAAAAAAAAGTTCCACAGACAACCGGAAGCAATCTGTGCGTGCGTCGTTTTGCGTATCGTGGGACTCGCAGGGACGGCGATGGCAGCGGACGACGGGCGTGGGACCTCTATTTCAGAACTGTCGTTCGCGGTACCGGCGAATTTTGTCTGCCTTTAAAAGAGAAATTTGGGACTGATCAAAAGAACTGGTATTCATCCCGTACGACACGCCCGATCACCAAGCCGATTTGCACGAAGGCGTCGCCGAGCCGTCGCTCCCTTCTCGTGGCTGAAGACATCGCTCGCGCAAACGTCAAGCACGACGTCTCTACTTCGAGTTGAGTATGCACGCGTACGATTTCTTTACTACGTGAGAACGTCGCCAATGCGCGGTGCATCCCGACTTCGACCCGGGAGTGCTTTTGCTAGAGGAAAATCGGCAGCAAACTTTCCAACTTACAGTTTATCCGCTGAATTATTACTAAGGAAAGAGATTCCCCAATTTCTCTATGCCCCAGTAGCTTGGTGGGAAAGACGTCCGCTTCACACGTGGTAGGACCGGGTTCGATCCCCCGTGAAACCTTTTTTTTTTTCTTTTTTTTAAATATTTTTTGATGTCTACATTTCTTTTTCTTTCTAAACAATTATCAATCACTGAAGAAACAAAAAATAAGAAACAAATGTTGTGGACGACACGTCGCTGAATTAAATGATACGGGATTTCCTTTTTGACACCTGCGAACTCAATGTAATCACTTTCCACAAAATGCAAGGAGCATATAAATCAGGTAGCGTCCGCTTTCCGAGGTGCCCGTAAATGGTCTACAGGAATTGCAGCCAGCCATTGGTCCCGATCCCTTTGATCTTACGGAAACTCTGTCGCACAATGCCACTTCTGTTTCGGACGCAGGGCATGTGAGCCAGCTCTTCACGCAACATCTTGGGTGTATTCTTTTCGGAGCCGATCAAAATTCACCACGGGCACTCACTACTCATCTCCAACTCCTCAATGTACAAAACAACTCATCTTGGAGTACAAAACAACGAGCGGAACATACATAACTGCAAAAGAATCGCTCGGTGAACAGTTCCGGTACGCCGCATGTCGTCTGCTACGAGAAGGAGAAAAAAAAAAAAAAAAACTGTCGCATGTAGCCACGTGACTTCTGCCACTCACTCTCTTCTCTCCACTTCTCCGACCTCCGTCGAGTTTCGGTTTGGGTTTCGAGCAGTTGCATCTTTTGGCTTTATTAAAAAAATATGCTACTCTGTTGCAAAATATTAATTGGGTAGTCCTCCGACACCATAATGAAGCGCCTGGCAAAAAATTAAAAAAAAATTTTGGGGGGTGTCAGTGTCCCTTTAAAATGCGGCAAGCTGTAAAAATATTTTATTATTGGTCAATCCTAATACGGAAACGGTACAAATATGTATTTTACGGCGTTACCCTATCTACTGTATAGTTTGTTTCATCTTTCGTCTGGGCATGGTCGAAAGCTTAAACACATACCATCACGGAAACACATACTATCACGAAGCGCGAGTCTATGGGCTTGCTGTACTTGGTTGGTTTAGCCAATGAAAAAGCATGCGCAGCAAGGTGACGAATGCCACAATGTTGCGCTCTTGATGCTGTTTGATTGGTCGTATTGGCTTGTAATTTTGCCTGTTCTTTGACTTAAGTTGAAAAGAAGTACAGAGATTGCTGGTCAGCTCGATTGGCTCGAAAATCATGCTCAGTACTACAGTCGAGCCCGGTTATATCACACTCGAGTGTTTTGAATTATTGTTTATGTCGAACAGTCCAAACATCCCCTTGAATATCACATGTGATATGTAGTATCGGATCTTTTTTTTTTTTTTTTGCATCGAACTCCCATGGAGGTGACACTCGATATAGCAAACGAAGCCCAGCCGCCTGTCGCTTTTTCCACAATCGTATTGTGCCCCGATTGCAGCAGTGGCAAGCACATAGTCTGCATTGCATGGCTGGCAGACTGCCAAGCCAGCATACACGCAAGGGGACACGCAGCGAAAGAACAGTTGTGGGAAAAGAAGAGGCAAGAGCAACCGTAAAAAAAACCCAAAAAAACTAGAGGATGGCAAGAGCAAGGGGAAGGGCATTCACATGCACGTAGGGAGGGCGGGGAGTGCCCGCTGTTGGAATGGTAGTGTATGCTCTTCTGCCAAACTGTGGCGGTGGAGCTGAGGCGAACTCCTAAGGCAACCAGACTGGCCATTGTCCGGACGTCTCGTGTTCGCCCATGGAAGATTTGCAATATGTTACACGAAAGTAAATAGTGTTTTTTTCTTTTGAAAATTGATTATACATCTTTTTAAATCCTATAGTTCAGTGTACACAATATGTTGCAAGGTGTGGGTTGTTCATCGCGCATTCTCGATTGTCTTAAAAACAAAAACATTGTTGGGGAGTCACCCAAGAATTTGACCTTCTGCATTAGAATGCGAGTTGGGACACATATTAGTTCACATTCGAAGCCCAGTGGGCTAAAGAACAGTTGCACAAATTCTACTGCTTTGCTCAATAAAATAGCAAATAATTAGAACGCTGAATAATTCAATAATGAATGTTGTGGGGTACTGCTGCCACTGCACTAATATCAGCATATATTTATTATTTTTAGTCTTCGCTCGACTTTACTAAATAAATTAGGGGTACAGAAAGATAGACATTTGTGACAGCTCAGGTGCTCATTCTGGTTACATTGTTACGAACAAGCATAATAGAGTTTAATGTTTCTTTGCCCAAGTTTGCCCGCTGTGGGGAGAGAATGGACTTCAAACTTGAAAACGCCCTCTTTGCTGTTACTTGTGTCGCAGGCACAGCTAAGACGACTGGCACCACTTTGTAGAGCTCAGGTTTTGTACTCTTCTGGTTTTTGCAGTACTTGAAAATATCTTCCCATCCCTTTAGCCATGGTTCTCCTAAGAAGGAGTCAAGCAGTCTCCTGATCGAAGAACCTGCTGTTTGCAATCTTGTTTGTTGACTTCTTCATGCTGTCTCCTTCAGTTGCAGTAAGGCGTCTAAATCATCGTCAGAGTCACCCGCTGTCGATCCTTTATACTGGCTACTGCAGGCCAGGAACATCATCGGTTGTTTTGAAAGAGCCAAGTTGGATGGACATCTCAGAATTCTAACTTATTAGTTAATACAGTTGAGATTGGTTGTAATGAAGTTATTGGGAATCGGAAATCACTTCGCTATATCCACTATTTCATTATAGACCAACTCATGTTTACAAACAAACCAGAGCGCCCCTATTGGACGCCACGGGTGTTGCGCATGCGCCGTAAAGTGAGAGCAAGAAGCTCGCCGTCGTTCATAAACAGACCACTGGAATGCAATGTTGTTGGCATCGGTGTGACTCCTCGCTTTCTATTCTGCGTTGGAACTGTTGATTCTACGTCTTCTTGGTAATGGCTGACTACTTTAGCGGCTTCAGCAAAATTATTGAGGCTTGTTACACCGCAAAACTTTGCGTGAATAATCTGACATGCAGCAATTCATTTCGCGTGGACGCTGCAAGATGGGCGCTAAAGTCTGGTTCGCATGATGAGATTCTGCGCGCTATTTTCAGTCGCGACAGCACTCGGGGTGCAATATCGTGAACCGTAACTAAGATGGTCGAAGTCGATACTGAAAGTCGCAAGCAGAATTGAACTGAGTGAATCAGGCATAACAAGTCGGTGATGGCCACTGGTAACAATAATCAACATCTTCGTGTATCTACTGCTTACACCGAGCCTACTTACCCCAACCAACCTTCAAACTTAAAAGTCTTTTGGCCTGCACTTACTTCTTATCCGAATTACCGGGTAAATGTTTGGTCTGCAGGATGCTGTCGTCTGAATGAGCAGACGACACCAAGCAGAAACGTTTGAAAGAGCAGACAACAGTTTGAACGATCCGCTGGCCATTTGAACTTGAAGGCGCACAGAAGATAGTCCACAGGTGGTCTGTACAACTTACTGGTTTTCCCGCTTTAATGTTGGAACAAAACAAATAAATCTGACCACCGCAAGTATCTGGGAATTCAACCCAAAGTGCTCCCCGCACATGCAATCGTGGTTGGACGGCGTCTGGTTTTCCTTTTTCACACCATCTATCTACGTTCTTGAACGAACCGAGCAGGGCAGAAAACGCATAAAAACTGACCTTCAAAACTTTCCGGACTCTTGGTATAGCCCTAGCCACGGCGTTTTGACCAGAAGGCGGGTTTTTGCCTGGTTTCTTCCAAAAGAACACTGGAATGCACATCCCACATGGTGATTTCTGGTGACTTCCGCCCTCAGCTTCAGACCGGAAGTGCGTCCGACGCGCCACCACCACGCCGTGACGTAGTGTTGGTGAGTTCGTGTATAACCGACTTCGGTTAATGAATTGCAAAAGGGAATGGGAAATCGTGATCACTTCGCTGTAGCCGCTATTTCGTCGTAACCGACTTTGTTATAACTGGTCTCGACAGTACCCTGAGGGTGACACATACTGAATACATATAGCAATTGTAGGAGTTTGACAGATTAAGAAAGAGAGACTTTTCATTATATGCTCGACCACTGATTCCAACTAAATATTCTTAATTGAAAATTTAAATTGAACGGAAATGTATTGCCAGACGCACCACTCACTGAGGTTAAAGGGAAGATGGGGCACTTCTACATTTGAGAAAAAACGCTTGAATTGCGTTCATTTGGCCTTTAGAATAACAGATATCAAAATTATATTTCAATGCGACGCGCCGGAGAGCCACAAGAGCAATTTCAAAATAATGCTGAAGCCCCGCCCCCCTAGCCTTGGGCAGCCAAAAGAGCCGTCGATGGTGTCACGGACAGCGACTGTCTTTCGCGTTTTTCTCGCGTTTAACAATACTTACGCAGCAAATGGTTTGGGTATTCGGGTTCATGGGGTAAAAATACACTAGAATTCACTTCTAACTCATTTTTTCCAAGAAGCTCCGTAGCTTCCCTTTAAGGCTGTCAAATGGCCATGACATTTCAAGATCTGTCCTCGAGGTCATTCTTGAAAAAAACTAATATTTTTATTTTTCGGTTAATATCGGTTAATATTGGCTACCAGTGAATAATCAACGGTTACAGTTTTCATAAATTTCAAATAACAGTTTCGTTACGGTTACTGAAAGGATTTCATTTCTAACTGGTTTTTGGTTACAATTATGGTTGAGTCCCTGGTGTTGATAACAATGGTTGTGCAATTACACTTTGGGCGTCTTGTTTAACTTTGTTTGTTTTTTACCTTCTTTTTTTGCCGTTATTGCTTTGCTAGGTTTTTTTTTGCCTTTCTTTTTTTACTGCCGAACTTAGTGAGCTTTCTTTTTTCTTGCTTGCTTAACTTTTTTTTATGCATAAAAAATTTTTTTTAAGCGTCTTGCTTTTTCTGTTAATACTTTCATATTTGTTTTATTTATGTGTTGGCCGCCAGTGCTGTGTAGAGGTCGCGGCCAGGCGCGTGCTGTGTTTGCTTTATCTACCAACTATGCTTACTGTATTTAGTGGCTCTTGGATGCTCTACAATTTGGTAAGCTCCTGTTTGTTGCGACTCTTAGTATTAGCAGAGATGTGCGGAAATTTCAACTGTTAGCTTAAGTTAACATACTTCTGTATATCAAATTATCGGTATGTCTAACTATTTTATGATCATCTTTGAACTTGATATATCCGGGTTCGACTGTATTACTGATTAACCTTCCTTGGTCTTGACTGCAGGTTGACCTCTTATTTAAAAAAAAAAAAAACTGAGCTGAGAAAGGAGGTAAAATGTGGGTTTATATTAAAAAGAAAATACTTGTTGTTTTTGCAGTTTATGAAGTTAGAATCTTGAGTCCATTGTTTATAAACCGTGAGGGGAGGAGGGGTGTATTTTATTGATAGACATTTTAGTGTACACCCTGGTTTTTTTCTGGAATTTTACAAGAATTATGTTTGTAGGTTAAATTAACTAACAGGTATAAAAGAGGGACGTAGAGAGATGCTTTATCTCAACTACAGTAGACTCTCATAAATTCAAACTCCAGGAAGTCACAGATTTTAGTTTAAATTACCATCAGTTTGAATTATCAGAAATTCATCTAAATATGATACTGGACAACATTATGATTTGTTACATGGATAGCTACACATACAAAGCAGATTTTTGCCAGTTTCCTCTACATAGGCCTAATTATAAGCAAGTACAGGCATAACACATTGGTGAAAGAACTGTGACGTTAAGTTTATTCATCCGGCAAAAGAGTTGTTGATTGTGGACTGTTTAGTAAGTACATGAGATCTCAAAACAAAAATTTCAATACCAACCAGCGCTAGTAGCTCTTTATGGGACTCTTCCTTTGCAGACAGAAACTTCCGGAGCTGAGCGATGTGCTCAGAGGCCTCTGCGGCTGTGACAGTTGGTAGTGGGCCATCCTTTTCTTCATCATCATCTTCACTCTCACTGCTGCACTGTGCTGGCATTACTTCATTATGTCCTCTAATGAGTCATCACGACAAAAACACATCGTCGTCAAGACTAGCATATTCCGCCAGCTCGGCGTTCACATTATGTGCTTCAAGGCCAGAAAGCATGATGCCAGTGAACTGTTCCTCATCCTCGATGTCGTCTTGGTCATTATTGCTAGTCTTAAAGCACATAATGTGAATGCCGTTTTCCGCTAATCTGTGCCTGCTTGAGCCCCGTTGAGTGCGCTTCTTTCCGAGCACCGGTGCACTGCGGAGAAGCAACACTCGTGAAAACAAGCTCCCCGGGTATTGCTTCTCTGCGGTGCACCGGTGCTCGGAAAGAAGCGCACTCAACGGGGCCGCGAGAACAAAAAAGTATGAATTAAGCGAAAACGCCGTTCGAATTAAGCGGCTTATAAATACATCAAAAACATAGCGGGACAACCAAAATTTTTAGATATGTTTGAATTAACCGGAAGTACGAAATATCTGAGTTTGAATTATCGCGAGCCTACTTTAAAGTTTTGCGCTATGCTTCATTTTTCAACTAATACTAGAATACCCATTGTAAATTTAACCTACTCTGACCTCAGCATCATTTCTAAAGGAGGCTGTGTGTTCCTTTTAGTGAAAAAGCATTAACTATTCCATAGAGCGGAGCCAACGGAGTCTCTAACAGCAAAAAAAAAAAAAAAATATTCTAAAGAAATGCCTATTCTCCCATTGGCTGAGCAAAGCAGTTCCTAGATAGTCCTCAGAATTTTTTTCGCATCCTCTTTATTCTTACTACAAAAGATAATAAGTAATATGCTTTAGCATATCAATGAGGAACCCCAAATCATTATCAGTTACAAACTCATGTAGCGATGCAATCACATTTTTATTTTTAAGGGGTGGGCTCACTTACACTTGCACTACCACCAGTTCCTTGATCGCTCCTTCAGTCCTCTCTAAGGAGTTGACCAGCTTCTTTCCTTCCGAGTCGTGGTAGGGTCGGTTCAGCCGGAGCACACCGGTGCCCCTTTAGCATGGATGCTCGTGGTTTATGTTTTATGTGTAATATTTGTAGACAGAAAGCTTTTTTTTTTTGTTAAGTAAAATGTGAATCAGCTATCGTATTTTCTGATCTATAAGTCAGACGAGTTGCATCCCTCTATAAACTGCCATTTCAAGGGAAAAGTTGGTACTATATGTCTAGCACCTTTGCATAAGTCTCACTTCTTTGCATGGCCTGTGTGGTGCTGCAGCCACAGCCTAATGGCTCCATTCTTCAGACTTTCTTTGAACCACCAGAAGAGCTGGCCATTGCGGAGGGGCTCCGCTTTTCCACTTTTATCATAAACGTCAATGCTGCCTGAACCTAACACTGTTAAGGCCCATATCTACAAAAATGCACATATAAGTTGCATCCTTGTATAAGACATACCAACGGAAATTTGAAGAGAAAAAAAATGCCATTTATGCACTGGAAAATATGGTACTACCTAGCATAGCTAGCAACCATTGAATTTAATTTTTGTCACTCGTAAGAAGGCTTGCTTGCATCTAGTGGTTAACACAAAAATGCATCTTGTGGGTTTCCCAGTTTAGGGGCTTACCGAATCAGACCGATCTCGGTTCAGGTGGGCGCCAACAATATTCAGCAGTCTTTTCCATCACAAATCACCTGGAAGCTACCTGTCGCTGACCCTTGCATTATCTAATTCAAAAGTATCCTTTCTGGGAACCAAGACATTTTAATCACAGTAATACATAACTGTGTTTGATTAGATAATGGGTTTATTGTTCTCAGGAACATGGATAGACGAAAGAAAGCAGCATAAAATTGAGAAACTATGGTGCGATAAGGTTTATGCGGAAGTTGTTTATGGCTTCTTAATAAACATGAAACAAGAACTATTTTTATATTACTTTTGAGTCATCATAATGAAACAAACAGAAAAGATAAAGGAAACAAAAAGCACTTATCATAGAATACCTCGCATTTGCCCATTCCCATATGTGTAAGATCTGAGAAAATATGCACAGTACATTTATATGTAAAAGTGATGACCAGACAAGCACCCATCCCCCATTTTCCCGCGATTATCTCTCACTTTTGAGTTGGTGCTTGCCCGGTATTTTACGGTACTCCAAATGCTCGTAACACTTGATATCAAAACATATACTAAGCATAACAAACACTTGTGACATTTTTATGTTTGCAGAGCATTGAACATGAGATGGAAGTCGGATTGCACAACAGCTTGGTGACACAAAAGACTACTGGACATAAAATTAACATCCAAGATAGCGCAACAGCTTGGTAGTGCCGGAATTAACCCGTCACCAGTTGGCAATGCTGGAAATGTAGTTGTTGACAGTTGTGGAGGTTATGGCTCTCTTCTTCCGAGTATCGGAACAGTTGTCTTTAGGGTTTCCTCCAAGTTGCTGGGGGATCATTGATTACAGTGGCCTTTTGTGCCTGAGAATTCTGCAGGGTCTCCTCTCTGGGTTGGCGGCCCCAAGAAGAATCCAAACAGCCCTTGCCTCTATTTCAACGTTCCACTGCTCATCCACCCTCTATGCTTTTTTTTTTGTCTCGTCTCGCTGCTGGTATTTTGTCTTCTTTTCTTCTTTAAACAATGCCGTTCTGTCGGTTTCATGTGGTCTTACCACATTTCACCACATATGCCATGTTTGACTACTGATTGTGTACTAACCACTATCGAGACCGGTTATGACGAAGTCTGTTACAACGAAATAGCGGCTATAGTGAAGGAATCACGATTTCCCATTCCGTTTTGCACTTCGTTAACTGAATTCGGTTATAACGAAATAGCAGATATAGCGAAGTGCTTTCCGGTTCCCATTGTCTTTGTTATAACCGGTTTCGACAGCATATGTAATCATCCGGTTCCTCTTGAGTAGGGACGACAGTGGTATCTCTACGTGGTATCTGTGTTGCAGGCGGCAGAGCGCAAAACGTTCCACTTCAAGCCCCTGGTCATCCCAAAGGAACTGCAGAAGCACCTTCCCTACAAGGACAAACCCAAGCTCAAGTCGATCACAGAGGGAGGCAATGCCCTTCAGCGAGTGGCTGTGGTGCTCGACGAGCCAGAGAGAGAGGTAGGTCTTTCTTTTTAATGGGAAAGCATTAGTAGCCGTCTCATGGAGCAGAGCTGGCAATGTCTGTAACTGCAAAAAATTTGCAAGAGCCGGCGGCGTCTGTAATTGAGCAAAACATGCGCGCAAAACATGCAAGAAATTCCCAGAAGCCGGCGGCGTCTGTAACAGCTGTAGTAACCGCGCAAAACGTGAAAGAAATTCCCAGCGAAACGGCTCCTATATAGCCATTGGCTGGGATGCATCATAGTTCCAAGGATTGCCACCCCACAGAGAAGCCCTCTTCCTGGCGCTCCAGCCCGCACGCCAGGAAGGAGCGCGCTCGGTTGTCACTCTTGTGTCAGTCGTTGCTGGAAAGGGTGGGGGCTGCGGTTGCTTCTGCTCCTCTCAACGTCGAGGAACATGGCGGCATCTGAGGCACCTACATCGTCGGTGGACGCACCCTCAACAGTAGCAAAACATGGCCGTCCACTCCAGTACTCTGCAGACAAACTAAGGGAGTGGAAGAACAACATTCATGCTTTCGCATTCACAACTCATAAAAAGTGCTTAGTAGGTGTCCTTGGAATTTTTTTTTTTTTTTGTAAAAGATAGTTATATATTGTAAACAACTTAATTTTCGCGGGCTCAAATTTTCGCGAATCGGACCAAAGCTGAAAATTTGAAATTATTCGCGGGTTCTAATTTTCGCGAATCGAGTGTAGCTTCTGTACCGTTCACATATTGCCCGAATGGTTCGCGGGACGTTTTTTTCGTGAATTGTAGGTGATTCGCGAAATTTGCGAAAATTAGGTCCTCGTGAAAATTTCGTCATTACAGTATTTAGTCTAAACTCGGCCTTATATGACACATGTTTTAGCTGTTTAACCTCTGGCTGTGCCTTTTTCAGAGATATTTGTCTCAAAGGGGTTATAGCACGAAAATTAAACGGATAGATAATTTTTGAAATGGAATGATCATAGGCTACTTAGTATACTGTAAACTACTTATTTTTTTCGGACTCAGTATTTCGCGATTTAGGTCAAAGCTGAAGTTTTGGAATAATTCGCGGGCTCAAATTTTCGCGACGCGGTGGGGTCTCAATAGAGATTCCAATATGTTTACATTTTACCGGAATTGTTCGTGGGACCTATTTTTCGCGAATTGTAGGCGATTCGCGAAAATTAGGTCCTCGCGAAAATTAAGTCGTTTACAGTATACACCAAGTTATGCGATTTTTAGATCTCTGGTAATGTCAATCATCAATTTACAATTTTTATCATTTTCATATGGCAACCAGGCAACACTGCCCAAGCTAGTCACACTATGGTGTCCATAAACCACGTGATCATGAACACTCTCTCATTCTAGGCGTCCCCATGATCACCCAAGCTCTCCTCGTTGCGGTACGATCAAAAGCGCTCATGCAACTCAGCAGCCCGAGCGCTATTCTTGATTTTACCCCCGGCTCGTTCACCTTCCACCCTGCATGCACCTGCGAGATATTGCCAGACGACGATGACCACGGCGAGTTCGTCCATAACTCGTTGTCGCTGGAGCTGGTCGCCAGCAGGTCGCAGTCAAAACGAACAGCTTCCAACATTTCTTGATAGCAATCACTTCCATCGCTGCTGTGATCATTGTCGAACACTTTGACAAGGCGAACGATGCCGTAGACGTAATCGTCACGGACTGCATGCTCGCAACACGGAAGGTAAACAAGGAAGCTGAAGCTCGAGACGTCAAGAGAGCCAAGTCTGTGAGTGCGTGCAAGGGGACACCGCGCAAGACGCTGGCGACGTCACGAGCCTCCCAGCCACGGCAGCCTTTTCGAATGGGGCGGATCCGAGGGACCCGCATATAAATCGATTTATCCATAAAACTATCGCGCCATTTTTGAAAACAAATTTAGCAGGATTTTAGAAACATACTATGGGTCCTAGCAGTATAGTTATCTCATATTTTTTGCTTGTCATAACCCCTTTAGGCACCGCATAAGCATGGTAGCATCCAATGGATGTCACGGAAATATGAGATTGCATTTAAATTTTGAATGAATGTAAGGTGCAACAATATATATATGTATTATTGCGCTTATTTTTTTTTAAATGGAAGGTGTTTATTTAAGATAACTTTTTTTTACAGAAATGCCGTTTTTAAGTTTACATTTACATTCAATAAATATTTAAGGTTTTTCTTAGTTTTAGTTTCCAGGCTGGCATACAGATTCAGCACATTGTCCTGTGTGTAATTGTCTCCTTTGTGTCCTTGTGTTTTTCGTGCTGTTTTTTATCATGGTTTCTTAGTATTTGACTTTCTCATTCATAATAGTATGGTGTATCTTCAGTTGTACGAAATATAAGGAGATTGTTTTCCCAAGAACAGAAAACTTAAAAGAAATGTACTTTTTTAATGTCAGTTGGTCTTTCAGGTATGCCATATTCTTGTGTTATCTTTCCAGAAACTGAAACTGGTGGAGATGATGAAGGTGGTGAACCAGGAGAAACACAGGAAACTGAAGGAGAAGATGATCCAGAGGGTGAAGGAACACCGTAACGAGCGCAAGAAGGACGAGTTGAGGCAGCTGAAGCGACAGAAGGAGCTCAAGAAGAGGATATGCAAGGTCCTAGGCAAGATGAAGAAGAAGCCAACACCCTAGATGATACAACACTCGCGTGTCCCCTGTATTGTACATAAAGTGAAACAAAAAGCGGCATCCCTCATTTTTTCTTGCCTTCTTTCACCATTTCTCAACATTGCAGGGTTGTATAGTTTCATGAGGCAGAAACATGTGTGAATTGATCTGTGCAATACCTTTTAAAAATATACCTAAGCTTCGACTCATTTTAGTTTTTTTGTGCGGGACATGGAGGATCAAGAGTGCCAAAGTGCTCAAGGGTGCATATGGCGGTGGTATTTAAGTCTTGAGGAAAAAAAGGGAGTTCTTGGTTTCAAATTCCACGGGTGGTTCACCCCATGGGATACTGCTCTTTAATAATTTTTACAGCTAAGCTGTTATACGCTAGGGTCTGGGAAAAAAATGTGTCCTCACATGTCGACAGAAAACTCCACATTGGTCGTGGCAAGTATGAATAAATAAATACGGGTCAAGTAGGAATAAAAACAAAAGGGGGCAACCAGCGTGAGTCAGCCTTCCTTGGCATCATTAGATAGGTCCTGATCTCTTGTTATCATCTCTAGGCATCGTCCTTGAGGTCGTCTGAGAGGGGGCGTTCTTGAGGTTGTCCTAGACATCGTCCTTGATGTCGTCCTAGGCGTCGTCCTCGAAGTCGTCCTTGAGGTTGTGCTAGACGTCGTCCTCAAGGTCGTCCTAGACGTCCTAAAGGACGACGCCAAGGACAACCTCGAGGACGGTCCTAGAGGTCGTCCTAGACGTTGTAAAGATAACAACTTCGCTTGTCCTCCGTCTTCACGTGAAGTGGAAGGGCTCTACATCTTTTTCCTCTTTCTTGTGTGCAGCATTTTGTGTTCTTCCGTCTGCTGTCATTTTGGAACAGGACTAGCTGTTGTATCCAAGCAAGCGCCAACCCGAAATTGAACGACACTTATTTTGAAATTGGGAATGACTGTTCATTCATATCGCTCTCACCTAGGCATTTCTGAATCTATTAAAATGTGAGCCCCCTTTGATTTCAGCCCGAAGCGTTAATTTGAAACGAGCATGCCTCGTGGCACATGAAGGAGGGGAAGGAAGGTGTGATGTGTTAGAATGCTGTCGGGGGAGTGTATGCAGGTGCCTGCGAAAAGTTGGGCCAAGTGAACTAGAAAAACTAAAATTGTGATCAGGAAACAGCAAAGGTTAGGGTAAAAGACCTGCGGTGCTATAATGACACTAGCAGGATACAGCACAAGAGCTGTGCCGCTGTTGCTTGGTTTTTGCACTTACCATGGCGTCGGCAGGCATTTTGTTTTGGGCTGGGGTTCACTCGTTCTTTTATGCTACCTTATACGCTGGAAACCAGAAGCCACGACTTGTGGAAGCCGTGTTCTTGTCGGGGCTTGTATGTTGATCATTCACAGCCAACATAAGAATTGTTGACTGAAAGTAGTATTCATAATGTTAAGTCTGCATTCCTTCTATAACACTTAAATTGAACTGATTAATGGCTTTCAAGGGCATCCTCAGGCTGCATGCTGAGCATGCAGCCGTTGGGTACTCGAGTAGAGCATGCTTTATCTTTTTTAAAGCATGAAATGCTTTTTAATGCTCCCAAAATTTGTTCACAACCTATCAACGCAACCCCAAAACTTTGTCCGTTCGTCTGTCTGTGCATTTCCCGCTAAATTTAGCAGGGCCCATATGTCAACTCGGTTTCTCCGTTAAATTTAGTGGTAAAATTCACGCCTTTTTGCGAAAACATCAATTCAGTTTCCGCGCGAAATTTAGCGGGAAATCGACATCATGTCACCTATACATCAATTCAGTTACCCCTCAAAATTCAGTGGGAAAACTCGTGTCTTGTGACCTAGGCGCCAACCAAGTTTCCCCTCTAAATTTAGTGGGGGAAATCAACGTCACATGACCTATACAACCGTTCACTTTCTCCACCAAATTTAGTGGGAAAGTATATGTCATGTGATTCACCAATTCCCTATAATGCATTTCTTGTATTAAAGATCGCTGCAGATTTTAAAGGATGAAATGCTTGTTAAAGGCTGACGTACAACCTCAGTTTTCTGCAGGGAAGATGATCCTCTTAAAAGGCCCTGCAATGAATTCTTTTTACTGGTTTTTAATTTGCACCGAACCTGAGCGCACTAAACCTAGTAACTTAGTGAAACTTTTTTTTCTCGAATTTCGCTTTATTTTAAAAGTTATAGGTAAATTAAAACTACAAAAGCAAGCAAGAAATAATCTCCTTCGTGACGTCTTTGGTAGCTTGAGTGGCCGTGAACTAGAGGAGGGGTAGTGAGCTCAGCGAGCGCTCACGGCTGCTGCACTCCGTGTCGACGGCTCGAGAGGGCGCCACTAAAGCATGTTCTGGATAGGCTGTGTGAAGCGGGCAGCCAGGGTTCGCACTGCATTTGCTGCACGATTAAAAACTAATTCGGCATGACATTTCATTGGCCACAAACGACAGCGAATGGGGGCTAAAGATCATTTATTTTATTGATTTATTTTATCCTCGGGGCACACGGCATTACAGAGCGGAGTGGGAACAATAGTAAACGTAATGAACAATTGGAACGAAATTGGCAATAGATGTACAAAAAAGTGTGTGGTCATTAATTGATGTGAGCGATGCAGGTAAGCGATTCCAGTCTTTGGAAGTGCTAGGAATAAAAGAGTCATAATAAACGTTAGAGTGGCAAAATGGGACACCGACCTTGTGACGATGATCAAGGCGTGCTGAAACAAAGTAGGGGGGATGATTAGTTGTGATTTAAGCTGAGTAATATGGTGATAGATTTTATGAAAAAGACAAATATGAGACTGTGCGGCGATGTGCGAGGCTTGGGAGTAACAAATTATCTTTCATTGATGTTACGCTTGCGGTGCGGTTGGTTATAATTGGCCATTATGAAACGTGCAGCTCTGTTCTGAATACCTTCAAGTGAATCAACGAGGTAAAGGGTAGAGGAATCCCAGATGGAAGCTGCATACTCTAGCTTGGACCTAACTAGTGTTTTATAAAGGAATAGTTTTAATGATAATGGGGCGAAATAAAAGTTACATTTGAGAAAACCACGTATTTGATTGGTGTTGTTAGTCACATAGTTAAAGGGCAACTCAGCTTCATTTTTGAAATTGAGAAAACTATGTAGGCCTCTTTAGTATCATATAGGAAGACCCCATGTCAAATTTTATGATCTAATTCCGTTTATATAGTTAATAAACTGGCCAGCAAACCTTCAAGTGAGCCAAGTCGCCGAAATCTGGCAACTCTAGTGTGCGACGTGAGGCGCAATCGTCAGCGCAGTCAATGCGACAGAGTTTGAGCGGCCAACGTTGAACCACTACGTCAGAGGCATGACTACGTCATTCTCACGTTTTGTTCGTTTTTACTTCTCAGAGCGAAATTGAAAGATGACGTCATGAGTTTCTCCTCCGGGTGTTGGCTGACCGGGCGTTCACGTGATCACCATAACGCGGATGCGCTAGTTTGCGCTGCCCTGCGCACTTATCGGTCTGTTTCTCCGTTCCCCCTCTTCTCTTTCGTCCTCTCCCTCGGGCCATCACCGTCCACGCCATGCGAAGCGACCTGCCCGCGTCGCGTGTCCTGTCCCTCGCTGCCTACCGAACGTCACAAGACCACGTGGTTCGACGTGACGTGGCCATGACTCCAACGACCCGAGACCAATGTTTTCTGACGCGACCGAAGTTTCGGTTTCGGTATCAGCTGACGTTTAAATTAGGATTACACAAATATTCCACATTTCGCGAATCCGAAGACATAGAGTTGTTTAGTAGTGCTTTGTGAATTTGAATCACATGTAAGCCTAAATTTTTCGGAATTGAGCGGAGTTGCCCTTTAATATGAAGTTTCCAGGAAAGGTCAGCACTTAAAATCACATTCAGATACTTCTATGAGTTTTACAAGTTCTAGGGGTGTGTTATTAATACTATAAGCAAAATTGAAGTTGGCTTTACGTGTTATGCGCATTATTTTACATTTATTAATATTGAGCTCCATTGACCAGAGTTAACATCAGTGTAGTATGGAATCTAGGTCATGTTGCAGTTTTTGTGAGTCAGAGTCATTAGATATTACTTGATAAATAACACAGTCGTCAGCAAAAAGTTTGATTGAAGAAGAAACCACCGCATGCAAGTCATTAATATATATTAAAAAGAGTAGAGGTCCCAGAACGGACCCCTGAGGTACTCCGGAAGAGACGGGTGCAGAGGAGGAGTTAGTACCATTGCACGTTACAAATTGTGACCGATTCGTTAGAAACGATACTAGCCAATTAAACACGTTAGAATCGATGTTAAGTTTACTTAAGCAATAAAAGTTGGTGCGATACCTTGTCAAATGTTTTGGCAAAGTCCAGAAATATGCAGTCCACCTGAGATCCCTGATCAAGTGCCAAATGAAAGTCGCTGGTGATAGACAAAAGTTGCGTTTCACAAGATAAATATATTCTAAAGCCATGTTGAGCCAGTTCAGAACGGGAGCCACTTTGCGCTGCCATACCGCGAAACGGCCAAACAGCAAGCCAAACCTACGCCGAAGGTCTTCGGAACGCTCGGAACCGGCCGGATCCTCGAGTTCGTAAACGACCGCACCGCCGCCGCGTACATCCGGGACCTTTCTACGCTCGCCGCTCGTCGGAGCCTGATCCCACTATTCCTTTCTACCGTGTGATTCAAGGAGACGGCAGGCTCTTTAAATCGACCGGAATTAAAGGGACCATGAAATGATTTTAAAATCGAATTTCATCCACCGCACGTCGTAAAAGGTGTGAAAAGAAACACAAAAACACAAAAATAGGGAGCCAAAAAAATTATTTGCTGTAGAACTTTTAAAAGAAAACTGGACTCTTTTGCGCCTTCTTTCCTTCGAAAGCTCGCTGCCTTTTCACTACGATGCATCCGCGGAAACGGAGCACGTCAGCCGAATCCACGTCGCCTATTGGGTAAGAGCCTACCTCACCAGCACCGCGATCATAAACAATAAATAGCCGGCGAATGTTTCCTAAAAGTTTTGTTAAATAATATTGAGATCCACATTTTGTAGCATAATTAGAGATGTGTGGCAAAAATTGCCAAATTTGATAATGCTGAGAGCCAAGCGCCATCTATCGTGTGGTAAACAAAGCAACTGCTGCGCGTGCGCAGTAGGGCAGGGCCCAGGGTTGCCAGGTTGGGCTATTAATAGCCAAATTGGGCTACTTTGTCTTGCATTTGGCGTCGAAATTTGGCGGTTGGCTATGTGGCTATTTTTGGGCTATTTCAAGTCCTAACGTGGCCCTTTTTTTTCTTTTTTCTTTTTTTTTTTGCTTGGTTTAGAGTAGATGTACAAAAGACACTTCAGCATGGACACAAAGCGACAGTCCACTCTTTCGGAATTCCCGTTTTCAGGAATTTTCTGCGTGAAGTTTTGTGGGCGTGAGCTACCGTGACCTAGATTCAGCTCCGACGACATCGCTTTTGTATCAATTCTTGCTTATTTTATGCTCCCAAGTTCTTTCTGCTTCCTACTGGCGTCTCTTGTTTTCTCAAGTTTCCCACCAGCCTCCATAGGAGGCACCTGATCTGAGGAAAAATGATACTGAAGGCAACTCAAAAGATCCTGAAGAATTTGCTGTTGCCTGATAACGCGTGCTGTACCAGATATAACAAAGGAGGCTTTTCCGCGAAACGTGAAAGTTTGTTAAAGCACAATGAGCCATAACAAAAGAGAACAGATTTGGGACAATGCATATTCAGAACAATGCCAAGATTGATGCGCAGGAGCAGCTTTGTTTCCATTGCTATATCCAAGCTTGCCATCGCGCTCCCGTCACTGCCCATGGTAATTGACGCCGTGGAGAGAGTATTCAGTCACGTGTCCCTCACAAAGTCACATCTAAGAAACAATTCCAACTCTTCAGAACGTCCTCTATGTAAAGTTCGCTTTCCTTGGGAAGAATGAGTGCTGTAAGTACATCAACCCTACTGAAGAAGTTTTTGCCCGTTTTAACACGGAAATCATGTATGAGGCGAGTAAGCAGGGTACGTGCCAGTACGTCATAACTATGAGACAAAAAAACGCGTGTGGAAAATTTTTGTACTTGTGTGTTTGAAATAAAACGTTCAATACATTTCAATATGCCGTACGTCTTGCAAGCTGCTCCTAAACCCCAGATATGTAGACGCAGTGCCTTCGAATTGAGCTCGCAGATTCCAGCGCACAGTATGTTGGGCTCTGCAGAATATGGCTACTTTTGGGCTACATAAATCTCTTGCATTTGGCTACTTTTGGGCTACACCGTCTGGCATTTGGTGGTTTGAGCTAAAACTACCAGGCAACCCTGGCAGGGCCGACTTCAGTTACTTGGGTCGCGACGACGGCGACGACCGGCGAACGGTTATTTAATTCCTTTGATTTCCTTCCTCTCAAAACTAGTTCTGACTGACTGAACGTTTATTTTTCTACGTATTCTCGCGCGTGCGGACTTCAAGCAGCAAGAAAAAAAGTACTTAAAACAGACCACGACGAACAAGAACGCTGGATCCACAAACACCCGAGAAAAGCGACAACGGTCGCGAATCCACCGACTCCGACGAAGCGAGCTGCTCAGAATATAGGCCTAGCAGGCTCTCCGACTCGGCGCAGCGTTGCTTCGTCGCAAGACCGTCTGCCAACGACCGGCTGGCGTGCTGAATGGAATATGCCCGCGCTACCTTTGTGGACCCTTCCCGTATTATAGTTTGATCGCTGACCTCAATTTTAGATTAAGAGGTGAGGTCAACCTCTTCCCCTTGTTTTCCGAGGCAGTGTTGACGAACACTCGTCGAAAAGGGTCTCTCGTCGATTCTATCGTCTTGTTTTGTGTGATATAGAGCTGAAATAAACGCCGTTTGAATTACCTTCGTAACACGGTATGTACACTTTGTTATTAGTATGCCAGTTTTATTCTGACAGACTGCACGTCACTGTCGAGCTATAACAGTTTGTGGGAGGTATACGTGCAATGTCGGTCCAACCTTTCTTTGCCGAGTGTCGCGTCAGTATCGAGTTGCAATCGTAAAAGATCGGTCCCGAAGCGCTTACCAACAGCGCGAATACAGCACGTCCATCAAACGCGCGCGTCCGCTCCGAGTGTGAACAGGTATTTACGTGGCTTTTGCTGACACTCGTAGTTCAAACGTATCTTTTTTAACGTCGGCTCGCTCCTGAATCTCCGAGGCCGCGAAAAACGCCGCGGCAATTTGTTTCCATCTACGTCGCTTTGCAAACGACTGACACGGGCCGCCTTTTACCAACAATGACAGTTGGGTTGACTTCTGGAGTCTTCACCGGAAGACTCGCTGCACTTCCCAACAGGCATATATGGGACTATACTCCGCGACAACTTTTCTTGGCAATGCAGTGGAAGGTACAGGCACGCGTCCCCTCTCCCATTTTGAGTGTACGCAGGCTCTCCTCCTCCCCCATTTCCGGGGAGAGGAGGAGAGCCCGAGCACACGCAAAATGGGAGAGGGGACGCGGGCCTGTACCTTCCACTGCATTGCCAAGAAAAGTTGTCGCGGAGTATACACCTTTCCAAAAAACACTCGACCCCAGGGACCACAATCCGTTTTCGAGCCCAGTCACCGAGTTTGAGGCTAGACTCTCACCGGCGTCCCTCCTAACCCTAACCGAGCGGACTGTGATTTCAATAGGCGCAGCCTGCGTAGGCGCAGTTTCAAACGCTGCTCGCGGCTAAATTCTCGTTTTTTCCCGCAATATTTTGTGTTTCATTGTACATGTATTTTCCCGAGGGCATTGAGAAAGCATTGTGTCACACTAAAAAAAAAAAACAAAAAAAAAAAAACTGTAAACTGTTTTTGTTGGGTACGCGCGCGACAGAACGAGTGCGACTGGAATGTATAGTTCTAGTTATTTGTTTTTTTCTTACGATCAGTTTTGACGACGCCGCGGGATTCGCCGCATGTGAAGCGACAAAGCGCTTTGCTGTCAAAAATAAATTGCAACAGAAGACGGCTGAAAGGCATGCATTTTTCACGCTCACAAATAACGTGTTTACCGATGGACAGGACACGGACATACAATTGAGGAAGTGGTAACATTAGAACAATATATCGTACATACCACACGATGCAGCGTTATCCAAAAAGAATTTATTTGAGAAAGATCTCAAATAACACAGTCACAGTCGACGACAGTCACATCTTGACGATCGGACGGAATCCGAGATGACTTCGTTTGGGGCACGTTTCGGGGACAGCTTCCTTTTTTTCACAACCGCACCAAGGCAAAGAAACAAACGCGACTGACCCGTTTCTCACCCCAACCCGGGCAACTATTTTTGGAGATGACTGAGGATTCTACGCGGATTATCTCTGGGAGGGGGGAGAACAATGTTCGCAAAATCGCGTCGAGGGTCGTTCGACGTCCTTCACCTGCTTCGTTTCCCGTGAATGTCGAGCAGAAAAGCTTGAATGACAGGCACTTACCAGCCTTATTTCTCACAATGGAAGATAACACAAGAAGGGTAGGCAGCACGCATAAAAAAATGAAGTGGAAACTTTCAAGAGAGCGAGAAAACGTCGAATGCAAAACGGCTAAAATGCATGTAGAGAATCGCGCTGAGCGGGTCTTCACAGTCCCAGAGAGTGGCAGAAAACTTCTAGCTGATAGAGGGCGCGAGAGTCGCACCAGCCGCATCAGCATCAGCAACATGGCGGCGGCCTAGGAGCATTTTTTGGAAAGGTGTATAGTCCCATGCTGTCGCTGTAGCACAACATATCTCATTGAATTTCGCTAGGCTGCGATGCGGCGATGAGAGGCGCCGATTCAGAAAATACGTCGGTGACATCAGTGCAGTAAAACCTACCGGCGCACCCCAACTCGTCGCCGCTAACGCTCCCATTCTCCTACTGCCGAGAAAACTTCCGGTTCCGGAAACAGCGTACGTCACGGCTTGTTTTGCGGTCAGTTGGAGAGAAAGAAAAAGTCGATATTTCATTAATTTTTTGTGTAGATGTTAGTAAACCGAGATGAAAACGGATGCCTCTTCGGCATTCAGTGAACATTGACGGTTTAATGTAAAAGTTATCTGGTTATATAAAAGTTATATGTGGGCAACGCTACGACTTTGTACAGCGTTGCCCACAGATCGTGCATTTTATTTTTTTGTAAAATTTGCAAAGAGCGAACTTACCTGCGGAAAAAGTAAAGAAAGAAAAAGGCTTAGCTCCTATGGAAACGCAGCGACGCCACCGGTCTTCAAACAACACGGCGCCGTTCCGCACGGGATACAAGAGATGGCGCAAGCGGTCGTGACGCCAACTGCCGCCAACGAACGAGCAGACGACGCCGAGAGCCGGCGTACTTAGCAGACAAGGAACTGCAGTTCCTTGTTGTTACCGCGCCTGTTTTTGTTTCTGCGACTGTCGCCGCCTGCGGAACGCGCGCGCTTTTGAGTCGAAAAGGTCGTCTGCTAAATACTACAGAGGCTGGAATACTGACTAGTGTTCAGAGCGCCGGCGGAGAGGAGCAACGTTTTCGGATGACAGAAGCGGTGGCGCTGCGGACAGCAGTCCTACCAGGAAGACGACCGAGCAGCGCCGCGGAAGGCGTGCGATGCGCACAGAGTCCGCGGCCTAGGAGCCAAAAGGCGCGCGTGCGCTCTTTTAAGCGCTTTCAGGCGTGTAGAAGTAATGCGGGAATAATGAGGGAAAAAAGGAAGGAGGAGTCACCACAAACTGATTTACGATTGAAACTCCTGCCGCAAAGGGGAACACAACGAACGCGCTACGCTGACGACTACGACGTCGAGATTTGATTTCACGTTACAGGGGGGGGGGGGGGGGGGGGGGGTTTCCAGGCATAGAACTACTGCTAGCAAAATAACGCCGAAGAAAACGTGCTGGCTTTGCATAATGGTTGCGATTCTCTTTCCAAAGATAGCTCCTTCAAGTTGAAACATAGTGCATGTTGTGCAGAGGGATGTGATCAAAATTTACAAAAATATATCTAGAAAGAAATAACATCCTGTGCAATGAAACATCGTATCTTTATTAAACAATTACACACATGACACACAGTAAGATGTCCAATAAATTGCTGGGAATACAGAACTCACATGAAATGACCAATACACATCTTGCAAATGACTAAAATGTAGGAACATGAAAATTACTAGAAAACCCAAAACATTCAAGAAATAATCTGCAAATTATTAAGAAAATCTTGTTAAATCACTAGAAATGCAGCAACAATAATAACAAAGGTAATGCAAATTATTCTGCATATCTTGTAAAATTCCTAGGAATACATACTAAACGTTGAACAGATGACAAAAATATGTTGCATACCAGGCAAAATGACGAAGAATCCACAAAAAGTGCCCGACACTAAATATAAAACTTATTCATTTTGAATACCTTGCAAAATGACTAAGGTTATGGATAACTTCAGCAAGCACCTTAAAACACCACTGCGAAGTTCATATGCATAGTGTTTCAACCAAGAGTGAAATATTTTAAACGGAGAGCACTAGAAATAAAGAAATTATATCTTCAAAATTATGTTATCGACTGCGGCAGAAAAGAACATACCAATAGTTAACTAATTAACTGAACTGTGTTAAACAACGCTTAAAACACTGTAATAAGGGTATCGGGTCAAGTTAGAAAGTTCAAGGTGGTTGTATTTCAAGAGTTCTATTTCGTAGAATTATCCTAACCAGCCTGTGTTTCGAGATATCCCTCTCCAAACCTTCCACACAATACAGCTAAATTGTATGCAATACGTAAAGATCAATTGTGGCACCAATATCCCTGTGTTGTATCCTGTTTAGCCGGATTCTGCAGAAAGTTTAGAGATGGATACACCAGAACACAGGCTGGTTAGGTTACCTCTACAAAAAGAAACATTCTTGAAATTCGGCCACCTTGAATTTTTCAACATAAACACCTACCCTAACTAAAGTATGTAAAAAGTCAATTATTGCATTTTAGTTCATTAGTCCTTGTATTGGACTCATTTACCTCCCCATGGTCGATAAAGCCATTCCAAAGGAATAATTTTTTTTAATATCCAGTGTGCTTTGCTTAAAAACATATTTTCACTGTTGGTTGGAGCACCCTGTATTTACTCCAGCCTCCTCTTCTTGAGGAGCTTCTGCCTTTCCCTTCGGGATTCTCTCTCTTTGTTGACCGACTTTGTATAAAAGTGTAATCTAGTCAGCACATAGAACTTCAATAAATTCGCAGTGGTCAACTTAGTGTGCTCGACACAGCCAATGCGGTCAAATGAAAGGTTCTGTAAAAAAGATAAAAAATCTACGACACTGGAACAGTGCAACTCGTTGTGGCTGAAAAAAACAGTGAAAGCATTTTCCAACGCAGTCACAAAGTTTGACAAGGCTTCAGTAGGGTAAAGAAGACCACCATGGTCAAAAGCTTTTGTGAAGCACGAGTTAGGATTTTGCTCAGCCTGCAGCGGGAGCACAGCGAGTTCTGCAGCACACTCGGAGCACGGATTTTTTTTTATCATTTTACGTGCAACATAACCAGCAATGTAATAGATCAGCCTACTGTCACTTCTTTCACTCACTAAGCTAGAGTGCTTCCCTATTGATGCTGTTTCTTTTGACGGGGCAGTGCTGGGAGGACACTGAGTGTCATGCCCTGTGGCTGTGATTATCGTGTCAGCACCTTCCCAGTTGCCGCCATCTAGGAGTTCATCCACAAGACTTGAAATGTGGGTCTCACCTTGGCCTGGGGCCTCAGCGGACTTAAGGAGGGCAGTTAGCAGCTCTGGGGAAGAGTTCCCTGACTTTAGGGGCTTTGCTAAGTTGTAAAAACTTAGGCAGTTAACGATCAGCAAAAACTGCTCTGGCGTAGGATGGTCATTGCACCCATATGATTGTCTCACGAGAGAAAAAAAATTCTCCATTTTGTCCTGGCTTAAGTTTGCAGTGAGAAGGTAGTCATACCCCAGCACAGACGTTAAATAGTCCAGAAGGGAAAGCGTACTGCTTATCGTCACACGCAGGCCCAAGGCTGTGCTTGCACTAATGAAGCCACCGTTGTGCTTGCTGGCATACATTTCCCACTCATTAAGGTAGATGAGAAAATCTGCTAAGAATGCAGCACGCGACTTCTGTGGTTTCAACGCTTTGGATGGGATTCGAGCCGTCATAACGAATATAAGTCTCTCCATCAGTCTCACAAAGTTCTCTGTTGGTGTGATGGATCTAAATCCCATCCTATTCTTGTAAAAAAACAGGCCCTTGAGCACCTCCTCACTGAAAAGCTTGAAGGCCAGGTTGACCTTCATCCTTTCGAAAGGATTAGGATGCAAGTGTGCTTTCGTTATGGTGGGCATAACCTTAAGTCTCACGTTTGCTTTATCACATTTCCACGCCTCCTCAACATGCTCGATGCGGACATGACCATCAGGAGTCTGCACACCAGTTGACACTACAGTGTTGCGGATGCATTTGATAAGATGTGGGAAGTCGGAAAGAAAGTGTAAACTTCTCCTTCTGTCGACGGGATGACGCACCTTGCAGCAGATCTCCTTTGCGGATGCTGAAAGAAGCATATGTATGAGTTTACACTCATTACAAAAAAGTATGAAGAGATAGAGCACTACTCCTGTCGGATTAAAGCATACATACCTTTTATGCCAAAGGATTTCCACATACTTCGATTCCAGGAAGCTCCGTCGCAGGTAACGAAGTCGACGAAAAGGCCAGCCTGCTCGGCGAGGAGAGTAGCCTCTAGAAGGATCTTTGAGAGGGTGCCTGCCTTCACATTGCTCCGAGAAGCGAATGTTCCAAGGACTTGAGTCCAGTCGCCTGCAGAAGCAGTGAATATGCGTGCATAATAACAATTAGGCTTGAATTAAAAATGGTATTAATCAAAATAATGTTATAGGCCGATCAATATCGTTACCGACTGCGACATCAGCCTAGCTCAGTAACGAAATAATATTTTTGAAGCGCCCTACTTAAAAAAAAAAAATTTTAATTCAAATAAAGGATTGTATAAAACAAACGAGGTAAATCCTACCTCCTTCAGAGCTGAAAAATAATTATACAAATGAAATGCTCACCTTGAAAGGGCTGGAACATCACGACCAGGCCATGGTCGCACGTCGTTGTTTTCTGGTCCCCAGGAGTAAATGAGCCGAGGTCAACGAAACCTTCCAGTGCTCCCGATGACTTGACGCTCACATGCTCCGACAACTTCATTTCGTCAAACACAATACCTCCGTGAAGACTGAATTCATCCATTTCTTTTGTTTTCTGTGACAAAGCAGAAAACACGTTTGGATTGAAACCAAATCCACTTTTAAAGCCACGTATATAGGTCTGCAGGCAAGATTTAGAAGGCAACGCGAGAATGTTCTGCTTTCGGATGTGTTCATAGAGTTTTGGGCTTCTCATTCGCATGAGGATACATTCTAGGATCCAAGACTTGTCGTACTTCATCCCTTGACGTGATTTCCTTGAAGCTGCATCGAAACAGCAAGTGACAGCAGCTCGTTGTTTTGGTGGCAAGCCCGCCAACCGCTCTTGGATGATTGTTGAGGGCAGAGAATCATTTTGAGCCTGAAGCTGTTCAATCGTCTTCCTTGTCACTAGCAGCTTCTTTTTCGCCTTGAACAGAGCGTGTCTTCTTCTCGATTGCTTCTTGGTGGAGCTAGACGTCTTCTTCCTTTTCCTTGACATCTGGTTTTGGATAAGCTTTTTAAGGTACCTGCAACGTAAGCACGGCTGCTCATTTTGTGGACGGCCAGTGCAGTCCTTCGAAAAGTATTTGTTGCCAAAGGTCACATAGTTTTTCCCCACAAGTGGCTTGAGTGTTGCTCCAGGGCACATGGCTGAGTTTTCTGCACTCATTAGCTGAGCTTCAGCTTCAGCAGAGGTGTGCACCTCGATGTCGATGATCTTCACAGCGCGGAAGTACACGCAGCAGCGCGCTGTATTTTCACCACTGAGGGAACAGAACGTAACCAACTTTGTAGTCTTCACATGACTGTTGCTTCCTGGTTCACACCATGCGTAGTGTACCGACGACGGGTCCTCTTCGAATACAATCTTCGACCAGTAGGAGGTTGGCAAATGCAGGTTGCTGTAGAACTGGGATGTACCAGACCGCTGCTTCGCTGTTGAGCTTCTCTCTTCGTCCTGAATATGTACGGATTCGTGCGTCCACGTTGAGCTTGTCTCATCGCCTTGAATATCTACGGCATCGCAGATTTCTTCCTGCTTTTTTCGTTTACGAGGAGGCAACACTTGGTGGCACAAATCTCTTGTTTTTCTTTTTTTGGGGAGGCTTCGGGTGAAATAACTTGGCGCGCCCGGAAAAATGGTGGGAACAGCATCGTCCCTCAGGAGAGGTCTGTCGCGTTGGATCTGGACGAGCTCACCGTTTACGATGTGCTTAAACGTCTTCTCGATGTATTGTTCTTCAAAGTGTTTCGCACACACCACACACGTACTGTCGAGGGTTCTGTCCGCACGCTTGATGTTCCGGGACCATGCCTCCAAGCGCTCGGCGTCTTTCGGGGCACGGAACAGCGGCACTTTCTCTTTGCAAGACTGGTAACCGCTGTTACAGTTCGGCACAAAGCAAGATTTGGCCCTTTTAGACGGCATTGCACGCCAATCTACAGCTTAAAAGAAACAAACAAACCGGCTCCGCTCCTCGCGTTCGTCGAAGCTCGGCCGCACGGAAAAGCAACCAGCGGCACGGTCAGTCAACACGGTGTTGCGTTGCCGGCGGCGGTAATAGGACTCCTGGATCGAGCGCCCCCTAGCGCCTTCATCCGCTCGCGTCGCCTCCGCGCCCATAGAAAATGCCTCCGCTCACAACACTAGTCAGTATTCCAGCCTCTGTATAAATACGCCGGCTCTCGGCGCCGTATGCTCGTTCGTTGACGGCGTTCGTTGCGCCATCTCTTGTCTCCCATGCGAAACGGCGCCGTGTTGTTTGAAGACCGGTGGCGTCGCTGCGTTTCCTTAGGAGCTAAGCCTTTTTCTTTCTTTAATTTTTCCTCAGGTAAGTTCGCTCTTTGCAAATTTTACAAAAAAATGCACTATCTGTGGGCAACGCTGCACAAAGTCGTAGCGCGATAGGTTAGGAAACCGAATTTTCCGGTCGATTTAAAGAGCCTGCCGTCTCCTTGAATCACCCGGTAGTATGCGCCGCCTTTTTATACCGCTTGTTAGTGGGTATGTCGACGGGTCATTCCTGGTTTCCGGACTTTATAAACTCCGTCTGTTTCTTTTCTGATCTAAAATATTGAACAAAAACTACTTTCATAAATAATTGAAACGGTTCGCGTCACTTATATTTTGTATTTCGACTAAAAAGAAGCTTTTAGCGACTCTGACCAGTAGGAAGCCCAGGACCAAATATTTCACATTTCGCGCGCTTTCGGTACCGCAGGTCGCCCCCGTAGGTGGAGGAGGTTTCCGCGTCGTCCGGTTAAAATATGACTCAATGATATTTAGTTACTCTCTCCGTTCCCGCTGGCTTGCCCGAACCCCAAGACTCCGGTCTTCAAACCATAGGGTGCCCTGTGGTTTGAAGACCGGTGGCCTTGCTGCGTTTTTAGCGTTTTTATTTTTTTTTTTACTTCTTCCTCAGATAAGCTCGCTCTTTGCGAATTTTATAAAAAAAAATGCACCCCCTGTGGCCAACTCTGTACAAAATCGTAGCGCGATAGGTTAAGAAACCGAATTTTGCGGTCGATTTAAAGATCCTGGCCGCTCTTTGAATTACCAAGTAGTTTTTCCGATCCCAAAGGAGCGGGTAAAGCTGATGGATTTTGGCTTCGGTTCCATTGGCTGGCGCGCGTCGACAAGGCTCCCATTGGCCGATGCGCGCCGTCAACGACCGCCACCCCATGGTGCTGCGTGTCCGCGAGGCAGCGGCTCCACCGCTCCACGCCCAAGGTCAGCGTGCCGAGGACAGCGCGCGCGCTCGAGTGTCGACGCAAGTACGCCGCAGACGAAAGGGAGCAGAAGAGCGGCGTGCATGCTTTCGCATTCACAACTCATAACAAGTGCTTAGGTGTACCTCGAGCCTTCGAGCCTTTTTCAGTAGCGCTCTTATATATATAGTATATATACCGGGTGTTTTTGCGAGGATTTTCAAGAATCCTAAAAATGAGGGCGATTGAAAAAAGAAGAAACTCTCTTCGGGAACAAACTGCCAGCCACGGCGGAGGCCAGGAATTGCCAAAAACGTACTAATTAGCCAGATAAATAATTACAACTTGTTAATTAACTTTTTAATTAGCGGAAATAGACATATGGTTCCAATTAGAAAGTTGCTGAGCGTTATCGAAAACCACTAAATCAGTCATTTTCAGAAAGACTTTGAGCGCGTGAGGCGAGTAGTAGCGCACTAAAGTTACCACTCGTGGAGCAGGTACAAGGCTAGCGGTTGCGGTAAGGCGCCCGCGCGATTTTTCCGCCTCTTATCTAGCCCCAGCCTTGTACCTGCTCCACGAGTGGTAATTTTAGTGCGCTACTACTCTTCTCAAGCGCTTAAAGTCTTTCTGAAAATGACTGATTTAGTGGTTTTCGATAACGCTCAGCAACTTTCTTATTGGAATCATGTCTATTTCAACTAATTAAAAAGTTAATTAACAAGCTTTAATTAATTATCTGGCTGATTAGTAGGTTTTTGGCAATTCCTGACGTCCGCCGTGGCTGGTAGTTTGTTCCCGAAGAGAGTTTCTTCTTTTTTCAATCGCCCTAATTCTTAGGATTTTTGAAAGTCTTCGCAAAAACACCCGGTATATATATATATATCAGTGTGTCGAACCGAAAAAATACGGGTTCGGTTACGGTTCAGGTTCAGATAAATTTATTTTGTTCCGGTTCAGTTCCGGTTCGATTAATTCGATCCGCGAACCGGTTCGCGAACCGGTTAGGAAATTATAAATGACAAATTGCAACATCAAAATAAATTACAAATAAAACATATGAAGTCAGCACATACGAAACGGGATACATCGTATTGTAAGGCTCAGGGATCTCTACCAGGAATGGTTTCTTTATGTGCACTCAAAGGTTACCTCACCGACGTTTACGCATTCTGACTTCATATAATTGGGTCCGACGCAGTAGCTGTAAAATCCGCGACCTCCTTACAAACCCACTTACAAGTAGAACTCGCTAACTATCCCGCCACCTCGGCGTGTAAGCAATTGAAGGAACAGTGGGGAGAAAATACAGCTTTCTTTATTTGAACTAGCCTTCGGTAACTCAAATTATACCCTTAAAGAAGTTTTCATTAAACAAGATACGGAATATGAAAAACACTTCACCGAACGCAACGCCAGAAGGACGTAATAGGATAAATATTAAAATAGAAGAGTTCGCTGTCTCACAAATATGTTAGCTTCTAAGGGCCTATACGAAACCGGATGCATTATTATCAAACTCCACAGCCTTTTCTTTTTTCATTCCGATGGAAGCAAGCTTCAAGAACTCGCGCGTTCTAGAAACGTGTTATGAAATGAGCACACAGCAGCATTTAGGATTTACGAGATTGCAGAAAGATGAAATCCCGTGACGCGATTTTTTTTTTTTTTTTTTTTTTGCACAGCTTTCCAATTTTTTTTTTTCCGTGCAAGCCGCGATCAGCGCAATACTGGTTCCTATGTCAAAATTCATGGATGCAGCGTTTGTCAAGATTCATGGATGCAGCGTTTATATTCCTAAGACTGAGTGGAGAAGAAAAATATGTAAGCGAGGTGTGTGTCAGTTGACGGCACTTAAAAACAAGTGGCATTGATAGCACATTCATTGTCAACAGCGCGTGGCCGAACCGTTTTGACATGAGCCGGTAACCGTTATTTTTTTCCGGTTCAGTTCCGGTTCGAGTTCATCGCGATAACAATATAACGGTTCGGGTTCGGGTTCAGTTCCGGAAAAAATACCTGTTCGGTTCCGGTTTTTGGTTCGGTTCGGTTCCGGTTCGACACCCTGATATATATATACTACTACTTTTTTTTTTTTTAGAAAGTGACCTACATATTTGCAAACGTTTCTCAGTGGATCAAATTTCTTAAATTGTCTTTAACACACTTCCTCTTTTGGATATCTTGCTGAGTTTACAATAATTACAAAGATTTTTTTTTTTCAGCTTTTCGAAGATTTCATTGGTATTAGAATATCTCAAATAGGTAACATAAAAGCTTGCGATACCTTTTCGATTTTCGTCGAAGGGACATGATAGGACAATTTGTAGCAAATATTTTGTTAGATTACGTTTTAACTTTATTAATACCTAAAACGATCACTGAACGAATACCCTGGCATGCTAGACATTAGGGAGTTTTAGTAGATCGTTCCCATGACTCCGATAACGATACCCGATACTCCGCCACGGCCTCCCTTGCGCATGCATAGTATCGTTATCGGGGCTATCGGAGGTATCGGAACGATCTACTAAAACTCTCTAATATACAAAAATACAAGAAGCAATAATTTTCGTGATCAATGTATTTCTACAACGCCTTTATGATCCTAACGTTATTATTTTTTTTAATTCTCTACAATCTTCTGTTGTGAAGAGAATAGAAAAAAATGGCTTTTGAGAAAATTGATTTTGAACTTGCAAGATTTTTTAAACAGTGCTTATTCAAATGACCATAATGCCGCCCCCCCCCCCCCCCCTCTTTGATATACAATATTTGATTTATAATAAAGAAAAAAAAACTAATTTCGAACTTTTCAAAGATATCCAGATTAATAGAAAACCTGAACTGGGACGCACTGTACAGTTTTCCAAACCTTGCCAAAAATCGCCAAGAAAACAGTCTGTTTTAAAATAAATATTGAAAACAAAAACCATTAAACATGCAAAGTCATTGAGCATAATAATCTATATTTTTATGTTGTCTCAAAAGAGTTCGAACCATGGTGGCTCGAACGCGGTTACTTATGCAGGAAAGAAAGGGAAGGTCAAACATGCGATCCCTGACAGACAGGAAATTATGGTGAATTCCACTCGTAGATCTGGAGCGCTTTCCAAAATCCGCGAGGGAGGCAAAATTCCGCTCCATGGGACCCGCTCCGAATCGACGAGGGGAAGATAAACTTGCATTTTTGGAGCGACCTCCCCCACACCCCTCCCCATCCCTTCTCCCTCCGCCGCACAAAATGGCCACTGCTCGAACTTGACCAGCCCACCAACGCCTCAGCCGGCTGATCTTTCCGACGACCAGTGACGACTGTCACTGCTTAGCTGCAGAAGTAACACGCGACACAGGCCGGGCGAAATTATACGTACCGCGGCGCCCATGTCACAAATAATGAAGACGTCCGCGTTCGGCAACGTCACATACCTTTCGGCCGCCTCGAA